GAGGCGGCAGCAAGAGGAAGAGGCGTGGCGGAGGGAACAGCTGAGGAAGCAGCAGGAGGAGGAGGAATGGTGGCAGCAGCGGCAGCAGCAGCAGCAGGAGCAGCAAAAGGAGGAGGAGCAGCAGAAGCAGCAGGAGGGCAGGGAAAACCTCCGAATTTACGGCGATTTAGGAAAATCCGATGTGTATAGAATGGGTAGCAATGGTAGTAGTGCAGTAGACGCGCCTTCAGTTATCCGACACAGCTCTGGAGAGTCCTCTAACGGTGATGGGGGCAGTTGTAGTGTTGTGAACTCGCCTTTTGTGATCAGACACGGTTCTGGGGAGTCTTATAACGAGGATGGCGCCAGTGACGGTGGGGGTAGTCACAGCAGCAGAAGCAGAAGCAGTGTTGGTAGTCAAGATAGTGAGGAGGACAGGGGGAGTGATAGGAGCAGGAGAAATAGCAGCAAGAAGGGCAGCAGCAGGGGCAGCAGGGGCAGCAGAAGCAGCAGCAAGAGCAGCAGACAGAGCAGCAGGGAGTGCAGTACGGAGAGCAGAGGGAGCAGTAGAGGGAGCAGCAGAAGCAGGTCAGGTGGTGCTGAGAGCAGCAGGAGCAAGGGCAGTGCTAGTGATGATGGCGCCAGTTCCCATAGCAGTAACCATAGCAGTATTCACAGTAGTAACCACAGTAGAACCCACAGCAGTACTCATAGTAATGCTAGTGGCATTGGTAGTGGCAGTGGGAGTGGCAGTGGGAGTGGCAGTGGCAGGGGCAGTGACAGCGACACAGATGATGGGGGTAGTGGTAGTGGCAGTGACAGGGGCAGGGATAGCAGTAGGGACAGCAAGTCTGATACGGGTGATGACAGGAGCAGTTGCAGCGAGGGTGGTAAGAGCAGCAGTGGTATCCAGAGCGAGGGCAGGAGGAGCAAGAGGAGCAGCAGCAAGGGCAGCAGAGGGAGCAGTGGCAAGAGCGGAAATAGCAGCAGGAGCAGCAGCGGCGGCAGGAGCAACAGCAACAAGAGGAGGAGTAGGAGTAAGGGAAAAGGCAGAAGTAGCAGCCAAGAAAGCGTGCATTCTGTCACGAATTCACACAGTAGAAGCAGCAGCAGGAGCAGCGGTGGTGGTGACGGCAGCGGTGGTGGTGACGGCAGTGCTGCTGGTCCACCTGCAGAGGGGGTTTCAGCAGTGGTTCAAGAGAATGGTGTGTCTACGTTTGCTGGGGACAATGGGACTTCAGTTGACACCGCACCTGCTGTTGCCACTGACGCTCCTGCTGCCACTGCTGCCGCTGCTGCCACTGTCTCTGCTTCTTCTGTGCCCTCTTCTCCTGCTGTTCTCTCCTCTCCCACTGCTGATTCTGCTGATGGTGTTTTGGGTGATGATGGTGTTGCTATGGCTAGTGTTAGTGCTGCTGCCAGAGATGCTGCTGTTGGCACAAATGCTTCTGCTGCTACAGATGTCACCACTGCTGCTTCTGTTTTTGGTGATGATGCTGTTGCTACGGCTAGTGTTAGTGCAGCTGCTGCCACTAATGCCAGTGAAATTGTTTCAGCCACTGATGCTGGAGATGCTCCTGCTACTGCTGGTGCTAATGGTTCCGTTGCAACAGTAGATGTTTCCAATACGTCTGCTACTACAGATGCTGCTGCTGCTACAGATGCTGCTGGTGGCACAGATGCTGCTGCTGCTACAGATACTGCTGGTGGCACAGATGCTGCTGCTGCTACAGATGCTGCTGGTGGCACAGATGCTGCTGCTGCTACAGATGCTGCTGGTGGCACAGATGCTGCTGCTGCTACAGATGCCAGTGCTGCTGCTATGGATGCCACCCCTGCTGCTACAGATCCCACCGATTCAGTTACTGATATCACCACCGGTGCTACAGATGCCACCACTGTCACTGGCGGTTCTGCTCCTGTCACACTCACCCCTGCTACAGCCGTCTCTGTTGACATTTTCAGTGCTACAGCCGCTCCTCTCACAGCTTCTCCTGCTACAGCCGCCCCTGCAGTGGTCCTCCCTGCTGCTACATCTGCTTCCGCTCCTGCCTCCACCCCTCCTCCTGCTGCCACATCTGCCCTTCATGACATCCCTCCTGCCGCTACAGCCGCCCCTGCCGCCGTCCCTCCTGCTCCTGCCGCTACAGCCGCCTTCACTGCCTCCCTAGCGAGCGGTGCTGCTGCCACGTCTGTAGCAGCAGCCAAGGCGGCTGCAGTACTAGCAGCGTATAAACGCTCCTCCACCCCCCGAAGAGTCCTGTAGACCATGATACGTGGGATTCGGGGGAGGAGGAGGAGGAGGGGGAGGGGAGCGGGGGGTGGGGGGGAGCTGTGGGGAGGAAAGGCAGGGCTGCGAGCTATGGGGGGGTGAGTGGTGCAGAGCGAGGGGGAGGGTCAGGGGAAGGTGGGAGAGTGTTAGGGGGATCGTTAGGTGGGGGGGTTGGGGAGATGGCAGGAGGGGGAGTTGGACGAGGAGTGGCGATAAATGCAGGAGGGGGAGGGGGAGGAGTGAGGGCAACAGAAGGAGCAGAAGGAGCAGGAGCAGCAGGAGTTGAGGCCAATCTTTCAGGGGCTAGTTTGGCTGGTGGCAGTGCGGTTGGTGGAGGTGTGATGGATAGCAGTGCGGTTGGTGGCGGTACGGCTGGTGGCAGTGCGGTGTGGCAGGGTAGGGAGTGGTTGGGAGGGGTGGAGGTGTTTGTGAGTGCCATTGACAACATGTGGAGCCCGCTTCCTGTGTTCCTGGGGGGCAATGCAGGCGCACAGTCACAGTTCAAATCCCCCCGTACAGTCACACAGGGTCATTCACAGTTTAAAGCCCAGCAGTCAGCCACTCAGCCACAGTCACAGTTTGAAGCCCAACCCCCAGCCACTCAGTCACAGTCACAGCTTAAAGCCCCACAGTCACAGTTGGCATCTAATCAAGCGATTTTTGGGACAAGCAGTCAACACAGGCCGCCGCACAGAACAACCAGCCGCTTTGAAACCTCTGGAACCGTGCCTAACCCCTCTAAAACCGCACTTAACCCCGCTGGAACCATGGACCCTACTGGAACCGCGCCCAACCCCTCTGGATCCACCTCTCTTATTACCTCAATTAATACAGTGACTCCAACTGATACAATCACACCCACCAGTGTGGTCACACCCACCAGTGTGGTCACACCCACATTTCCCACCCCTAACAGCCTGACACCAACAACATCATCAGTTGCAGCAGCAATAGCCGCATTTTCAAACCCAACCGCCCTTGCTGTCTACCCAGTTACCCCATCAACTAGTGTCATTAGCGGGGTTACCCCTTCTAGTGGAGTTGCCAATAGGGTTACCATACCGGTTACACCATCGAGTGTTGTTTCTGGTTACACCCCCGTTGCTCCCCTCCGCACCCCTCCATCCTTCCTCGCTCGACAAAACTCCGCCCCTCCTGCTACCCCTATGGGAAAGCCGGGGGGTTTTACCCCTGCTTGGGGCACCGATGCTGCTGCTGGTGCTGCCGGTGCTACTGGTGCTAATGCTGCTACTGCTGGCAACACAAATGCTGCTGCTGCTGTTACTACAGCTGCCACAGCCGCTACAGCCGGCGCTACAGCCACCGCTACAGCCGGCGCTACAGCCACCGCTACAGCCACCGCTACAGCCGGCGCTACAGCCACCGCTACAGCCGGCGCTACAGCCACCGCTACAGCCGGCGCTACAGCCACCGCTACAGCCGGCGCTACAGCCACCGCTACAGCCGGCGCTACAACCCGCTCTGCTCGCCATCTCTTTGCCACGGAGCTGCGGTGCGCAGTGTGCGGCCACGTGGACCTGTGCCAGCTGGACGCCAGCCTGGCGCGTGACGTGGCGGAGCTCCACGCGTTCCTGTGCCCCGGCGGTGACGTCAGCAGCGGTGACGTCAGCAGCAGTGACGTCAGCAGCAACAACAGTGGCAATAGCAGCAGCAGGAGCAAAACGAGTGAGTGCATGCAGCAGTGGTCTTTGCTGCTCCCCCGCACAGCGCTGCACACTCGCTTCCTGGCCGTTCCTACCGCTCTCAGGCGCAGGCAAAAGCAGATGGAGGAGAGACAGGGGCAGAAGCGGCAGGTGCAGCAGCAGGGTGGAGAGAAGGGAGAGCAAAAGGAGACGCGGGAGGAGGGGCAGAAGAAGGGGAAGCAGGAGGGGTGCTTGGTGCTGCAGGCGCTGCAGCGAGGGGTGTGGAGGAATAAAGGACTTACGCAGGATGTGCTGCAGGAGCTGGGAGTGGGCATGCTGCAGGTACGCCTGTGTTAATTGGTGTGGGTAGGTGTTGATGAGCGTGTGGAGGGGTGCTTGGTGTTGCAGGCGCTGCAGCGAGGGGTGTGGAGGAATAGAGAACTTACTCAGGATGTGCTTCACAAGCAGCTGGGAGTGGGGATGCTGCAGGTATGTGCGTGTGGATGTGTGTGTAGGTGTGGATGGGTGAGTGGGTGGGTGCTTGGTGCTGCAGGCGCTGCAGCGAGGGGTGTGGAGGAATAGAGGGCTTACTCAGGATGTGCTGCAGAAGCTGGGGGTGGGAATGTTGCAGGTATGTGCGTGTTGATGTGTGTGTAGGTGTGGTTGGGTCTGTAGGTGTGGGCGGGTGGGTGGGTGGGTGGGTGGGTGGGTGGGTGGGTGGGTGGGTGGGTGGGTGGGTGGGTGGGTGGGTGGGTGGGTGCTTGGTGCTGCAGGCGCTGCAGCGAGGGGTGTGGAGGAATAGAGGGCTTACTCAGAATGTGCTGCAGGAGCTGGGAGTGGGCATGCTGCAGGTACGGATGGGTGTGGTGTGGTGTGAATGGGTAGGTATGTGAGTGGGGAGTGGCAGCGAGGGGTGTGGAGGAATAAAGGACTTACTCAAGATGTGCTACAGCAGCAGCTGGGGGTGGGAATGCTGCAGGTATGTGCTGTTGGGTGTAATGGGTGGATGGATGGGGTGGTGGTGTTTGGTGCTGCAAGCTTTTCTGCGAGGGGTGTGGAGGAACAGAGGACTTACTCAGAATGTGCTACAGCAGCTGGGAGTGGGAATGCTGCAGGTATGTGAGTTGGTGGGTGGGCGCGTGAGTGCATGGGTGGGTGGTGGGGTCAAGAGAAATGCCGGGGTTGTGGTGTGGTGTGGTGTGGTGTGGTGTGGTGTGGTTGTCAGAAGACAAGCTTTTGGTACCTTGATACCGTCCCCCCTTTCCCCATTCCTTCCCCCTTTCATCCTACTCCTCTACTTCCCCTCACCTCCCTTCTGCTCTTGTCCTCGCTTCCATCCCAATGCTGCTCCCAGGAGTGGCGTGGCTGGCAAAAGCTGTGCATGTCTGTGGTTCATTACTGTCACCCCTTTCCCCCTTCCCCCACCCTTTCGACCTACTCCCCCTTCCCTTGCTTTTGGTCTTCAGATTCTCGCTTCCATCCTTAAGCCACTCCCGGGAGTGACGTGGCTATCAAAAGATGAACTGGTGAGAATCGTGGTTGCTGAGAGGGAGAGGATGGAAGCCCTAAAACCTTGTCCTCTCCTTTTTTCCTCCTCCCCTTTCCATCCCGTGCTTGCAGATCCTCGCTTCCATCCTTAAGCCACTTCCGGGAGTGGCGTGGCTATCAAAAGATGAACTGGTGGGAATTGTGGTTGCTGAGAGGGAGAGGAGGGAGGTAGAGGAGAGGAGCAGGAGGGAAGAGGAGGAGAGGGAGAGGCGAGAGGGGGAGGAGAGAGGCAGGGAGGAAGAGGAGGAGAGGAGCAGGAGGGAAGAGGAGGAGAAGGAGAGGAACGAAGGGGAGGAGAGGGAGATGAGGGAGCAGGAGGAGAGGGTTAGGAGGGAAGAGGAGGAGAGGAAGAGGAGGGAAGAGGAGGAGAGGGAGAGGAGGGAAGAGGAGGAGAGGAAGAGGAGGGAAGAGGAGGAGAGGAAGAGGAGAGAAGAGGAGAGGAAGAGGAGAGGAAGAGAAGAGGAGAGAGGAACAGGAGGGAAGAGGAGGAGAGGAAAAGGAGGGAAGAGGAGGAGAGGAAGAGGAGGGAAGAGGAGGAGAGGAAGAGGAGGGAAGAGGAGGAGAGGAAGAGGAGGGAAGAGGAGGAGAGGAAGAGGAGTGAAGAGGAGGAGAGGAACAGGAGGGAAGAGGAGGAGAGGAAAAGGAGGGAAGAGGAGGAGAGGAACAGGAGGGAGACTATTGCAGTCGCGTCTGCTGCTGCTGCTCCTCCTCCTCCCTCTGCTCCTGCTACTCCCCCTTCCACTGCTCCTGTTGCTCTCCTTCCTACTGCTCCTTCTGCTGCTCCTCCTGCTGCTCCTCCTGCCAGTGCTTCTTTAACTACTCTAGCTGCAGTGCCTCATCCTGCTACAGTGGCGCATCCTGCTACAGTCCCTCATCCTGCTATAGTCACAGCTCCCCACCCACCTGCACTGGCTCCTGCTACAGTCACAACTCCGCACTCAACCCCAATAGCACCTGCTATAGGCACAGCATCACAGCCACCTGCTCTCGCACCTGCTATAGTCACAGCTCCTTACCCACCTGCTCTCGCACCTGCTATAGTCACAGCTTCTTACCCACCAGCACTTGCACCTGCTATAGTCACAGCTGCGCCCCCACATGCATCAGCTCTAGAACCCATTCCGACAGGCAGCATTCACGTCAACTCTCCACTACACCTCGCAGCTTCTGTTACAGCTGCACACCCACTCACAGCATCACCTGCTACAGTCACAGCTCCACATCCACTCACAGCATCACCTGCTACAGTCACAGCTGCACACCCACTCACAGCATCACCTGCTACAGTCACAGCTGCACACCCACCCGCTTCTGCTCTAAGGCCCAATCCAGCAGGCAGCATTCACGTCAACTCCCCACTTCACCTTGCATCTGCTGCTGCTTCTGGTGTTGCTGGTGCTGGTAATGTTGCTGGTCTTGCTGGCGCTGGTGATGCCACTCGTGCTTCTGACTACACTGCCGCACCAAATCCTGCTGTTGCTGTTGCTGCTGCTGCTGCTGCTGCAGCCAGACTTGCCCCCATCAATGTTAACCCCACCCTGCCTTCTCCCGAGCAGCTGAGCACGTTCCAGGAGGCTTTGCAAAGCGGTGCAGGTGGTGTTGAGAGCGGTGTAAATGGTAGCACCGACAATGGCTCTTTAAGCCAATTAGAGGCTCGGGCACTAGCAGCACTAGAAGACGATCTCAGCTTCAATGCCAAGGCTGCGGTTCAGGAGCAACGGGCTGCTGCAGAGGCTCGGGCAGTCCTTGCCGAAGCTGAGGAGCAGCTTCGGCGAGCACAAGCTGCGGTGGACCGAGCCAGGGCTGCTGCCTCGGAGGCAACCCACCGGGCCGAAGCTGCTGTTGCGGAGGCTTGGGAGGAGATGGATCAGCTGACTGAGGCTCGGGAGCAGGTTCGGAGGAAGGCAGAGGAGTGTCGGCGCGCGTGGGATCGCCACATCAGCATCGTGCGCCAGCTGGCAGCGGTATCGCCTGGTGCATGTGGCAGGAGGTCTTATTCCAAAAGGCGTAAGGAGGAGTTTGAAGCGGCAGCAAGGAGTTATGAGGAGTATTTGACGCTGTGGGAGGAGCTTGAGTGCATGGGTCGAGGGAGCATGCCGGAAACTCCACAGGCTCAATAATTCCTGTATATGCAATCCATGCGGGAAACTCTGCTGAAATTATCTACATAAGGATTGCACTTGGGAAGTATTTGACGGCGAGGCAGGAAATTCCTATGGAGTGCTTGTGCTTGCTGGAGGAGCTCGTACCTATGGAGGGTGCGTGGAGGGTGCGTGGAGGGTGTGTGGAGGGTGTGGAGGGTGTGTGGATGGTGTGTGCGTTACCACAGGCAAAACAATGCTACATGGCAATGGGAGGGCAGAGCACGCAGTATTGAAGTGAGCTTGAGCCTGTGGCTGGGGTGTTGCATGTGGCTGAAATGCATTGGGCACGATCAGGCGTTCATGGGGAGGGGAGAGGAGGGTGCTGCAGTGCAGCCCCTGCAAGACTGCGAGGTTGAATCCATTCGGCTAGGTGGTGTCTCTAGTTGTTAACAAGCACGGATAACCTGAAAAACAAGCCATGATGGGGTTACCGGTACATAGGAGCAGGGTGTCTGACCTTACAGTAGGAGCACTAGTACCAGTAGGTGCGTTAGCTAGGGTAGGAGGAGGATGAGTGCTGGTGCACCTACTTTATGAGCTCTGTAAATATAGCTGCAGTTGATGAAGGCAGAGACCGCGATGGACAAGAGTTTTTATTCCTAATCTCACTAACCAACCATCCCCCCCGCTCTCTCTAAAGTTCATACCCACCATACACTCAAGGATGGCATTCTCAATCTGTTGCAGTGGTCCACTAGCTGAGATGTATCCGTATGGCTGGTGGTGAGGGCGTTCATTCACCATGTATTGAGAACCACTATTCACAAGATAGCAGCACAGTTGAAAACTTCTTTACATTTCTGCAACCCAAGAAGTACAGCAAGCTGCAAACCTGCAGCCGTCAAACAGGCAATCGCTGCAAGCCTGCAAGCAACACGAGCTAACAAAACTAGACACTCCAGGCACTGGCGAAGCCTGAACGAACATAAACGGCATACAGGAACGTAACCTGCTGTACAAGGTGAGGTGGATGTACGCGATTTAGGAGGACGTAGGCGGATGTACAAAACTACCATAGGTTGGTAATCGCCTGGAGGTTGGTAGCGTCTTCAATTTCATTGAGGATAATCGAAGCAGTCAAATGCCACTTGCCGGTTGCGGGTAAAGCAGCACCAGGAAAAGAGATACAGCTTGACGGGATACGTAACGGCACCGGCTCCGCGAGTATCCCCGCTATAGACATTAATCTCTCCCTGATGCAAGCATCATCCTCCACTGGTCGTCCTCCTCCTTCTCATTGCCGAATGATCTCGCGCGGACAATCACGTCTTTTCCCGACGGAGGTGACGCTTCAAGCGGAGGCGCGAGGCGGAGGCCGCAAGGCACGGCGCTAACGACGGCGGAGGAGCTGAATGCCTTGCCGACGCTCTTGTCTCGCGTGAGAATGACCCTCAACCACGGTGCCGTCGCCATGTCGGAATTGAAATGTTGAATTAAAGGTAACTCGGGGACAAAAGTATTTTTCGAACAATTATTTCAAGGGATTGAGCACCCAATTCCGACAAGGAAATGTTGAGAGTGCAGGGTACTTCTGTCCTATCCAAGTTGTGAGCTCGGATAAAGAACACTCTAGCACGATGAGCGAGCAGGCAGAGGTGGAGAGAGTGGAGAGGAAATGGAGGCAAGGGAGTTTTATGTACAGGTGAGGGGTGAGTCAAGGTGGAGGAGATGGGTGGGTTGAAGCTGGAATGACGGTGGGATCAGCACGAGGCTACAATTTCCGGTAAGGCAGGCAACGGGACATGAACATGAGAAAGGGGTGCAGCAGCAGAGGAGAGCTGAAGGAATGGCGTGGTGATGAAGTGGTTGTCCGTCTTTGGCTGTCCGTGTTTGGCTCTGTGAATCGCTGTCCGTCAACGGGGGGATGTTCGGCGGAACGAGACTCTCCGCGGAATCCGTGGTTGCGGTGCGGTGCATTTGGTTTGGTGCCTCGAGTTTTCGTTGATGACAAGGCGACGACGGCACGAATTTCGCTCTGATGTGCAAAGAAAAGTCGTCATTCGCAAGCAGGGATGTCGAACAATCCCAAGGTGACGAGAGTCTTGGCTGAGCAATATCCGAGACACGAATGTTGACGTGGAAAGCAGTGTTTATGATTCAGCAAAGATGGCTCTCGTTCCCAGGAGTGGTTGCTTCTGGAAAAGGCTGCGTGGCGCCTCATCAGTCATTTGCCTGGGAATCACGGAAGCTTTTACATTGGTCAGACCACGTCAGATCTACCCAATCATTTACAACGGTATCAACCACTCGTCACAGGCCGACCCATTTTAAGCACACCGCATGGGTTAGCCTCCTTTGCAGAAGGTATAAATCAAATGTGTTGAAATCAATAATCCCCCTCTGGGTTAGCAGCAAGAGACTCTCCTTGACACGTAGAAACACAATAAGAGAACATCACACGTGAAATGTTTCACAAACCATCCGGTTTGGCTGGAAATTTGCACTTAACAACCTTCCCCTCTTGCCCCACAGCTACCGCCATTTCTCGGAGCAGCTTCATTACTGATTGGTTCCGATGGGCTGCCACGGGGTAAAATGTATTTGCACAAGACTAATAGATAGAGAGAGCTAGGCAGAAAGAGAATGCTGGTGTGATGCATATCAAAGGAAGCTGCCTCAACAGAAATATCAAATTAATGCAAAAAGAGAAAACAATGTCGTACCTGAGAGAATGACGTCGTCAGGTTCCACTCTCTTCCTCTTGGCATGCCGTGCAAACAACTGCACGTCCCGAGCCAATTGTTCTGCAGCCAGGGGAATGGAAGCACGGAGTTGGGTGGATAGTTTGCAGTGTAAACAAACAATAGAAGAATGAATCATTCTAGCACCTGAAGTTAGCAGAAGGAGCTCGCGAATCCTTAGGGATGCATGAGAAAACCCAACAACCCATCATCCTTAGGGGTGCTCACCCGCATACGTCAGGGTTAGGTGCACAAGCGCCTGCATGACGTCATCGTGGATGGACATCCCTGCCGACCGAGCTGAAAAGAACGAGACGATAAGACCATGGGGAACGAGCGGATATCATGAGCCGCCTAAACGTGTCACCGTTGTACGGAGACACCTGAGTAAGTATAAGACGGATATGGACTCGAAGATGGAGATCAAGGAAAGAAGCAGGCACGACGTGTTTACAAGCCAATACTACTAGATGTGTGTCGAACATCTTATCTGATTTTTCCCCTAGTCTCAACAAGGATTCTCACCTACCCGTCTCTTCCGCTATAGTCACCACCGCTGCTGCCATGCGCTGTTCCACTGCATTTCTTCCAGTCTCAGCTCCAGCGCCTTCGTGCTGACCGTCTCTCTGTTCGCTTCGTTTCTCGACTCCAGTGCTCCGCTCCTCAAAAAGCCTTTCGGCATGGGATCCATTCCTGTCGGACTCGATTCTTCCCAGACCATAAGTTCCCGCCTCTTCTGGCTGTGCTGTGTCTCCTGGCTCAAGCCAACGGTCGCTATCCTCCCTCGCCATCATATGATTCTTCAGATTTACGCGTGGTGCTTGCAAAATAGATACTGTATATGCTTTTTGGTTGGTTGCTGGATGTCCTCTCCAAATCGCTAGCGGAGTGCGCTTGTGATTACATTGGAGTTTATCGACCTACCATAAATGTTGAAGTGTGGATCTACTTGCTGTAATATGTTACCAGAACACACCATGTTGAGGATCCACTGCTGTGCGGGTTCAGGAGGTTAGGTTCAGGCGGTTACCGAAGCGGTGTTTTCTTCAGGTGGAACACTTCGCTGCGCAGCAGGTTAGTTGCCGACAAGGTGCCGCGATTTGGCAACGTTGCGACTCCGAAGAATTTCATTCTCATCTGTGATTGGCCCTGTGATCGTTGACGGGACACACAATTTTCGCAGCATCACCAGTGGCGCAATTTCACGGTTACGAATGCTGTGAGTTGCCACGCACATCGCCAAACTCCGCGCGACGACACCCATGTGGAGATCCCATGTGGCAGTGTGACGAACCATGTGGAGCAGTCACCCTACCTGCCACAAGCCGAGCCTCGATGTCCACAGACAGCCGAAGCTGTTCAGAAGACAGTTCAATACCAAACCAGTCTGGCTCGTTCGGCTTCTACCACCACCTGTCCCCGAGCCTCTTCAATAACGTACCCATACCCATACCACCCTTCCGCACCAAACCATTTCCACCAACCAGCCAACTAACCAACTCAGCTTTCAATACCGTCAGCCATGGATTCTCTTCCAAGGATAGAAGCCACAGTATCAAGTTTATAATGTCTACTTTTATGGCAGTTCCTTCGTGTGATGTTGATCTAGTGAGGCGCTTATTCATTGGCGTGCTATACGCTTGATCGCGAGGTGAAGCTTCTGGCATTTCTGTTACTCTTCGTCATGCTCCCTGAAGCCATTGCAAATACCTAAGCCATTGCGTCCTTAGTGGCTTCGACTTGGAATACATTATGACACAGTCGGCTTGCTCGCGTGAGCACGGATGTGTATCTTCAAGTTAGCATCCATCATATAGTTGTTGGAACCAGAGCGTTAGACATTTGCAAAGAGGCCATTATCTGAACGAGGCATTATCACTCGTGTGGATCGACCTCCGAGTTCCTTCGAAATCTGCCGTTCACTGATCCATCCCATTGCTGATCTAATGATCTGCGCTTCACCTGCTTAGACCCACTGACCTTCAATCTCCACTACGAAACGGGGCATAGCTAACAGCTCATAGCTCAAAGCTAGCAGCTTGCCGTTCCGGCTCACAGCTGGTGACAATGGATGACAACAAGAAGAACAGAAAGCGAGGTCCTCGGCATCGCCGAGGCGTTCTGATTCTCGTTCTGCTTCTCGTCGGCGTCGCTGCGTTCCTGGGGTTCGCGTTCAGCTCCTCATCCAAGTACAGCAGCCGAAATGGCGTTCAACAATCTGATGGGTAAACCACCTTGCCCATTTCCGCTGGATCCTCTGCTGTCTAGAAGGTTTTGTAAGATCAAAACGTTTGTTCCTGGAATTCGCGTTTAGTTCCTCATCCAAATACAGCAGCCGAAGTGGCGTTCAACAATCTGATGGGTATAACCACCCTGCCGGTTTCCGCTAAATTCCAACCTTCTCTAATTAATGCCCTTTAGATTATGTATGTTCGTGTCTTTCCACTATCGGTTTGATTACCATTATCTGCTCTGATGTTCTTTTCTCTCCTCCGTGCGATGTGTTGTTCTGTGCCATGGCAGCGTCATTGGGCAAGCGGCATCAGGTATGCAGTTGTCATTTCTCCTTATTTCCGTTCTCCGGAATCGATAACCAGTGAAAATTAGCAGCTTTTTGTGAGGAGGTTTGTGGATCAGACTGCTAAAAAAAAAAAGAGTAGCTCGCTGATTCGCGCTTATCTTCGCGCTGAGATATACATCCTTACACGCGTGGAATCACACATTGTCAGGGTTTCGCTACTGTCTCTGACAAAAAAGACCGCAAATTCTTCCGAAGCTATTGAGATGATCAGGCAACGGGTTGCTTTCTCTCATGTGGGTGTCCCGATCCGTCCGTTTACGGTTCCAATTCGCATAACAGTCCCGCGCGAAAGCATGCTCGCTTTCAGAAAAGAGGCGATTTTGCGAGTACAAGATCGCGTGACAGAATGTTTAGATCCCGTAGATATTAACATTTTTTCGTCTGTCGCTTGTGCCCTGCTGGTGATCGCTCAGCAAAGCGTGGGTAAATAATTGCTCAGCAGAAATCGAGCAGGCTAATCAGGGTTCCATGCGTACGCGATGACATCACACATCTTCCAGGAACTTTCTTGATCCTTACTTTCCTCGTGTCTTCCGCCTTCATTGGTGTCCCATTTCGTCGAATCCGCCGATCCGCCACGTGTGCAGAAGGAGGGAGCGGGTGGAGCTTGCTGGGGCAGGGCATGCTGGAGGCGGTGGGGAAGGTGCTCAGCTTCGAGGAGCGCCAAAGGGTGTCGGAGGACCTCAAAGAATCCGGCGACGACGACCACGAGGTGAGCGTTCTGCAGTGCGGTGTAGAGCGGTGTACTGCTGTTTAGTGCGGTGTAGTGTGGTGTTCCTTGAGGCGGTGGGGAAGGTGCTCATCTTCGAGGAGCGCCAGAAGGTGTCGGAGGATCTCAAGCAGTCGGGCGACGACGACCACGAGGCGAGCTTGCTGCTTAACTTTCTGTCTCAGTGCGCAATCGAAGAAAGAGTTGTAGGTGCTCATGCAATGACGATCACGATCGTGCTCAAAGCGAATTTCGACAGCGTTTACCCTGTTGCATTGACAGTCTGATCAGCTATGAGATACGGAGTAAATGAATATAAACAACCTGACGATTTTCCTGCTCGTTCCTATCCATCTCCCCTCACTCCCCCTCCAATCCCCTCTCGCCTCGACATTCTAAAGGCCGAGGCGATTGTAGCCACAGCTCCCCCCGGCAGCACAAGAGCTACAGGCGACATGGCAGCAGCAGCGGCAGCAGCAGCGCTAAAACCCCGCGGAGGGGGCAGCTCGAGCAGCACTGCAGCCGCCCTAGCAGACGACAACCCCCTGAAGAACAAGACAATGGCGGAACTCAGCTCGCTGGCCGTGGGTGTGACTGTAGACCGCGTGCCTCTATCGGGGTTCATGGGCGTGGATGGGCGGCTGGGGATCACGGATGGCAGCTGCGAGGCTGCGTCTGGAGAGAGGGACTGTCTGCCGCATGGCATCTGCATCAACGGGAAGTGCCAGTGCACCCTCCCGTGAGTATAAAACCTTCGTCCAGTCCAGGTCACCTAACCCTGAACCAGTTGCCAGTCCGCGCTTGGGGAGAGGGATTGTCTGCCGCATGGCATCTGTATCAACGGCAAATGCCAGTGCACTCTCCCGTGAGTATTGTATTGAGAGACATGTTAATTCGTGCGTGCCTCTCTCTATCGGGGTTCATGGGCGTGGATGGGCGGCTGGGGATCACGGATGGGAGCTGCGAGGCTGCGTCTGGAGAGAGGGACTGTCTGCCGCATGGCATCTGCATCAACGGGAAGTGCCAGTGCACCCTCCCGTGAGTATAAAACCTTCGTCCAGTCCAGGTCACCTAACCCTGAACCAGTTGCCAGTCCGCGCTTGGGGAGAGGGATTGTCTGCCGCATGGCATCTGTATCAACGGCAAATGCCAGTGCACTCTCCCGTGAGTATTGTATTGAGAGACATGTTAATTCGTGCGTGCCTCTCTCTATCGGGGTTCATGGGTGTGGATGGGCGGCTGGGGATCACGGATGGCAGCTGCGAGGCTGCGTCTGGAGAGAGGGACTGTCTGCCGCATGGCATCTGCATCAACGGGAAGTGCCAGTGCACCCTCCCGTGAGTATAAAACCTTCGTCCAGTCCAGGTCACCTAACCCTGAACCAGTTGCCAGTCCGCGCTTGGGGAGAGGGATTGTCTGCCGCATGGCATCTGTATCAACGGCAAATGCCAGTGCACTCTCCCGTGAGTATTGTATTGAGAGACATGTTAATTCGTGCGTGCCTCTCTCTATCGGGGTTCATGGGCGTGGATGGGCGGCTGGGGATCACGGATGGGAGCTGCGAGGCTGCGTCTGGAGAGAGGGACTGTCTGCCGCATGGCATCTGCATCAACGGGAAGTGCCAGTGCACCCTCCCGTGAGTATAAAACCTTCGTCCAGTCCAGGTCACCTAACCCTGAACCAGTTGCCAGTCCGCGCTTGGGGAGAGGGATTGTCTGCCGCATGGCATATGCATCAACGGCAAATGCCAGTGCACCCTCCCGTGAGTATTGTATTGAGAGACGTGTCCAAACGCGCGTGCCTCTCTCTATCGGGGTTCATGGGTGTGTGGGGGTTCATGGGCGTGTCATGGTTCATGGGCGTGGGATGGGAGGCTGGGGATCACGGATGGCAGCTGCGAGGCTGCGTCTGGAGAGAGGGATTGCCTGCCGCATGGCATCTGCATCAACGGGAAATGCCAGTGCACCCTCCCGTGAGTATAGACACTTGGGGTGTAGAGTTGACTTTTGAGTTGACTTTTGGGGTGGAGAGGGATTGCTTGCCGCATGGCATCTGCATCAACGGGAAATGCCAGTGCACCCTCCCGTGAGTGCATAATCTCTTTCCAGCTCAGATCACCCAATGTGAAGTACTGTGTTTTCATGTGGTTCACTTGGCTTGACGATGGCATCTGCATCAACGGGAAATGCCAGTGCACCCTCCCGTGAGTATAAAGCCTTCGTCCAGTCCAGATCACCTAACCTTGAACGAGTTGCCAGGCCACGTTTGGAGAGAGGGATTGACTGCCGCATGGCATCTGTATCAACAGGAAATGCCAATGCACTCTTCCCCGCCGTCCCCTTTCCCTGTGTATCCTCCCCTCTCCCCCCACATCTACCAAGGTGATTTCTGCCGCTCGGCTCAGCGCGCCTTGTGCGCAAGAATCCCACCTACGACGGCCCCTTTGTGCTGATTGTCCTACCCCCCATTCCCCCACCTCTTTCTCCCTGCCTCTTTCACCTTGTATCATTTTCCTGCTCTCCCCCCACAGCTACCAAGGTGACTTCTGCCGCTCCTCTCGGCGTCCCTTTGTCCGCAAGAAGTCGACCTACGACGGCCGCTTTGTGCTGAGCGTCTTTCCCTTCTTCTTCCCCCGCTCCCTCCCCCCATCCTTTCCCCGTCACCTCCGCCCCACACTCCCATCCCCCTGTCTATCCTTCCCCTTCCCCCACAGCTACCAAGGTGACTTCTGCCGCTCCTCTCGCCGCCCCTTTGTGCGCAAGAAGTCGACCTACGACGGCCGCTTTGTGCTGAGCGTGAGGCACGTGCGCAAGGCACACGGAGTCAAGTACCCTCTCACGCCCTCCCCTGGCTCCTATGCTGCTACCAACGCTGCTGCTGCTGCTGGGGCAGACGGAGGCGCGGAGGAGGAGAAGGAGAAGGAGGGCGAGGGCGCGGCGTTTTTCGAGGCGCCGTTTTACACGGCGGGGAAGGTCAACCGCGTGGTGTGGGGGAACCTGCAAAAGGTGAGGGCACTGTCTGTTCCGTGTAATAGCCATCCCACGCCACGCCACACTCTTAGAGGCGCCGTTTTTCACTGCGGGGAAGGTTAACCGTGTTGTGTGGGGCAACCTGCAGAAGGTGAGGGGGTTGTGTGTGTTTATGCCAACCAACGAAGCACCCTGCACCCACCCATACCGTTTTTCAAGGCGCCGTTTTTCACTGCGGGGAAGGTCAACTGCACCCTCGTATGTTGTTGTCGGTCCGCCTCTCCCTCCCACAGGGCAAGCTGATGGAACTGGAGCCAATGGTGTCGCAGCCGCTGCTGGAGCATCTGCCGGGCAGCGACCTGCTGCAGAGAAGCCTCTTTCACTTGACTATCTGGGCTGGCCTAAACCCTGACTATCTGGGCTTTCACTCTCTCCATGGCAGGGCAAGCTGATGGAGCTGGAGCCGATGGTCTCACAGGCACTGTTAGAGCACCTGCCGGGCAGCGACCTGCTGCAGAACGCGCTCTTCAACTCGTGTGCCATCGTCGGCAACTCCGGCTTTAACCTGCTCTTCCGAGATGGGCACCTGATCGACAGCCACGACGCTGTGTTCCGACTCTTTGAGTGAGTGCGAGGTATTACCGTTGGATGAGTGGGTGGCAGCTTCTACAGTGAGTAGGAGGATTTCCACAGTGGTTACAATGAACAAAGTACAGTGTGGCACCTGATTGACAGCCACGACGCTGTGTTCCGACTCTTTGAGTGAGTAGACTAGCCTTACAGTCAGAACTAGAACTTTCACAGTGATTTGTGAAATGAATCAGGGTTAACTATAAGGAAGGCAACTCGGGCTTTAACCTGCTCTTCAGGACGGGCACCTGATCGACAGCCACGACGCCGTGTTCCGACTCTTCGAGTGAGTGGCGTGGCCCTTGGTTAAGCGGGATGGCCTTACAGTAACGAGAGGAACTTTCCTATCAGGCAAGCTATACCTGCCTGTTGAGTGAGATATGGTATTTTAACTGGGGAAGGCGTGGCAGAAGGGCAGAAGGTAGAACTGGTTCCACAGTGGGTGGAGCAAGGATATACACTTGGAGTGAAAGTTGATACAGTGGTCTGATCAGCCCCGCATTATTTTTTCCACTCTTCTCCCTCCTCCCCACAAACGCAGTGGTCCCACTGTGGCGCGCAGTGGAGAGGGCGCAACAGCAGTGGCAGTTGATTTCACAACGTTTGTGGGGAAAAGGGCCACCATGCGAGTCGCTGGTGGTGGGGTTTTCTCCTCATTCCCTTGTCGTTTCCCTCCCTCGCCCTGCCTGTTTTCCTCCCTTTCAGCGGTCCCACTGTGGCGCGCAGTGGAGAGGGCGCAGCAGCAGTGGCAGTGGACTTCACGGCGTTTGTGGGGAAAAGGGCCACCATGCGAGTGGTGGATGAGGACACAATCGGGTTCAGCGAGGGGGGCGAGATCACCCTCATGAACGTCGCTTCCAAAAAGGGCTTCTACGGACACTTCCAGGTACGCTGGGAGCCGAGTTTTGAGTCAACTCACAAATTCATCTGAACACAATCGGGTATTCTTCAGCGAGGGGGGGATCCACCTTATGAACGTCGCCTCAAAAAAGGGGGACTTCTCTGGGTATTTCCAGGTGTGGACAGTGGAGTTATGTCAGGCCAGGCCAGCTTACGCGCGACCAGTGGTGCAGTGCAGGTACGCCGTACAGCCTGAGGCTGTTTCTTTGTGCAGTGCAGGTATGCCGTTCAACTGTGTGTTGGCCTTTATGCCAAGTTATGCCTTTATGCCACCACTTATCTCATGGTTTCCCTGTTTGCTTCTGAGGCATGTCAGAAGCTGCTTCCTCACCTTACACGTCCTTCCTCTCTCCCACCCCTCCCTTCCACCCACATCAGTTCCTGAACGAGCAACCAGATGCCAAGTCGTTTCTCTTTAACCCCGAGTTCTCCACATACGTCACTGACAACATCGGTCCCATGCCCTCCCCTGTTCCATGTCGTTCCTTCTTCCCGCTCCCTTGCCGTCTCCCCCGCCCCCCACACATTAGTTCCTGAACGAGCAACCAGACGCCAAGTCGTTTCTCTTCGACCGGGAGTTCTCCACATACGTCACTGACAACATCGGCCCCCTGCCCCCCCCCTCCCCTTCTCTCCCGCTGCCCCCCCTCACCCCTCCCCTGCCCTCTCACCCACATCAGTTCCTGAACGAGCAACCAGACGCCAAGTCGTTCCTCTTTGACCCGGAGTTCTCCACATACGTCACTGACAACATCGGCCCCCTGCCTTCCCCTCTCGCCATGATGCTCTTCCTCGCACTCCAGGTCAGTCAACCCCCCTGTTGTCTGTTTGCTCCTCTGCTCTTACTGTTTGACCATGAATTCTCGGCCCACATCACTGACAGCATTGGCCCCCTGCCTTCTCCCCTCGCCATGACGCTCTTTCTCGCTCTCCAGGTCAGTCCCCTTCGTGTTTCTTTGCCCCTCTTCTTGTCTTGCTCATGTTCTCACCCCTGCCCCACCTCCCGCCCACCCCCACCCTCGCCATGACGCTCTTTCTCGCACTCCAGGTCAGTCCCCTTGCTGGTTCTTTGCTCCTCTTTTCTTCCTGCTCGTGTGTTCCTCCCTCTCCCATCACCATGACCCTCTTCCTCGCACCCCATTCCAGGTCAGTCCCCCTGCTGCTTCTCTACCCCTCTTCTTGTCCCTCGTGTTGGTCCGCCTTCTTCTCCTTCCTCGCCTTCTCTCTCTCACCATGACCCTCTTCCCCCTCCCTCCCCCATTTCCCAGAAATGCGTGTCTCTGGACGTTTTGGGGTTGCACTGGCGGCCAGGATACGATGGAGTGCCAGATTTGCACGAGACTTTTACTCTCTAGATACTGAATGTCTCCCCTATTCCCTCCCTCTCCCCCCTCCCACTCCCCTTCACTCTAGAAATGCGCATCTCTGGACGTGTTTGGGGTGCACTGGCGGCCAGGATACGGTGTGCCAGAGCTTTCAGAGACATCTATGTACCAAATGTCGCCCCCGTTCCTTCAACCCTTCCGTGCCCCCGCCCCTCCCCCCACTCCCCCCCCCCCCCCCCCATCTGCAAACTTAGAAATGCGCGTCTCTGGACGTGTTTGGGGTGCACTGGCGGCCAGGATACGGAGTGCCAGAGCTGTACTATAGAGAGACAGACTCTGACGCGGATGTGGTGTACCAGCAGCCAGCAGACCTGCAGCTAGTCGAGGTGAGTGAGGGGGGAAAGAGCATAAGTAGTGAAGAATGCACAGGGTGGGTTAGTAGGCTAGGCAGGCTCTCTGTAACCAAGGGACGGGGGCTGGCAAAGAGGGTGATGTGAAATGCCAGCAGCCAGCTGACCTGCAGCTAGTCGAGGTGAGCGAGGGGGGAAAGAGCAGAAGTAGTGAGGAATGCAAAGGTTGGGTTGGTGGACAAGCACTCTGAAACCATGGGAATGGGGGCTGGCAATGCGAGTATATGGTGTACCAGCAGCCAGCAGACCTGCAGCTAGTTGAGGTGAGGGCTGGTTTTTGAGAATTCTCAAAAACCAGCAGACCTGCAGCTAGTCGAGGTGAGAGGGAGAAAGCATCATAATGGGCTTGGGTGAAAGGTGAGGCATCAAAACACATCCCCATACGTTTTTCTGCCCTGCCCCCCCCCACCTCCACCCCCAACTCCACCCCCTTTCCAGACCCTTGCTCGCCTGAACCTGGTGGGGCTGGGCCAGCCGTGTGTGATTGGCTGTGAGGCCGAGACGCGCATTCGCTGCGACTCATGCTCTGCTGGCAGCTCGTGCGCCTGCGGCCGCCACAACCCGCTGCCCGTCGCGCTGCCCGGGTTCTGCCACCTGCCCGGAAATTACACGTGCTTCTTCCGATGCGACGGGAAGTGGGGCAACGCATGCCAGGTAGGCAGACAGGAGAGGGTGAGAATGCAATTGAGCATGGGACACATGCGCATGGGCTGAAGAATGCGATAGTAATCAGCAGGGACGATTTCCTCCTCCTGTCCTTCTTTCAACCCTCACGTCCCTGCCCCCTGCTTCGTTGCTCCCTGCTTCCCTACTCAATTGCTACGCTGCTCTCCTCCCCCACCGTTCCCATTCCCCGTGGTCTCAGCCCAGATAACTTTGACATCACTGGGCGGCAGGGTGTCACACCAGGGTGCTCCCTTGTTCCCCTTGTTCCCCATTTGTGTCAACTCAAAATCCTGCTCCCTTGTTCCCCTACTCCACTGCTCCCCCTGCTCCCCTGCTCCCTTCCCTTGTTCCCCTGCTTCCCTGCCCCCTGCAACCCTCACACAGGGTGGGCCTGGCAGCAGTCTCTGCCCGGACGACTTTGACACCACCGACCGACAGTGCGCCACGCCGGCAGATGTCTGTGTTGACTCAAAATCTTCCTACCTTGCTCCCCCTGCTCCCCTGCTCCCCTCACAGGGTGGGCCTGGCAGCAGTCTCTGCCCGGACGACTTTGACACCACCGACCGACAGTGTGCCACTCCGGCAGATACGCCTCCCCCAGAAGAGGCCCCGTGGTGGGCGCGGCGCGGGTCAATGCGCGAGTTTGACTCCAAGTTTGAGCGCGCGTACCGGCAGCTAAGGAAGCAGAAGATCCGCGAGGCCAAGGAGAGGGCCAGGACTGCCAGGGCTGCGCGGCTGAAGAAGAGAGAGGAGAGAAGCATGCGCCATGGGAGTGAGGCCAGGTGAAGGCATCTTGTTGCAGGTGCTTTTTTGTGAATTCTGAAAAAGAAGTACCTGCAACGGAGTGCCAGGGCTGCTCGGTTGAAAAAGAGGGAGGAGAGAAGCAGGTGAAGGCCTAAGAGGATGGCGAATGGGAATTAGGCAAGAGAGTGTCTGGCTAGAGCAAGAGCTTGGGGAGGAGATGAAGCAGTGAAAGGTTGTGGGATTCTTCTGTGGAATTTCCGACTGGAGTGGGTGCTGAGGGCCACGTGCACCAGTGCACATGGTGGAAATGCACTGCTGCTTAGGAATTGTGTCAGCAAGCTAGGAACAGATAGCATCTGACATGCATATGAATATTATGTGAATGGTGTAACTGAGGAATGAGCAAATGCAAGGCTTATAGGAAGTGCAGATAAATTCCTTTTAATCGTTACTGTCTGCTAGGAAGTTAAGTGTAGTCCATGTGACCTACATTCTTTGGGGTTTGAATATCATGATATCCGCTCATATATGTGCTGTTTGGGTACTTGGCGCTGTGTAACGAATCAGTCAATGGCGGCCCGATTTGCAGGTAGTCACGCTAAACGACAAGCCCTTCCATGGCTGGTTGGTTGGTGATCGAAACCAAGCTCAAACCTGTCGGCGCGCTAGTGTGGGCGTCTGGAGGGGCTGCCATCTACAGCACCCACCAATCAAAAACAATTGCGTCACCCCCGAGTTCAGAGAGGGCCGGTTTTCCCAAACCGCTAGGCTGGGGAGGGGAGCACAGTTACAAGACGAACGGGGAGCTCGCACACACCCACACACCCAGTGCTAGCTTTTCATTGGTGAGTTCTCCTTGGGACGGCCCTTCCGCAGGAAGGCGCCGCCGCCGTGTGTCGAGGCGCAATAGAAAGTGTTACGATTGGTCAGGCGAGACGCCAGGAGCAACACGTCACTTCCGATTTTCACACCAGGAAGAACCGTCACCGTCGATTTCGCTAGCGAGGGCTAGCCCAACGACGTCGTCAGTGCAGAGACCCAACAATGATGCCTTTAATACGGTGCAGAGCGGTCTGAGGCGCATTTCTCGAGTTTGTGAGCTTCTCGAAGTCGAATGTCGGTCGGCGCGCCCCAACCTCTCCCCCCCCTTTCCCCGCCCGCCCCACAGCCCCCCTACCCCACCCCCGCCCACACACCACCCTTACGGGTTAGCAGGCAGGGCTGAACGGCCTAAACTCCCAACGCTACTATTTTCTAGTACCTTCTTCTCAGTATAAGTGGCGTGGCGGCGAGGCGAGACAGCGTGAAGCAATTAACCACGACGCTTGATTGTGAAGGTGCTTACTCAGCCTCCGCCTTTTAGCGCCGCCGGTGCTTCTACTTTTGCGAAAGCTCGGACAGCAAAACTGAGTACTTGCTTCGATTGTCTCACCCCATCCCGCCGACTTGGCGACTCATCGCGTCTCATAGCCTACTGCACATTCCTAGTAACCGATTTCACTTCTCGCACCGAAGCTACGGCATATTAGCAAACGAAGAGCGCGAGCCGCGGAATGTACTAGCTTTCGCCAGCTTTCACCGACACGTGTCAGGCGAGGAAACTTCTCCGAAGTAACTTATTCCTTAGTCGTCATATTTCCTTCAAATTAAGCGCACTCGCGTTTAGGTCGCCCGCTACAAGCGATGAAATCGTCCACGTCGCGCGACGCGCTCTCGTCGCACGGGTCGTCGCCACCGTCGCGCGTCTCCAGCCTGGGGTCGCTCGTGTCGCACGCATGGGCCATGCTTGGTCTTAAACGAAGCAACTCTAATAACGAACGCTTCACTGGCAGCGCAGGCAGCGACGCACCTGATTGGTTCGGCGCCGAGTGGCTTCGTTTTAGTCTCGTTGCGATTAACGCGTGCCTCGTTATCCTCGTTATAAGCGAACTCTCACCGTTTTGCGCACGCCCTTGGGGAGGCGGCGGAGAGGGGGGGCTCCCCCAAGCCGCGTCCGCGGAGGATTCGGGGAAACTTGCGCGGATGCGGGGGCTGCGGCAGGCGCTCCCGCTCTTGCGACTCGACAGCGGCACGCTCTCGCAGTAAGCGCGCGGGGGGGGGCGGTCGGGAAAGGGGGGGTTGGTTGCACGCGGAATTGCAATGTAACCGGATTGAGGGTAGATCTTGGTTATCTCATTGTGCTCTTTCTACTCCCGCTCCCCTCCCAATGGCCATGCAGGCCAGGAGATTCAGGTGCCTCGGGCGCCTCAGGTGGACTTTCAGGTGGGACAACAACAGAAGAGCACGTGTGCTGGACGTCATCAGGAGGTGGGTGCTGGCCGGTTTGGGTTTGGTGTCTTGCTGCCTGCTTGCTCGCTTAGTAAAGGGGTGATCAAAGTGCTGAACCAACAAGACGTCGAGGAACGTCGGTGAGTGTCAACCCTCGGATCAAAAGTTCCAACCGTCAGGATTCGCCGACATCCATCGACGTCGAACTCGTGCATTACTTTGATCACCCCTTTACAAGCTTACTATTGAGTCGACTCAATAGTCAGCTCGTTACAGGCGCCACAAACCCTCTCACCGTCCCCTCCCCTCCTTCTCATCCCCACCTCCTCCCACCCCTCTCCACCCAACCCAACCCCCTTATCCGCCACCAAACACAGACTACAAGTCCCCATCCGATGTGGTGGTTCACGGCCCTGGCTGTGCTGCGTGCCTGCGGGGGCGGAAATGCTCCTCTCAAAACCCTTCCCACCTCCTCCCACCCCTCTCCACCCAACCCAACCTCCACACGGACTACCAGGCCCCACTAGGCGTGGCGGTTCACGGCCTCAGCTGCTCTGCCAGCTTGCTTGCGCGGGCAGGCAGCGCTACGCCTTCCTCGTCTCCATCCGTCCGCTTCACCCTTGTTCAACCAACCCAACCCCTCGCTCATGCAGATTACGAGGCTCCATCAGGCGTGGTGATCCACGGCCAGGGCTGTTCTTCCTGCCAGCGCGGGCAGCGCTGCGCCTCCCTCGTCTCCATATTGTGGCAGAGGAACATTTCCCCTTGTCCATCCCCTCTTCTCCACCCCCCTTTAACCCCTTCGCCACACGTGCAGACTATGAAACACCATCAGGCGTGGTGGTTCACGGCCGCGGCTGCTCGTCCTGCCTGCGCGGGCAGCAGTGGTCCTCTCACACCCCTTCCCACCTCCTCCCACCCCTCCCCACCCAACCTAAACCCCGACTAGACTATGAAGCACCATCAGGCGTGGTGGTTCACGGCCGCGGCTGCTCGTCCTGCCTGCGCGGGCAGCGCTGCTCCTTCCTCGTCTCCATCCGCGCGCCCGCCCACTGGATTGCGCCGGAGCAGGCAGGCAAGGGCAGCAGCAGCGGCAAGCACACGTGGTGGCAGAGGGATGTCTCTCTGCTGCTCCACGGGCCAGCACTAGCCCATGGGGACGTGAGGTGCCTTGATCCCCCTGGCTGCCTGGAGATGAGTGTGTCCTACCGCGTGTGGGACATTGGGGAATACTGGTGAGTGGTAGTCAGCAGGGTGGGAGGAAGAGCATAGGGCAGCAAGCACACGTGGTGACAGAGGGATCTCTATCTGCTCCTCCACGGGCCAGCACTAGCCCACGGGGATGTGCGGTGTCTCGACCCGCCCCACTGCCTGGAGCTATCAGTTTCCTACCGCGTTTGGGACATTGGGGAATACTGGTGAGTGCTGGAGAAAGGACAGCAACAGCTGGTGCACACGTGGCACGGATCAACACACGCACTCTGCACTCTCTTGTGATCGCCACGAGCTCGTCGCCGCTTGAACCATCTCAACCGCATTGCTTCCCTCCTGACCTCCCCCACTCCCGCTCCCAATTCCCCTCTCCCCAGGGCTACCCTCAACGTCGGCTGCGCCAATCTCAACTTCTCAGCAGCTTCCTTGCATCATCTGCACTCCACGCTGCAAAACACTCTCACTTCCTGGCCAATCACAATTCACCCTCGCTTCCGATCCAACTCGCCGAGCCTAGCTGCCAAGCCTAACTTGGCTAATGGCCTGAGCCTAGCTGTCAAGGCTAACCTACGCAATGGACCGAACCTAGCTGCCGAACCTCCGCACCGAGATTCTGATTCTCCGAACCTGGACCCCCTTCTCAGCAGCTCGCCTCTCCGAGCCTCGTTGTTGGAATCGCCACAGGCAGAAGGTGGCTTGACCCGAGGCTTAGAAGCAGAGACGAAGCTTCCTGAGAGCCCCTGTGCTGGTGCTTCGGTCCCAGGAAGATGGGTGAAGGAGGAGGGAGGAGAGGGGTACAGGTGAGCTTGTAGAATTTCTTTTATTCCTCTTGTAACCTTCACACACACACGCACACACACACACACACGCGCGCGCGCACACACACACACACACACACGCACGCACAACGTTCACCCACACGCACACACACACAACGTTCACCCACACGCACGCACACACAACGTTCTTATTTTCCCCACACGGCCCCCCCTCTCTTGTACCCCCGTTTCTCCACCCGCACACTCCCACTTGCAACCCCCTCTTCCATCGCCTGAGTCGACTCAAAACCACTTGCAACCCCCTCTTCCATCCCTCTTTTCCTCGTTTCCCCCTCTGCCCTCTCCCCTCCTCCTCCCCTCTTCCCTTCCCAGGTGGTCATTCTTCCCTTGCTCGCGTAAGGAGCTCCCCCCCTCTCAGTGGATTTCAGCCCTCGATCGTCGCGGCATCCGGGAGATCTCGATCGTCGGCGATTCGCATCAACGGTTCCTGACAGCCCACCTGTTCTTCCTGCTCACGGGGGAAGACATGACTGAGATGGAAAAAGGGCGGACTGTTAACGAGAGTCGGGTGTACATCGCAAGAGATGAGACGAACAAAACTCTGAAGATTAACTTTTACTGGATTGCTGGAGTCTATGAGGATTGGGAGAACGGGTGCAGGTGAGAGATTGCATTGCTGGAATTTGTTCATTTGCACGCCTGCATGACAGGTGAGATTCAGTGCGTGATGGATGGATGAATCATGAAGTTCCGTGGACTAGTGTGGCTGAAGGTGAGAGTGTGGATGAAAGTGAGAGTGTGGATGAAAGGTGAGGGCATGGCTGCTGGTAGGAGCATGGCTGCTGGTAGGAGCATGGCTGCTGGTAGGAGCATGGCTGCTTGCGAGAGTAAAAGCCTGTCTTTGTTCTATCAAGATTCTGTCCTTTTGAGGCATCCCAAAAGTCAAGTTTTGATCCTTGAGACCTTCATACACTCTCTCCTCTTCCTGTAAAGAGAGAGAGAGAAAAAAGAGCTTAAAAAGGTCGAGCCTTGATTCATGAGACCTCCTTGAACCTCCTCCTCTTTCCGTCCCCTCCTCCCCACTACTCCCCCCTTCCCACCAGCCACCCACACTCTCTCAACCGCACTGGACCGTTCCCGACCATTTCACCCACCGCTGATGTCACCCTCTTCGAAGCTGGTTATTGGGCCGCCGTCTTTTGCCGAGAGCCTCTTAAAGCCCTGCGCACCCACCTGCAAAAATTCCTCCGGTGGGCTGTTTCCACAGCTACCCCCGGAAAAGCCAGGGTGGTTTTCCGCACTATCCCGTCTTTTCCCCTTAGGGGGGATTGGTGTAACAGCTGGCATCCCGGGCCGAGTTCGAACCGAGCTGGCATGGCGATTAACGCTTTAATGAAGCACCTTGTAAGGGGTATGGATGGGAATGCGCAACAAGGGGGAAGAGAAGGGCACGAAGCAGAGGCGTGTAAAGCAGATATCGACTGTAGCTTACAGCAATTGCCAGAGGAGGAGCGGGGGGAGGAGTCTGGTGGGGAAGGAGGAGGGCTGCCAGCATCAGCAACGGCATCAGAGCCACCAGCAGCACCATCAGCAGCAGCATCTCAGCCGTCGATCTTGGATCTGTGGATGGTGGACGGCCCTCGTTACACGGACACAGGTCGCCCCTTCGATCACCATTACTCTGCTCTCGTGCACGCAGGGCCGGGGAAGGGGCAACCTTTAGTGGTGAAGGGAGATGTGGGGGAGGCCCATGTGCGAGCGCTGATGCACTACCTGCTGCATGTGATGCGCTGAGAAGTGCATGTTATTTGAGATGATATTCACCCAGTGTTGTCATGTGTGGAACAAGTTTCAGTAACGGCAACTCAATTTTGTTCATAACAAAAATTGGGCTGAGCTAAGATCTTTCGAAACGGTGACTGCAGAAGTTTAGTTGGACAATCAGTCGATCGGCAGCAGTCTGAGGAGGGAGATCCAGCCCACAGTACGACCTCACAGTACATCACCTTATTGCTCTCATAGTTCCCTCCGTACATCACCATGCATGCATGCATGCCTATACCTTAATGACAGCACCAGCACCACTACGGCATCACCCGCAGCACCAGCAGGGCATGAAACCCCTCTCAAGCCACAGTCAGCCGGAGCACAAACACATCATCTAGGCGGTCGTTGCTCTCAGAGTTGCCTCCATACACCACCATGCCAGCGGCCAGCTTAGCAGTGGCATCAGCACCAGCAGCATCAGCAACTAGCGAATCTCTCTCAAGCAATGGTCAGCCGGAGCACAAACACATCATCTAGGCGGTCGTTGCTCTCTGAGTTGCCTCCATACACCACCATGCCAGCAGACTCACTAGCACCAGCAGCGCCACTACCAGCACCAACAGCACCAGCAGGACACAAAATCCCTCTCAAGCCACCGTAAGGCGGAGCACAAACACATCATCCAGACAGTCGTTGCTCTCAGAGTTGCCTCCATACACCACTGTACCAGCCCAGCACACCCACCATCAGCAGCATTACCAGCACTAGCAGAATTAGGTCCCTTCTCAAGCAATGGTCAGCCGGAGCACAAACACATCATCCAGACGGTCGTTGCTCTCAGAGTTGCCTCCATACACCACCATGCCAGCACCAGCAGAAGCACCCAAAGGAGCAACAGGGAACCACCCACGAGCGCCCGGGTCTCCGCCAGAAGAGACGAGCGACGCCGGCCGGAGCCACTTCCTCTCCTCCACGTCCAATAGGAAGAGATCTTTGGAGAATTTCCCTGCCCCCAAATGGCCTAGATCTGATGGGTCCACTTCACCACCATACACCACTATGTACTCCTTACAAGCAGACTCGCTAGCAGCAGGGAGTGAGACGGTCACAGCGCCGAAAACACTCCGCGGAATGGGCTTGATTACATCCCCGTTACCAGCCGTACCAGCCGCATCTGCACCAGCAGTAGCAGGAGGAAACTGCACCTCCTCCCAAGTCTCCTTCCCCAGATCAAACCTATGCACATCCCCAAGCTCATGCTTCCCGGAAAACCCAAACAACACCCACACTGCGTCCCCTGCTACTGCTAACCCAGGCCCACCCCGAGGCACGCAAGAACTGGAAGGAGGAGGGGAGGGGAGTTGCCGCCATGTGTTGGTGTGGGTGGCAGAGGCAGAGGGAGCGACAGGGTAGGCCCAGAGGTCGTTGAATCGACCCGTGGTGCCACAGCCGCCAAAAATGTAGATTTGGGAGCGATGGGGGTCTGCTGCCATGGTGTGGTAGCTCCTGGGGGGATGAGGGTGGGAGGGAGTGGGGAGTGGTGTCAGAGAGTACGGGTGTGAGGGTGAAAGGGGTGCCACAGCCGCCAAAGATGTGCGATGGGGGTCTGCTGCCACGGTGTGGTAGCTCCTGGGGGGATGGGATGGGGCGGGAGGTTGAATGTTGTGAGGGAGATGAGTGAGTAAGGTAGTGAGCTAGGGTGAAAGAGAATCGGCCAGTGGTGCCACAGCCGCCGAAGATGTAGACTTGGGTGCGATGGGGGTCTGCTGCCATGGTGTGGTAGCTCCTGGGGAGGAAGGAATGGGGTGAGGGAGTGTAAGAGAGGGTGTATGCGGTGTGTGTGAAGGTGCAACCTCTCAAGATGTAGACTCGGCTGCGATGGGGGTCTGCTGCCATGGTGTGGTAGCTCCTGGGGGGATGGGGTGTGAGGGAGGGAATGTGGGAGTGAGTGAGGGTGCAGGTGCAGCTGCTAAAGATGCGACGGGGGTCCGCTGCCATGGTGTGGTGGCTCCTGGGGGGGAAGGAATGGGGTGAGGGAGTGTGTGTGGGAGGGTGCATGAGGTGTGTGTGAAGGTGCAACCTCTCAAGATGTAGAGCTGGTAGCGATGGGGGTCTGCTGTTACGGTGTGGTAGCTCCTGGCGAGGAAAGGGATGGGCAGGAGGGAGCCCCGCAGGAGCTATGGGCGCCCCACACCATGGGGGAAAGTAATGGCAATGGGGGAAAGTAATGGTAACGGGGGAAAGTAATGGTAAAGGGGTAAAGTAATGGTAACGGGGGAAAGTAATGGTAACGGGGGAAAGTAATGGTAACGGAGGAAAGTAATGGTAACGGGGGAAAGTAATGGTAATGGGGGAAAGTAATGGTAACGGGGGAAACGAATGGTAACGGGGGAAAGTAATGAGACTGTATGAAAGGAACAAAGGTATCCCAATTCGCTCTCAGTCCAACCTAACCCCTTCTCACCCTGCATCCTCCCATCCCAGCACTCACCTGCCAGGGGGGGACTTGTCGCCAGTGCTCAGCACCTGCCACTCCCCCGTGGATCGCCTCAACAGGCACGCAGCTGGTTCCCTATCACTCCACCCCACCCACCTCTCGCCCCATGTCCTCCCTTTCATCACTCACCTGCCAGGAGGGGACTTGTCCCCAGTGGTCAGCAGCCTCCACTGCCCCGTGACTGTATCGAAGGAGTAGAAGTCGCTCAGCTCGTTTTTATCACCGTCTCTTCCACCAAACACGTACAGGGTGCTCCCCAAAGCCACCATGGTGATGCCGATGCGGGGGGCTGGTGGGGGTGAGGGGGGTTGGGGTGAGGAGCAGGGGGGTGGGAGAGTATTTAGATGGGGTGGAGGAGAAGATAGTGTGCCTCAACGCGTTCTATCACCGTCCCTCCCACCAAACACGTACAGAGTCGACCCCAGAGCCACCATGGTGATGCCGATGCGGGGGCTGGTGGGGAAGGAAGGGATCAGGGGCTTGGGGGTATTAGAGTAAGCAGATGGGATGAGTGAAAAGACGTGGTCACCAGAGGCAGCAGCGACAGTCCATTTCCACGTTCCCAGGTCCATGACATGCATATCATTGCCGATTGTAGTAAATGGCGCAAATAGAGGGATACGTTACATCGTTGTAACGCACATGGGATGTCACCAGAAGCAGCAGCGACGATCCACTCCCGCGTGCTCAGGTCCATCACAAGCACGTCGTTGCCGATGGGCACGCGTGGCTCAAACCCAACTCCAAACACACTAGAACCTCACAAGCACGAATGCATCAACGTACGGACAGGGATACGCCACTGTACTGTACGTACACGGGATGTCACCAGAAGCAGCAGCGATGGTCCACTCGCGGGTGCTCAGGTCCATGACATGCATATCGTTGCCGATTGGCACTCGCGGCTCGAATTCCCCCCCGAACACAAACATCTTGTTCCCCACCACTGCTATGGCGTGCGAGCTGCGCGCCTTAGGCTCTCCCTCGCGCTGTGTAATCTGTGGGGTGATGGGTGATGTTGGGAGGTGACGGGGAGGGAAGGGTGGGCGGAAGGATGCTGGGGGGATGAGGAGAGAGAGGGTTTCAAACTCCCCACCGAACACAAACATCTTGTCCCCCACCACCGCTATGGCATGCGAGCTGCGCGCCTTAGGCTCTCCCCCGCGCTGTGTGATCTGTGGAGTGTTGGGTGATGTTGGGAGGTGAAGAGAGAGGGGAGGTTAACCACCGCTGTGGCGCCTTAGGTTCTCCCTCGCGCTGAGTGATCTGCGGAGTGTTGAGTGATGTTGGGGGGTGGATACGGATGGGAGGTCAACACTCTTCTCCCCCCTTGCCCGAACACAAACATCTTGTCCCCCACCACCGCTATGGCGTGCGAGCTGCGCGCCTTCGCGCTGTGCGATCTGCATGGACAGAGCGAGGGATGCGAGAGACTTCATGAGAATACAGAGTAAGTCAGGAGGGAAAAGGACGTTGTTGCGAAAAAGGAAACGATCGCAGCGCACAAAACTGACTGTGCGAAATATCATACTGATAACAGGAAAAATGTCTATCTGACTGGGTAGATATGCTCGCGGTTCGAGACTACCACTATTATCGCAAAAGCTAAAACTTTTGTTTTCCGCAATGCAATGCAATGTCGAGCAGACTGCACATTCCTTCGGCAGTGCAAAGTTTCCAGTGCAAGGAATGGCAGTTTCCTCACCTCCTGCCACGATGCCTCGATTCGAGCCATGGAGGATGCAGCAAAGCCAAATGAAGAAACTGATCGGCTCTTGCTTCAGACGCAACTTTAAGGAGCGTATACACGAGCGCTTTCCGCGTTCTAGTAAAAATGTGCACACCTCACTGCATCATATTCCCTTGGAGAAATCCTTCCAGCCTGATCAAATATGAACTGTGTGATGTGAATGCTGGCTGGGAGTGACAATCCCGAGGAAAAGGAATCCGCGAGGAGATGGGAAAATCCACGCTTGCTGTGCCAGCTTGGCTGAAATGCTGAAGCAGGAGGGTGAATTCGCGATTGTTCGCTTCTCACCCGTCTCGCGATGGTCGGTGGCGAGGCGAGAAGAGGCGAGCAATTACAGCTGGAACAAAAACATCATTCCAGCTAATCCTCGCTATATGGTTGTTACCTGAGGATTCTGGTATTCACATATGTACACTGAAATCAGTTATAACCCTCTAGAAAAGACTCAATACAGCATCTTCCTCCGTAGCATATTGGGGGAAGCATTTCGGCAAAATTTGTCAAAGTTCAAAGTTTAACCTCTTTGCACCATGGAAACACGTCTCTCAACTGTATTGTACCAGGTCAAACCTCACTAAAATTCGAACTCAGACAAAAGTTAGAACCACTAGTGCACACGCCCTATCACAACACTTCCAAGGGCACCACCAGTAAGGTGATGCATCTGCTGAATACAAAGAGTGAAGTAGAACCCCCTGGCCTTGAATAAACTGGGTGCCCTGACAATCTCTCCTCCCCTGAGTTCTTCCCACTTCCTGCATAGGCCAATATTCCTTTCTCCCACTGCACTCCCATCCTGGGCAGGAAAAAAACTCCACCCTTGGGCTGGAGTAGGAGTGGCGGCAGCAGCTTATGCACAGACTGTGCGTTTGGCAGGACTACAGAAGACTTATGGTGGAATGTAGCATCATGACATTACTGTCAATTTAGGTTTACATAACAAAGCAAAATGGAAACATAAAGGGTTGTCTAATAGGTCTCCACGTTCCACTGCTCGTTCTTCTTCAATTGCTTCTTGTACTCTAGCCAGTTGATACCTGCACAAGCCAAGGTCAGAATATGGTCAGAAAAGGCCACTCCAATCTGCCAATCGGAAGGCGCCTCAAATCGAACTAAGAGGCAACTCACCATCCTTCTCTGCCAAGGAGGTCATGATCTCATCAATACCCTTCTCCATGCCCTTGAGTCCGCACATGTAGGTGTACGTGTTATCCTTCTTGAACAGGCTCCACAACTCGTTAGCATACTCAGCCATGCGCGTCTGAATGTACATCTTCTCGCCCTTGGCGTTGGTCTGCTCGCGGCTGACAGCGAAGTCCAGGCGGAAGTTCTTGGGGAACTTCTCCTTCATCTTCTCAAACTCCTGTAGAAGGACAAGATGCACTGTCAGTTTTGAAGGCAAAGAACGGCTTCTTGGCTGAACCAAGCAGGAGGCCAGCGAGTGCCATGAGGCAATGCTAAACTGTAACCTATTCGTACCTCGCGGTAGAGAAGGGAGCTGCTGGTCGGCACACCAAGGAACAGCCAGGCGAGACCGGTGAACTGCATATCAACAAAGCCATGGCAGATTCGCAGTCAGACGTTCCGTTCGAACCCAATTTATGAACATGTTTACGAACATGTTTCCTTATTCTCGAATGCATTCGCGGAACGAATGCCTGTGGTTTATATGACAGTAACTTTACCTTGTAGTCATCGTGCTTCTCGAAGAACATGCGCCACAAGAAGCTGCGGAAGGGAGCAATGCCAGTACCAGTGCCAAGCTGCAATACAGGAACAAATACCAACGGCAGACAAGAAAAGATTGACTTTGAGTGTTGCGGCGGAAATACAGCAACGGCGGCTTCTGGACGCATGACAATCATGTAATACCAGGTTGCAACCACATGCGCTCACGGGCTTACAATAACAAACGAAGAAGATCCGAGAGGAAGTGGTAACGAACGAACAAGACGTACCATGATGATGGTGGCGTTCTGGTCGATGGGCATGAGCATCTCCTTGCCGACAGGACCAGTGATCTTAACCTCATCCCCGGGCTTCAGGTCGCCTGTCATCAAACGAATCAGAGACATCCGCATCGCAAAGTCAGCTTCACGTACTAGCTACAGGTCTAATGACTAATTTAAAGTATCAGGCGCTCAATGAGCGCAAAATAACGACCAATGAATCGTGAAGCTGAGAATGGTCATGAAATCCTATGTATGTAACGTACACAAGAAGTTTGAGCAGACACCCTTGACAGTCTCGCCCTTGTCGTTGACGTACACGAGGCGCTTCACGCACAGTGACACCTGGAAATCGTTCGAAGGGAAATAAAGGCGGAGATTTTAGATACGATGCAGTTCCACCACCGCTAAACGTATCTACACAGCACTTTCCTGAACAAAATATGGCAGTGGAACTTCAGTGACGCACCGTCTTGTAGTCACCGAAGTCACCAGGGGCACTGCTGGCAATGGAGTAGAGGCGGAGCTTCTCGGGGTTGCCCCTCTTGTCAAGACCGGGGGGAACCACGCCGATGGATTGACCTTCTCTGTAGGGGATCTTGCCTGCAGAAGAAAACATTCAATTAAGAGAGGAACACCGTAGACAACTGAGGAAGATTCGAGCACTTGAATGGGAAGGTGGCATGAGAGAATCTACGATATGAACAAATGCATGGCTTTGACAGCTCGTAGTTAAGACAGAGATGAAAACGATGCAACTGAAGACGATGCACCAGCGACGCCCTAATCGGACGTACCCTCAGTGCTGAACACCATGTGCCAGGTCTCGCCGGGAGCGTCATCGCCGACAATCTTGGTGTTGAGCAGGCACCGGCCAATGTACGGCGTCTTGGGCTTGAACAGGTTAACCTGCACACCCTCCTCGTTCTTGCGGTGCTCCTTCTTCTTGGGAGCAGCGGCAGCGACGCTGGCGCGCACGGCGGTCTTAGCGGGCTGAGCCACGCGGACAACCGGCTTGCTCTCGAGGGAGGAAACCAGGGAGCTGCCGCTGAGGAAGCTGACCTGGTTGGCCTTCTTGCTGACGGCTCCCTGAGCCGACAGCCCGACGGCGGGAGTTGCGATCGACATGGAGGTCACGGCGGCCATTGTGGTCAGAGAGGCACTTGAAGGCAAGTAACCTCGAGAATGGCAACAATGGAAATGGTCAATCAGTCACGGATTGACCCGAAAATGGGGTATTTGATGAGGCACCGGAGCAGAACCAGTTTAGTCAGGCAAACCGACTAACTGAAACCTGATATGGTAGGTCCTGCCTGGTCCCTGCTGATGCGCGAGTTGGTTCTGGCGAATGTGAGAGGGGGGGGGCTCGAGATTTGGCTGTGGCTCGGATGGGATGGTCGAGCAGGCTCGGCAGGTTTAGCTCGACAGCCGGGCTGGGACAATGACCACACAGCTAGGCTCGAGGTTCAGGTGCGGCCAGCGGTCTGGCGTGAACTGTTCGTCCGCTGGCTTGGGGATTGACGGGGTTTGGTTTGGGTGTGACTTGATACGCCACGCTGGCCATCTGTCCGAGGCTGTCGGATAATCGGAGCCGTTCAAGTTACGTATTCCAAATTGGGGGTTCATCTGTGGTGGTGGATGAGGCATGCCCGCAGGCTAGATGGACTATGCTGTCCGCGCATACACCGCAAATAATCCACGAGAGATTGAACCACATCCACGTGGCAGAGCAAGTGAGCGATCCAGCCACAACCGACCTGCAAACGTGGCAGTTGACTCCTCAGCCACTCGTGTCCCATACACGAGGTAACCAGATCTCTTCGGCAAAGTGGCGCACAGGGTGTAGATACTCGCGAGAGAAATCTGCGAGATCACAGGTATACCCGATGTGAACAGGTGGCACAAACGGCAAGGCCCGAGCTGCACTAAAACCACAAAAAAAATGTTTAGTTCCACTAGCATGAGTTATGTTCATAGGTTCTTGTACTGCTCTATCAGTTTTGAGGCATGGAGTTTGGAAGAGGGTTCAACAGTACATCCAAGCTGCTTCAGGTATGTCAACTGCAAATGCAAAGAAAGTGAGGCACACCACGAAAACAAAAAGGCTTCGAAAGACGGCTCACGAATGCAACCATGAAAAACCCAAATGCAAACAAACCCCACCAACCTGTTTTGGTGTCGCTGCCGATTTATTCATAGCCTCTTCCGAATACTGCTGCTGAAACATTTCCTGCAGGGGAAACAACGAAAAGCCAATAAAACTTATGACATTGAAATTTAGTTGACAACCATGTTTGCGTGGCGATTTTGAACATTCCACATAATCATCCAAAGCACAATTAAAACCTGTATGACCACCCACCTGTCGCTCCACCCGGTGTAATGCTCTCTGCTCAAATGGAAGCTGCTCCCATGCTATCACCTGGTAGTGTAAAAACAGCAAACACAAAAGTGTTATGCGAGTCCGGTAGCTTTGGAAGAAAATGTTGCTGTTATTGATGAATGGCTTGGGGAAGGCGAGCAACAATGAGAGAGTAAGGCGACCACTCACTCAGAAGAAAACCTGAACATTATTAAGTGGGTCTGAGTAAAAAAATATGTGGTTGGAAATACTCACATGTGCTGCAAAGGAAGCAGCTTGTGTCGAGGACAAGAGTGGTCGCAGCAGCCTCAATGCTTCCTTGCCACTGGCTGATCTTGCTGCTCCACTGCTCTGCCTGCTATCCACCACTGCCCTCACCTGTTGGTACTCATAAGCGTGTCGGGAAGGAGGAAAAGGGAAAGAGGGAGGAGGGAGGGAGGGAGGGAGAGGCTTGGCCTCAACTCCCCTCTGCGCTGCCTGCTAGCTATCCACCAATGGCCTCACCTGAGGGCGTTGATTACCTTGCAAAACGACCACCTTCCCAAATCCCCAATACGCACCTTAGCGATAAGACGTGATGGCTGCTGGAAGGCCGGGCGGCGGCCCAGGAGTGGAAGGCTTATGGATGCTACGCTTGCAGCGTTACCAATAACCCCCCTGCCTAGCGTTCACCTTCCCCAATCCACACCTTAGCGATAAGACGTGATGGCTGCTGAAAGGCAGGGCGGCGCGCCCAGGAGTGGAAGATGGCTGCTATGCTCGCACGGTGCTCCGTGGGGAAGCTGGGAGGGAAGAGATAGGGTGGATTGAGAGGTTGTGGCGGAGCAGAGAGGTGAGGTTGTGCTGGGAGGCAGAGTGCTGGGCACACGGAACATTACTCACCTCAAAGCATGATCATATTGAGTGAGTGAGTGAGTGAGTGAGTGAGTGAGTGAGTGAGTGAGTGAGTGAGTGGGTGAGTAGGTGAGTGGGAGTTTGACCTCTTGAGGAAATCGCCAGTTGTCAGCACTGCCTCCTCCTCCCTATCAATACCCTTCATCTCACCTTCCCCCTCTCCTCCTCCCCCTCCTCCTCCTCCTCGTCCTGAAACCCCTCCCCTTCCCCTCCTCCTCCATTACACCCTGCCAAGCCCTCACTTGCAGTAAAGCCTTCTCTCACACCGCATACGACCCCAGGCACAGAAGAATCGAGATTGCGAGGTGCAACCCCTGTCCCACACTGCTCCTTCCCGTCATCAAAGAGTGATGCAGCGTGAGCGTTAGGCTGGGCAGAGGCAGGGGAGGCGGCTGGGGCTTTGCTGGGCGTATGGAATGCAACAGCATGGGCTGGCGCACAGGTGTTGGCTTTGCTGGGCGTATGCAATGCAGCCCCGTGTGTTGATGCGCTGGGGTTGGCTGTGATGGGTGTATGGCCTTGCCACAGCAGCAGATCCGAGGGGATTTCGCGAATGAACCGAGAGGGCTGGAGAACCTGGTGGGGGGGGGGGGGGGGGAGGGAGAGGGGAGGGAGGTGGGACGGTGGATGGGAGTATTGCCTTGCCAGAGTAGCAGATCCGAGGGGATTTCCCAAATAAACCGAGAGGGCAGGAGAACCTGGTGGGATGTGTATGGGGAGAGGGGAGAGGGGAGAGGGGAGAGGGGAGAGGGCCTGTGATGGGAGTATGGCCTTGCCAGCTACCTCACCTGCTTTTCAGGAGCCTCTCTGAGGGTCACAATGACCAATCGGTGTTGAGGGGAGAGGGGTCAGGAAATAGGATAACATTGAAACTTTCATCTTGGTTGTCTCACCTGCTTTTCAGGTGTCTGTCTGAGTGTCACAATGACCAATCGATGGCGAGCACGTGTCATGGCCACATAGAACAGCCGCCTCTCCTCCTGTTGCCGGAGTTGAAAATTGAAGACACACACAAAAAAAGATATGTTAGAACACTGAAAGCTGGCATACAAAAACTCCACACAAAAGAGAGCGATTCCAGCAAAACAAATGTGACACAAAAAAGAGAGACATAATCCAAACAAATACGTGTCCCTGCACACTGCGGCTCTCTCCTTACAGTGTGACGCCTTCTTACCTCCAGTGAAAGTGGCTCTTCCTCTGATCCCTCCCCGCTCGCCCTCCCTGCACTCGCCCTCTCCACACTCCCACCCCTCCCCTCTTCGAATCTGTTTTGCAGTGGCGTCTCTCCCTCGTTGGCGCTCACAATGAACACCGTGTGCCACTCCAGGCCCTTGGACTGGGGGCGGGGGAGGGGGGAAAGGAGAAATGGGGAAACGAGGGGAGGAGCATCAAGGTATTGGGAAGACTGCGTGCATCAAGGGGTTTGCCCCTCGAGAGTGGGAGGCGTCTCGAACAATCTGGCGCTCGAATCTGTGGTGAGGCTACCCGAGAGTGACCCGAGGAATAACCGCCCCGAGGAATAACCGTCTGTCAGGCACATTCACCTGGTGCAAGGTGGTGAGGGTGACCGAATCCTCATTCTCCTTCTTTCTCACAGCGTTGTTCTACCCGAGGGGGGTGTGAATCCCTGTCTACTCTGTGATTTCTTGTGAGAATCCTCTTCTGAAGCAACCTTCTGTCAGCCACAGACCCACATTCACCTGCTGCATGGTGGTGAGAGTGACCGAATCCTCATTCTCCTTCCGCCTCACAGCGTTGTTCTGAGCCTCCCTCGCCGCTACATGGTCCAGAAACGCCCGCAGCAGAGCCGCACAGGAGGAGGACGAAGAGGTGGGGGAGAAGATTGAGGAGGAGGAGGAGGAGGAGGAGGAGGAGGAGGAGGAGGAGGAGGAGGAGGAGGAGGAGGAGGAGGAGGAGGCGGAGGAAAAGGAAAACAGAGGCCTTACATGGCTGACACGTTTTTACCTGGTGCATGGTGGTGAGCGTGACCGAATCCTCGTTCTCCTTCCGCCTCACAGCGCAGGAGGAGGAGGAGGAGAAGTAACATTCTCCTTCCCCCTCAAATTCACCTGATGCATGGTGGTGAGCATGACCGAATCCTCATTCTCCTTCCTCCTCACAGCGTTGTTCTGAGCCTCCCTCGCCGCCACATAGTCCAGAAACGCCCGCAGCAGAGCAGCACAGGAGGAGGACGAAGAGGAGGGGGAGAAGAGAGAGGAGGAGGAGAAGACCGAGGACGGAAGGCAGCTGGTGGGAGCGCCGGCAGGGCAGGTGTTTCTGCAGGTGGTTTCATCGTTGGCGACGGTGTCAGGTGGTCTGGGCAGGTGGAGCGAGAGGAATGCGCTGATGTCATCGATAAGAAATTGGCGGGCCTGGCGAGGAAAGCAGTGTGGAGGGGAAGGAAAGGGAGAGTGAGAAGGCGATGAGGTTACTTGCAAGAGAGAGTTTGATGTGTGAAAGGAAAGGAAGCTGCTGATATGATATGCCTGAGGAACAGATTGACGGGAAGGAGGGGGAATGTCGCTACTTGCAGGAACAGATTGGTCAGGTGGAGGAGAGAGGGGGGGAAGGAGCTCGAAGGCTCAAAGTCCCCTTGGGCCTTCGAGAATTCCTGGAGAGAGGGGGGGGAAGGAGCTGCTGACGTTGTCCATCAGGTATTGACCCATCAGGTTGAGATTCAGGCGGTGCTTATCGGGACGACGATCCATTCAAGGCGAGGCTTATTGTTTGGTGATCGAGAAAAAGAAAAGCCTAGGGCAACCAGGAAGAGACGAAATAAACCCACCGTGCGCATGTCATCATCCTCGTTAAGAAGCTTTCCAGAAGCTTCGCTCACTGTTGCACGCGACGAGAATGCAGCTCGCTATGGCGAATGAATGGGAGAGGAGCGGCAGCATGGCAGGAGTGGAGAACGGGGAGAAAGAAGGAGCATAATGGGAAAGGGGAGAGCGAGCAATCGAGTGAGCAATTGATACGAGAACTTGGTGAATGACTACAATGTGATTACAAAGTATGAGGAGATGCTTTGAATGTGGTGCAGTAGATAAATTGGCATCTCGGCTGCTCACCTCAGGAATGAGCTTGATGATAGAGTCGACGAAGGCCGTCAGTGACACCTCCTGATGGGTGGGTGAAGACGTGGAACGAGTGAGTGATGGGTGAGTGATGGGTGAGTGATGGGTGAGTGATGGGTGAGTGATGGGTGGGTGATGGGTGAGTGATGGGTGGGTGATGGGTGAGTGATGGGTGAGTGATGGTTAGGTGATGGTTGGAGATGAGCCGACTGAACCATTCCACGTCTTCACATATTGTGCAGTGCAGCACAGTCAGGCGCAGCAACAGAGGTATGGTGAGCTAGAGCCTAAAGGCAGGTGCAACACTGCCAGGCGACTGATACATCCTGTGCAACACTGCGTCATATGTACCAGAACAGCAAAGCACAGCACAGCACAGCACTGACCGTTTTGAGGAGGTTGCGAGCGATGCGGATGGTGGTGATTACAGATGCACCGGCTTTAAGCTGCTTCCTGGGGGATGGGCGGGAGGTGGACGTGTGCGTACATGGAGGGGCGTGTGGGCACATTAAAGGATGTGTGGTTACATGGTGCGTGGTTACATGGTGTGTGGTTACATGGTGCGTGGTTACATGGTGTGTGGTTACATGGTGTGTGGTTACATGGTGCGTGGTTACATGGTGCGTGGTTACATGGTGTGTGGTTAGATGGAGGAATGTGCATGGATAGAGTCACGGCTAAGGAGGTTGCGAGCGATGCAAATGGTGGTGGGGACTGCAGAACCGGCTTTGAGCTGCTTTCTGGGATGGGCAGGAGGTGGATGTGTGGGCACATCCCATCCCATCCCATCCCATCCCATCCCATCTCATCCCATCCCATCCCATCCCATCCCATCCCATCCCATCCCATCCCTCCCCTCCCCTCCCCTCCCCTCCCCTCCCCTCCCCTCCCCTCCCCTCCCCTCCCCTCCCCTCCCCTCCCCTCCCCTCCCCTCCCCTCCCCTCCCCTCCCATCCCATCCCATCCCATCCCTTCCCATCCCATCCCATCCCATCCCATCAAGACAACCACGCACCCCACTCACTCACCTTGTGAACCTTCCTGACACTTTCCCTGAGAATATGGTTTCTGCGGCTTCCAGGAAGCTGCAGCCTCGGTCCCTGGCCCTCTGCTCCACATGATCTGCAGCCTGTTGAGGGAATGGCGGGTTGAAGAAAGATCATAATTGGAACGACTTTTGAGACGTCTCAAAAGTCTCAAGATTCACCCTCGGTCCCGTCCCGGACCCTCTGGTCCACGTGATCTGAGACTGTTGGAAAAGGGGTGGGAGGTTCAGGCGACAGTAAGCAGACGACCTTTAAGACGTCTCAAGATTCACCTCGGTCCCGTCCCGGACCCTCTGGTCCACGTGATCTGCCGCCTGTTGGAAAAGCGGTGGGAGGTTCAGGTGACAGTAAGCAGACGAGTCTCAAGATTCACCTTGGTCCCTGGCCCTCTGATCCACGTAGCCCGCAGCCTGGGTTGAAGAAAGATCATAGTGCTTGTCATAGGATCACGGTGATCATAGTGGGATCATCCCAGTGTTGATGTGTTGGCTTCCCCTATCCCAGTGATTGTTTCCCGAAACAGTCAAAGCCAGCCAGGGCCTGCTTAGAGGCGCAATAGGGCAACTAGTTAAGCCCTTCAACACGAGTCACTGCCCTCTGTTCACCCCCCAAACAATCAGTTTGGAAACCCTACTCAGGCGTAGCTACAAGGAGGAAGGAAACGGAAGAGGGGATTTCAGAGCATCTCTCACCTTCTTCGCCTCGTCCTTTTCTCGGCTGAAGAGCAGCTTCCAGACTCTCCGGGCTGACTTTTGAGTCGACTCAAAAGGCACTCGTTTCAGAGCATCTCTCACCTTCTTTGCCTCGTCCTTTTCTCGGCTGAACAGCAGCTTCCAGACTCTCCGGGCAGCAGTGTTGTCCACTAGCGCAGGGAGGGAGAGGCGCAGCAGAGCCAGCACGTTGCGCAGGGCCTGGGGATGTGGAGGTTTGAGAAGGGATGGAGAGGGGTGGAGAGGAATGGGGAGCGATGGGGAACATTGGATTGCAGGGAAAGGCGCAGCAGAGCCAGCACGTTGCGCAGGGCCTGGGAATGGGGAGGCAGGGAAGAGGGAGGGAACAGCAGCTTCCAGACTCTCCGGGCGGCAGTGTTGTCCACTAGTGCAGGGAGGGAGAGGCGCAGCAGAGCGAGCACGTTGCGCAGGGCCTGGGGATGTGGAGAGGGAGGCAGGGAAGAGGGAGGCAGTGTTGTCCACCAGTGATGGCAGGGAGAGGCGCAGCAGAGCGAGCACGTTGCGCAGGGCCTGGGGAAGTGGAAGGGAGGGGAAGATGGAGCAAGGGGGAAAGAAAGCACACCCCTCATGGCTGCAGGAAGGATGACCTTGCCAGACAGAACCTATAACGTCAGACAGAACCTATAACGTCAGACAGAACCTATAACGTCAGACAGAACCTATAACGTCAGACAGAACCTATAACGTCAGACAGAACCTATAACGTCAGACAGAACCTATAACGTCAGACAGAACCTATAACGTCAGACAGAACCTATAACGTCAGACAGAACCTATAACGTCAGACAGAACCTATAACGTCAGACAGAACCTATAACGTCAGACAGAACCTATAACGTCAGACAGAACCTATAACGTCAGACAGAACCTATAACGTCAGACAGAACCTATAACGTCAGACAGAACCTATAACGTCAGACAGAACCTATAACGTCAGACAGAACCTATAACGTCAGACAGAACCTATAACGTCAGACAGAACCTATAACGTCAGACAGAACCTATAACGTCAGACAGAACCTATAACGTCAGACAGAACCTATAACGTCAGACAGAACCTATAACGTCAGACAGAACCTATAACGTCAGACAGAACCTATAACGTCAGACAGAACCTATAACGTCAGACAGAACCTATAACGTCAGACAGAACCTATAACGTCAGACAGAACCTATAACGTCAGACAGAACCTATAACGTCAGACAGAACGCACCTTCATCCTGTAGAAAGCAACGCCATGCACGTTGAAGGGGATCTTTCTTTCCCTCACGGCGGTTTGGAACGCCCAGCCTGTTCCAGTGCCTGCCTGTGTGTAGAGTGGAATAACCTATACCGTCAGACAGAACACACCTTTTTGCGATAAAACGCCACCCCATGCACGTCGAAGGGGATCTTTCTTTCCCTCATCGCAGCCTGGAATGCCCGGCCAGTCACCTGCCGCCGGTACAGCACTGCCACATTGCTCCATACTAGGGGGGTGCCCCTGCTGCTATGCTGCCTGCTGCACTGGGGATGCTCTTCCTGCTGGACTAAAGCCTGTAGAATCTGAAACGCACCTTCTTGCGATAAAACGCCACGCCATGCACGTTGAAGGGGATCTTCCTCTCCCTCAACGCAGCCTGGAACGCCCGGCCGGTTCTAGCGTCTGTCTGTGTATGGACTGTAATAAGCTAGGCCATCGCAACGCACCTTCTTCCTGTAGAACGCCACGCCATGCACGTTGAAGGGGATCTTCCTCTCCCTCATCGCAGCCTGGAACGCCCGGCCGGTTCTAGCGTCTGTCTGTGTATGGACTGTAATAAGCTAGGCCATCGCAACGCACCTTCTTCCTGTAAAACGCCACGCCATGCACGTTGAAGGGGATCTTCCTCTCCCTCATCGCAGCCTGGAATGCCCGACCAGTCACCTGCCGCCGGTACAGCACTGCCACATCGCTCCATGCCAGGGGGGTCCCTGCTGCTATGCTCCCTGCTGCACTGTCTCCTGCTGCCACACTCCCTGCTGCTGCGCCCCCTGCTGCGCTGCTGCTGCCGCTGAAAGTGGCAACGGTGTTGGTGGCGGTGCTGGTGCTGGTGGTCGTGGCTGCAGTGGTGCTGTGCGGCTGAACGCGGTGCATCTGGTGCATGAAGGACATGATGGCATCGGCGACCAAGGCGCACTGTGCTGCTTCATTTCGCACCTCCACCACCCTGCCATGTGGAAGGGAGGAGGGAGTATATGGCGCACAGCCTTGGAACTCAGCGAACGTGGTGCATTTGGTGCATGAAAGACATGATGGCATCGGCGACCAGGGCACACTGAACTGCTTCGTTGCGCACCTCCACCACCCTGCCATGTGGAAGAGAAGGGAGGAGATAATAACGGCACACAGCCACACTCTAAGCATGGAAAATGGGATAGTCTCTACCCCTCTAGTGAAGGCGCCAGGGAAGTTGCACCTCCTCCTGAAAGTGTGGATGCAAGGAGAACTGGTCAGCACATATGACCGTCTCAGCGTGTATCAGAACTCTTGGAGATTTCTTCTTAACACTGAGGCGTCTGGACTATTTGAAGCGAGACGAGGGAAATCGTAACAAGCCAGCCCACCTGATCTTCTCCCCATCGCCGTTGTCAGTGCACAGCTCCTTGGCCGCCCTCCTTCCTGGAAAGTTCTGCGAGATGACAGCAGCAGAGGCGCGCACGATGGTGCCTGTGGAGCGGTAGTTGCGACACAGACGTACCTGAGGAGTAGGGAAGGGGGGGATGGGAGAGCAGCGGGTGGTGGGTGACTGTCGCTCAGAGGCACATGCAAGCAGCAGAGGCCCGCACGATGGTGCCTGTGGAGCGGTAGTTGCGACACAGCTGCACCTGGGGGGGGGAGGGGGGACAGTGCATGGGAAGGGAGGGGGGCAGTGTGCGGTGTTTGGTAGTGCTCAGAGGCACACAAAACCCAAGTGGCAGAGGCCTGCATTATGGTGCCTGTGGAGGGATAGTTGCGGCACAGACGCACCTAAAAGAGTGGGGAGGAGAGGCAGTGTACCAGGAGGGGAGAAATAGCTGTTCAGATTTACGGCACAAGTGAGCAGCAGAGGCGCGCACTAAGGTGCCTGTGGAGCGATAGTTGCGACACAGCCGCACCTGGGAGGGAGGGAGGGAGAGGGAAGGCAGTGAATGGGGAGGGAAGGGAAGCAATGTCACTCAGAGGCACGTGCGAGTAGCAGAGGTGCGCACTATGGTGCCTGTGGAGCAATAGTTGCGACACAGCCGCACCTGAAAGAGTGTGGAGGAGAGGCAGTGTACCAGGAGGGGAGAAATAGCTGTTCGATTTACGGCACAAGTGAGCAGCAGAGGCGCGCACTAAGGTGCCTGTGGAGCGATAGTTGCGGCACAGCCGCACCTGGGAGGGAGGGAGGGGAAGGCAGTGCATGTATGGGTAGGCGGGAAAGCAGTGCATGTATGGGTAGGCGGGAAAGCAGGGCGTGGTGTTTCGTGCTGCTCGTCCGTGTCTCTCTGCAGGATGCTCCGCCCAGACACACAAGCGAGCAGCAGAGGCCCGCGCGATGGTGCCTGTGGAGCAGTAGTTGCGGCACAGGCGCACCTGGGAGAGAGGGAAGGGAAGGCAGTGCATGTATGGGTAAGGGGGAAAGCTGTGCGTGGTGTTTCGCGCTGCTCGTCTGTGTCTCTCTGCAAGATGCTCTGCCCAGAGGCACGAGCGAGCAGCAGAGGCACGCACTATTGTGCCTGTGGAGCGGTAGTTGCGGCACAGACGCACCTGGTGGGGGGAGAGGGGAGACAGTGTACTGGAAGGGGGAAAAGTGTTCGGTTCTGCTCAGAGGCACATGCGAGCAGCAAAGGCTTTCACCACAGCTGTGCTCTCACCCCCCTCTGCTCTCACCTCAGTGTGGTCAGGGAAGGGAAGTGCTCTCTGAACATGTCAAACGAGGCTGCATTGGCACCATTGAAGGTGAATATAGACTGCAGCAGGGATCGCATGTGATTGCACCTAACTATGAACTCACCTCAGTGTGGTCCGGAAAGTGCTTTCGGAACATGTCGAACGAGGCTGCATTGGCTCCATTGAAGCTGAATATGGACTGCACGGACAAGAAGGGTGTCACGGGTTCCAACAAAAAGAAAGTGAAATAGGAGCTCATTGTGGGGAAGATGAGGAGGGAGCACAGCTGTAGAGAACATTATGCAGTGATAGAAACACACCTTCTGCATTGTGAGGAGTGCACTGAAGCGAGCACAATGCATGGAAGCAGATGAAGCCCTTTCCACCCACCCCTCCACTCCCCACCCCACCTGGTCATCACCCCGCCCCTCAACCCCACCTGGTCATCGTCCCCCCCAACCCCACCTGGTCATCGTCCCCCACAACGGTGATGCGCCGTGTTTGCCACAGGGAGCTCTGACAAACGCAAACTGGATGCGCGAGGTGTATTGGACTGTCAATCCCCATACGTCTCACCTGGTCATCATCCCCCACAACCCCACCTGGTCATCGTCCCCCACAACGGTGATGCGCCCGTGTGTGCCGCAAAGGGCCTTGACGAACGCGAACTGGATGCGCGAGGTGTCTTGAAACTCGTCCACCAGCACATGCGACCATGCTGAGGTGCATTCCTGCAGGACTGCGCCATTAGAGTGGGGAAAGGGAAGAGAAGACGGATATTGAGGGGAGCAAAGCGGTTGAGGTGTCTTGAAACTCGTCCACCAACACGTGCGACCATGCTGACATGCATTCCTGCAGCACTGCACCGGTATGGGAGGGGAGGGGAGAAATTGGGGTACTGAGGGGTGCAAAGGAGTGGCTCTAGCAGCGACCACCACGAACGCGAACTGGGTGCGCGAGGTGTCTTGAAACTCGTCCGCCAGCACGTGCGTCCATGCTGCCGTGCATTCCTGCAGGACTGCAACAGTGTGTTAGGGGAGAAATGGAGGTATTGAAGGGTGCAAAGAGGTCCAGGTGTCTTGAAACTCGTCCACCAGCACGTGCGACCATGCTGCCACGCAAGCGTCAACGCATGGACCACTTTTTCTATCACTACACACTCACCATCAGCATCTTGTGTGAGCAGCATGGTGGAGTGGGAGCAGGATGAAGCCGTGATAGTCCACCACGGTGCACTGCACTGCATGCATAGATGCATATACTTGCACACTTGTCGCAGTGCCTACTTTTACAGCAACAAACAAGCAATCACCGTCACTGTGCTTCGTCAGAAGCATGGTGGAGAGCAGGATGAAATCGTGATAGTCCACCGCATTGCAATCCATGCATAGTAGCTAGCAGCAGCAACCCAGGAACCAGCACATTCATACTCACCATCACTGTGCTGTGTGAGCAGCATGGTGGACAGAAGGATGAAGTCGTGATAGTCCACCGCATTGCACTTTTGCAGCACACTTGCGTATGCTTGCAGGACCCGGGCCTGGGAGGAAGGGGAGTAGAGGGGGAAACAAGGGCGCAATCAACCACCGCATTGCACTTCTGCAGCAAACTTGCGTGTGCTTGCAGAACACGCGCCTGGGAGTGGAGAGGTTAAAAGGGGGATGGATAGAGGGGTGCAACCAGTCAAATCCCCGCATTGCATTTCTGCAGCACATTTGCGTATGCTCGCAACACACGGGCCTGGGAGGGGAGAGTGTTGAGGGGAATAGATAGAGAGGAGCAGCCTATCAATCCACCAACCGCATTGCACCACTTCCAACAGTACAGATGCGATGCGCATGTGCTGTGCACGACCCGTGCCTAGGAGGAGAGACGTGACATGCACAGAAGATTGACAAGCATGGGAGAATGACATGTATGAAAAAGCGACATTCATGGGAATCCAAATCAGTCAACATCGTTGCAATTCACCACAGCATGAGGGGAATAAGAGCCTTACTGCCTCGTGGTTGCCCCGTGCTTCAAAGTCCTCTGCTGTCTGACCTGCTGCCTTGGCCTGTGGTGGTTACGGAGAGAGACACCATGGCAAGGCGAGGAAAAACAAAAGACAATGGAAGGAGCAAGCGGCATGTCACGTGGGGTCATAAGGGATAGAAGGAGGGCAATTTGCAAGAGATGTTGCTTTGTGACACAATAGTGCCCCGCATATCATGTTCACCCTTGGCTTGTCTGTGTGCGTAACTGATCATGAGGAGGACAGACATTCCACTGTCCACACACACACACCAACTCAACTCCCTTGTCACTCACCCTCACAACGAACTTGACCCACTTTGCTGCTGCTGCTCGGCTCCTCTTCAACTCATGCACGTTCCCTGTCACTGCTGCTGCAGCTCAACTTCCCTGTCACTTACCCGCACTATTGCTAACCCTCACTATCTCACTCACCCACACAACGAACTTGACCCACTTGGCTGCTGCTGCTCGGCTCCTCTTCAACTCCTCCACCTCCCTTGAGACGACGTGACTTTCAAGTTGACTGAAAAGGCACTTCACCCTCACTACCACTCACGCTCACTAAGACTCACCCGCACAACGAACTTGACCCACTTGGCTGCTGCAGCTCGGCTCCTCTTCAACTCCTCCACCTCCCTCCCCACCCTCTCCTCCACACTCTCTCCCACCTTCCCTCCTCCCTTCCCCTCTTCGTTCTCCTTATTCTCCTTCTCTGCCCACAGGCCTGCCCCTCCTGCACCTGCTGGCCCCCCACCTGCTGCTACTCCGAATGCCCTTCCATTGCGATCTCGACCTACCTGCCTGTCCTCTCTCCGCTGCTTCCCTACACACCCCTCCCCCCTGCTCGATTCCCCCTCCCCCTTCTCGCCCTTCTCCCCCGTCCCACCGTTATCTCCCCCCTCCCCCAGCGCCAGTCTAACTGCTTCTGTGATGGCTCTCCGCTGCTGCTTGTGTCCAAACACAAGGAAATCCGCAGTGCGGCCAAACCTGGGACAACGAGGATTGGCGGGTGGAAGCATGGCATTACACCCCTACCTCAAAACTTACTTGCTGAGGATGAATGGTTTGTACAGATACAAGCACAGACAACAGTAAAATCCTACCTCTCACCTTTCCTAACCGTGTTGTACCACACCACACCCTTTCCAACCACGTTTTCTTGAAAAGAAGGACTCACTTGTCAGCATGGCTCCTGCACAGCTGCAGGCACAGCGAGTGGAAAGTGCTCACAGCCACTTCCCCTGTCGCCCCCTCCTCTTCCTCCTCACCCTCCTTCTCTTCCTTCCCTTCCTTCCTATCCTTGCCTACTTCCCCTTGCTTCCCTTCCTCGCCCTCAGTTTCTGCCACCCCTCCCTTGTTCTCTCTCCTTCCCTTCCCTGCCGCTCCTGTCTTCTTGCCTGCCGATCGCCTGCCTTGGCTTGCCAGCACGCGTTCTCGCATCTCATTGGCTGCTGCTGTGGTGAAGGTCATTGCGAGGATGCGATTGGCTGGCACACCCACGTGGAGCAGATGTAGGATGCGAGCTACCATGGTCGAGGTCTGGCGGAGGGGGGAAGGTGAGAGAAAGGGGGAGGGAGAGGGGGGAGTGGAATGGGAAGTGAACGGAGTTCTGATGTGTTTTGAGCCGACTCAAAACACACCTGCATGCGGATGGCAACACAGTTGAGCAGCAGGATGCGAGGGACCACACCAAACCACACAGAAAACCACACCAAACCACACAGCACTAAATCTGCTGCTTCGGCCCTGCAAGCACCAGCAGTGGTCGGACCACATCAGCTGCTGCGGCTGCTGCAGGGCCACACTGCACCACACCACACCACGCCACGCCACGCCACACCACACCACACCGCACCACAACAGACCACCCAGTACTCACCTTGCCGCTTCCCGGCCCTGCAAGCACCAGGAGTGGTCGGTCCACATCTGCTGCTGCTGCTGCCCTCTGCTCTGCATTCAACCGAGCCAAGTAAGGTTGCTCCTCGCTTATACACATTCCTGCTGCTACTTTTTCTGCTGCTCTTTCAGCTACTTGTGTCGCTGCCTCCACTTCTCTTGCTGCTATTGCTACTGGTGCAGCTTCTGCTTCTTCTGCTCCTCCTGCTCCTTCTCCTACTGCCCGTGCTTCTGCTATGAACACTTCGCCTGCTGCTCCTGATGCTTCTGATGCTTCTCCAACCTCGCCTCCTCTCACTCCTTCACCATCTCGTGCACTGCACTCCTTCCTTTCACACCACTCGCAGCCTGCTTTCACATGCTCCATCGCCTCACTACATGCCCGCACGCCTGTTTCTCCCACACCAGTGCGTGCACCTGAATCAAGCCTTGGCTTCACCACTCTCCAATCCAGACGTCCCTGATCTGCCTCCGTCGCTGCTGTTTTCTCCTCTATGTCTGCTTCTGTGACCTCTGCTGCTGCTGCTTGCCCCTCCCCACATTCACCTACCGCAACCTCTGCTCCACTGGCTCTGCATGCTCGGCTCTCCCCAGGTTCTTTCTCAGGTGTTTCAAACAGACGGCATCCTGGGCCTATGTCAGAGCCCTGATGCCGCCTCAAGGCCCAAGCACCCCGCGCCTCTAAAGAGGTACGAGCAGCAGGAGCATCAGTGCACGCCGACCCGGCCGCTACTGGAGCTGCTTTTAGCGAGGCTGCAGGTGCCGCATTGGGAGGAAAAGGGCGATAAGGGGTTGGTGTGGCTGGTGTGGAACGCTGTAAACCAAGGGCCGGATTTGCCTGTTCTCGTTGAGCTGGCGTTGCCTGTTCTCGTTGAGCGGAACCCCAGGCTATGTGCTTCTGTGATGTACCAGCTTGCCTGAGACAATCCTGTTCCGGCGTGGCTGCTGCATGTCTCGGATTTACAGGTGTACCGACATTCATTGGAGTGGTGCATGTGGGAGCCAGAGTGGTGCGGGTGGTTACCGAAGCGGCAGTGTGGTGGTGCGCAGGGACGGGTGGCACGTGCTGGAGAGTAGTGGCTGGTGAGAAAGGGTTTATAGATGGAGGGGTCACTGGTGACATGTGGCGCGATGTGATTGGACCAAAGGCAGGCACTGCAGGGGTATGCGGGGACATGCAATGTCCTGATGACATGGCACCAACAGATGCTGATGTGTCAACTCCTTGTGCTGACGTGGCTGGAAACGGCCCAGCTGCTGACGTGTACGACTTATTGAACAGACATATGGGAGACGCGCTGTTGGGAGGTGGCATGGACTTCTGGAGTGGAACGATCGGAGGAGAATGCACGGATTCTCTGCTCGCCCCTTCTCCATCCTCCCTTCCTTGCTGCACATTAGCAGCACCCAGAAATACGGCGGTTGAATTCGCAGCTGCAGCAACAGCAGGAGCCGCAGAAGCAGCAGCAGTAGTAGAAACATCTTCATTCCCACCAGCGACAGCAGTGCGCCAGCAGCAGCACCAGCAGCACTCGCAGCAGCTTCTGCTTCTGCTAACGCTTGCTCAGCTGCCTCCATCCACTCAGCATCCAAACCATCTTCTTCTGCTGAGTCAGCAGCGTCAACCTTATCCGCTCGTGCCGACTCATCAACATACCCCGACGCCTCTCCAGGGAGCAGGTTTCCTCCAGAAGCATTAGTCGCTTCTTCAGGATTTGGAATGCTTAGATTATTGCTCATAGATTCGGCGTTTCTTGGCGACTCTGTACCTCCATGCGACCTGACTCGGCATTGCATCCCGTCATCTGTTCCTGAGGCGTCAGCAGCATTCAATCCGACATTTTGAACGGATTTCGAATCGCCAAACGACTTTGCGACTCCTGGGAAATCTCCTGGACAACGTGCATCTCCTGGCGATTTCAGAGCTCCAGGCGTTTTGCCAGGTGACCCATAGGGGGAGCGGCAGGTGGGGGAAGGGGACGCAGAACGAGACTGCTTCAACGGCGGAGATTCAGGCTCAGCAAGCCACGTGTCGAGCATCTGAAGTGAGACGCGACCTCTTTTCAATGCTCCCAGCCGTCTCTTCTGGCTCTGCTGCTGCTGCTGCTGCTGCTGCTGCTGCTGCTGCTGCTGCTGCTGCTGCTGCTGCTGCTGCTGCTGCTGCTGCTGCTGCTGCTGCTGCTGCTGCTGCTGCTGCTGCTGCTGCTGCTGCTGCTGCTGCTGCTGCTGCTGCTTCTGCTGCTGCTGCTGCTGCTTCTGCTGCTGCTGGGGACTCCCCAGAATCTGATTCTGGTGCGTGTTGGTCTGGATTCGGCCGTCATTCTTCGTAGCAATGTCTACACGGATCGGAAAAGCACATGATCCGTCATCGACGGAGCGCAAGGAGCGGGGGGGTGAATCCGAAGCGACGCGATGCCTTTCTGTACGACGAGGCTGTTCCGAGTCGCGTGAGACACGTCGAAGATCCGGACGAACGTTTCCGCGTTCGACGCCGTCGAAAGCGCTGGGTTTCGCGTCGCGTAGCGGAAGCGAGGAAATTCCGTGCGGTAATGAGAAGCATTTTTCGTCGTACGGCTTGGTTCCGTCGTCCCGTAACGGATATTCATGATTATGATTATTGCGAGGGAATGGCGTCTCCAGGCACCCGTCCGATGGACTTCGGGTCGTTACGAGATTGCAGAATCTGCTACTACTTCTCTGGTCCTCCTGTAGTCCATCCTGCTCTCTAATCGTCGCCGCAACAGGCTGTTGTCCCGCAATACACGGACGCATTGGCCATTTCCCCGCAGAGCATTTTTCCTTCAAGCGATCACGACCTAATCCATCCATCGCCGTAAGTTACCTCAAATTCCTGCGTTGATAAGTGTCATGTCGATCAGGTCTACAGGCACCAAGCTAAGCTGCGTCAGAGGCCGGACAATGCTGACTTGGGATCAGTGAGGTTAGCACTACAATCTGGTGAGAAACAAACGCTGGCTGAGAATTACCTCAGAATGTGAGAGAGCAACAAAGAGGCTTCACGCTGACGCTAAGAGTACCTGACAGAAGACCAGGGCCCAGTGCCATCCTCAATCTCGAGAAGCATGCTGACGGAATCCCAAGGCTTCCAAGTTCATAGACCAGCTAATATCGAGGAAAACTTGCTTGTCCGTCGTTGTAGCAGCATATATTCTTATCTCCTATATCCGTGCATATTCATGTAAGCCTGAAGTGCAATAGGAAGAAGCTCCACTTTTACATATCTCTAGCAGCATTGTACACAATGTGATCAGAAGAAAACCATTATCTTCACTGCAGCATTTGCATCATTCTCGTTTCGCTTCAACAAACTCTCGTCACACGATACCTTTTCAAATTGGGTCGGGGTTCACTATTTTATATTTCAACGGTTTCCGAGTGCAGTAATATGGTCACACTCATGAAAAATGAACATAAATGTGTCACAAGAATCCTTGCTGAAAAGGATGATCAGCCCAATAATCCCTGGAATCTTAGGTGAAAGAAAATCTGCTGGTGAGAGTATGAAAAATACAGGTACGTACAAAGTGATGTACACGCACACACGTTCACAGATGAATGACCACCGCACCCAAACCTGTATGCACAGGTGCAAACATGCATGCACACCCATTCTCACAGCACTCTCACCACCCACCCATGCACTCTCATCCTCTTACCATTCTGACCACTCACTCTCACCACTCAGTATCACCACCCTCTTACCATTCTGACCACTTAATCTCACCACACTCTCATCCCTTCAACCTCACCACTCAAACCACTCACCGTCACCACCCTCTCTGCTCTCACTCTCACCTCCCATTCTCACAAACATCCCTCCTCACTCACTCACTCTCACCGCTATCAACTCTACCTCTCACCACTCATGCTCTCATGCAACAGGTGGCATCAGTGCCATACGGCTCATCATGTGCCACCCAAGGGGATTCAGCCCCTTTCACTTGCTCTCACCCACCCAAGGGGACTCACCGACACCGACCCTTTGACAAAGGCGGGAGCTGCGGGATTTCGCTGGTGAACGTTGGACATCGTGACCTAGGAACCGTCGATTTTCCTCTCATCTGGAGCCGCAGAGTCGTCGTGTCAGTCTGGAACGCGGCAAGCCCAATGGTTTGAATTTGAAGCCGTGGTTCCAACCACTAGAAGCGAAGTGAATCCTAGCCATGGATACAGATTCTAGGCAAGCTGCTGTGGTTGGGATCTGGGTTGAGCTTATTCACTCGCTGACGTTGGGAAAGAGGTGCCCAAATTGGGCGACGATGGCGAAACATCTCTGATTCGTATCCTTGCTGTTACTTGTCGTTGATCTGGCCGATTACAGTCACCAATCTGACACCGCTCTCACCCCACTGAACTCTCTGGAATAGGTGCAGAGCAGGTACCAAAACAAGAAGACAATACGTTATGATTGCACTGGAAATTCATTCCAAACAACAAATACTGTTAGAATAGTAAGCTTAGGAGCAACTAGGTTTTAGGAAGAGGGAGGATGTTTGGCCAAGCAAGAAGGGGGTTGGACTATTGAGAGAGCTACAAGATATAGGGCAAGGGAAGGTGGCCAAGGGGGGTATACCACCAACAATGAAATAGATACTACACTAACTAAGCTAATATGCAGTTATACATAGAAATACAATTTCTGACATCCCCCCTTAACTGCATACAAGCATAGCTAGTGAGGGGCGCTCTACCCTAAGTGCAGACTTCACCGGGCCGCAGCTGGGCCCACCGATACAACACACGATGGAATGCCCGCCTGCGGTTTAACCCCCGCAGTGGATGCCTGGTGTGCGCGACTCTGGGTGACCACGCCCAGTAACGAAGGAGAAAAGAAACGAACGACGAGACGACGAGAAAACATTACGAAAGCAGAAAACAGAATAGGAAACCCTTTCTCTCTCTCTCTCTCTCTCTTTCATCCCCTCTTAACCTCTCTCATCCCCCCTTAACGTTTCTCCTCCTCCCTCCCCCCCTCCCCCCCCCCCCCCCACAGCAACAAGTTGCTGCAGGGAGGAGGAAGAGGGAAGGGACGACCTGCTGGTAGTGCACACCCGCCACCCCCACGTCCCTGTCAGAATCCCAGTCACTAACCACTGGGATAAAAGGGCTTGTTTGTGTAGCGGGTGAGTGCGCCCATAACCCCCCAGGCCGACGTGCCTGTAACCCTTCCCTAGGATCATCGGGGATCTCCAGTGGACCTCTGACACCCCCCCGCACTGGGATGCCCGAAGTGCACACACCGGGAATCGAACCCGAGACCTTCGCTCTGATACCATGTCAGAATCCCAGTCACTAACCACTGGGATAAAAGGGCTTGTTTGTGTAGCGGGTGAGTGCGCCCATAACCCCCCAGGCCGACGTGCCTGTAACCCTTCCCTAGGATCATCGGGGATCTCCAGTGGACCTCTGACAGTCCCCTCTCTCTCCCCCCCTCCCACGACGGAAGCCGCGGAGGGGAGGGCGGGTGGGGGGGCCGGCGGGAGTAGCTGCCGGCGTTGGCGCCCGCGCTGGCGCTGGCGATCCGCGCTGGCGACAGGAACGTCGCGCGTGGGGCAGCCGACGGGGCGCGCGCAGGGCGACGGGCAGGGCGCGCGCGGGGCTGCCGACGGGGCGTCCGCGGGGCGACGGGCAGAGCGTCCGCGGGGCTGCCGACGGGGCGCGCGCGGGGTGACGGGCAGGCCGTGCGCAGGGCAGCCGACGGGGCATTCGCGGGGCAGCCGACGGGGCACATTCGAGGGGACGGACAGGGCGCGCGCGACGGGCTAACGGAAAAGAAAAAATAGCGCATTTCGCACTTTAGATTGGGCGGGCCCATGATCTTTGAAGAAAGGTTAGGTCCTTAGACCGTTTTACTGCTCTGTACCATGTTAGAATAGTAAGCTTAGGAGAAACTAGGTTTTAGGAAGAGGGAGGATGTTTGGCCAAGCAAGAAGGGGGTTGGACTATTGAGAGAAATACAAGATATAGGGCAAGGAAAGGTGGCCAAGGAGGGTATACCACCAACAATGAAATAGATACTACACTAACTAGGCTAGTATGCAGTTATACATGGAAATACAATTTCTGACAAATACAGTTATGATTGCATGTCTGCTTATCGTGCTGAATTTCACAACCCCGTAAGACTTCCCTAAAGACCTGTGAGTGCCACGGGACAATCTTAGGGTACGTTCCTGGCGAGTGGATGACCGGAAGTTGGACCCACTTTGGGCCATCCGAGACCAACTTCGGGTCTTCCGGCATAAAATTGCCCCTGTTTCCGGAAGACCTGAAGTTTGACAGGGAGTTTGACCCAAAGCTTCGGGCCTTCCCGGGAAGGCCCGAAGCTTGACACGGGCCAGGAACGTACCCTTATTTATTCGTTTATTTTAGGTTTCTAGCATGCCAGAATCACCTTCACACCACCTTCACTCCACACTCATGTACATAATTCACAGTCGAGATTTGACTTTGACATCAATAACTTTGTCTCGCTTGTGCTCAGGCTGTGGTGGAAGCTTCTTAATGGAAACCGTCAAGATGCCATCCACACAGGCAGCCGTCACGCGTTCTACGTCTGCATCAGACGGAAGCTGAAACTCCCGAGTAAAGCTACCGTGCACTCTTTCTCTCCAGATAAGCCGCTCGTTAGCCGACTTCTCCTGACGACGCTCTCCCTTGAATGAAATAACTAGCGTTTCGGGATCAACTCTCACTTTCAAATCCTTCCCTTGGAACCCAGGAACGTCGACACGGAAAATATAATCAGTGGGCGTTTCGACGATATCTAGCGGCGCCATGCGCAGCAGAGAGCAATGAACAACCGCGAGTGATCACTGGTACGGGGACCTGGAAAACCGGAAAACAAGCTACTGTGGAAACGAATAACGACCTGCGCCTGTGCGATATTGGAATACAGTACCTATGCGGCGTTGACGTTTGGCTAAGATTGATATCCACGGATCCTTCAGAGCAACGTTGACGGACTGCCTAGCTTGCACGCAAGAAGATTCGGGAAGAATGTTGGAGCAAAAGGGAGGGCGGGGAGAAGAGGACTTCGACAGGGAGGCGCGACTTCGTTGGTTCCGTGCCGAGCGAAGCGCTCGCAGATCGCACGAAATGAACACCTGTTACATGTAGAATGAGCTGTAAACCAGAGTAAGAGGAAAGAGGAATAAGAAATGGGAAAGTCATATGACTTCCAGCTTCCAAGCTTTCCTTTCTAACAGTGTTAATATACGGCGTGTTCAATTTTCGAGAAAAAAACGTTGATTCATACCTACGTATAGCTCAACCTTTTTAATCAGCAATTCTTTATCTGTCGGCGCAGATTAATAGGAGTGAATCTCTGAACAACCCAAAGTGTTGGCATAAATGTAGCCCAAAAATGAGAACGAATTGCACAGTAAAGAGGTTCAAAAACTTCGTCTAGGCTCGGCACCCGTACGGTAGCAGCAGCAGCACCCTCTCGCGGTATCCACCACGGGTCCTTTAGTGTTTATAGCGGTTTCCACAGCACTCTTCTAACGCGTACCCAGAGGAAGGCCTTTCTCAAATTCTGCCCCTCCTCCCCCAGTCTACCCTTTTCCCACAGCTTTTTCGGTGGGAAGTAGAGTGTCGGTTCCTAGACTTACCGACTATTTGGTCCTAATTAGTACATCACTGCACGTGGCAGTGCAAAGACCACAGTATTCGAGGCTGGAACGGGTTTAGGTATCGGATCGGCGTTTAAGGCTCCTGCGGATCGACCCTTCTCCCGCATTGCTGGGCTGATCGCGTCTCTCCCTCCACTATTTACCAGCACCTTCGCACCGTGTACGGCTTTCTCTTATACACCCGGATTTCAGTAGCTCCAGCTCTGTTTCAGTACCTCTGTCGCGAGTTTCTCTCCTACCCTGATCTTTCAGGCTTGGTAGCTTTGTCCTTCGACTGCACACCAGCAATACAGGACAGTTCCGATTCATGATTCATGGTTGCTATATTATGCTTCATGATTCATTATTCAAACTAATTTTTCATTCATGAATTTGTCCGTACAGATCCCCTCTTCCTAATTCGCCATTGCGCTGCACCTGATTTGATCCCCTCTGATTTGATCTGAAGCATTCCGCCACGACGAGCAGGCAGTTCTGCCTCTCTTCAGATCTATTCGGCTATGGCTTGTGCTTTCTGTAACTCTGTTCACAGCAGCCCGGTCTCTTCGGTCTCTTCAGTTGGTCTCCCATAATCCTCTTCCACAATACCTCGTCTTCCATAATACCTTGAGCCGAAGTGGATCCATCTCCCGTTGCTGATCCGATCGATCGCCGATAATATTTTATCTTTCAATTGTGCGGGTATATACGGGGTTTCCAGGCTCGCTCGTGTACCAGAGTAGGATCCTCGCTAATGAGTTGTCACCTCGTTTCCTTGAAACTTTTTGACATACGGAAACAACGCTTAAGGGTTATCAGCTACCTCTTGCCCATCCCCCCACCCCTCCCCCTCCCCGTGCTCGTTTTTTCAAGATACAAACTAGGGAATGGGAGGAAGGGCTGGGGAACTTGGCCTGTTTCGACATTATCATATTACATGTCGCTTCCTCACGGCTGGAACTCGTCGCAGCAGGAGCAGCCGCGTCATTTTGTAGTATCGAGGATCATAGAAAGATGGATCGAATTGTAACTTCTCACTCCCCCCCCGTACTCCTCCCCCTCTCTTCCCGTTTCCCCCGTTCCTCCATCCCCTCCGTTTCCCGCCGCTCTTCCCCGCTTCCCCCCCAACCCCAGAACCATGTCGCAACAGGAGCAGCCGCTTCCGAGCAGCGCGAGCGGCGCGGAGGGCGCTGACGTGGACGAATCAGGGGTGGCGCAGTCGCCGTCGTCCGCGAATCCCGCCGCGCCGTCCTTCGCGTCGTCGTCGCTCTACGTGGGCGACCTGGACGCGAGCGTCACAGAGGCTCAACTCTTCGACCTCTTCTCACAGGTATAAAATTTTGATCCGATTCCTGAACACCCGCCGTCTCTCCCGTGCCCTTCCCTCCCCTCCTCCCCCTCCTCCGTTCTCCTCCACCTCCCCTTCCCCCTCCCCTCCCCCTCCTCCTCCCTCCCCCTCCCCTCCCCTCCCTCTCCTCCCTCCCCTCCCCCTCCCCTTCCCCTCCCCTCCTTTCCCCTCCCCCTCCCCCCCGCTCCTCCTCCCCTCGTTTCCACCTTCCTCCGCTTCCCTTTCTCCCCTCCTTTGCGTCGTCGTCCCCTTCTCCCCTACCTTCGATCGCTATGTGAGCATCACAGAGTCTCAGCTCTTCGACCCCTCCTCCTCCTCCTCCTCCTCCTCCTCCTCCTCCTCCTCCTCCTCCTCCTCCTCCTCCTCCTCCTCCTCCTCCTCCTCCTCTCCCTCCCTCTCCCTCTCCCTCTTCCTCCCCCTGCTTCTCCAGGTGGGCCCAGTGGCCTCCATCCGCGTGTGTCGCGACATGGTCACACGGCAGTCGCTGTCAGTGCCACTCAGCTAGTACGTACATCTGTGTCTCAGTTCCCTCTCTCTGCCCCTCCCCCTCTCCCTCTCCCTCCCCTCTCCAGGTGGGCCCAGTGGCCTCCATCCGCGTGTGTCGCGACATGGTCACTCGGCAGTCGCTGGGATACTCATATGTCAACTTCAGCAGCAGCCAGGATGGTGCGTGTGTTGGCTTAGTCCCCGCCCCCACACACACACATGTACGCGCACACGCATGCACATGCGCACATACACATGTAAACAATCGGCAGTCTCTGGGGTACTCATATGTCAGCTTCAGCAGCAGCCAGGATGGTGCGTGTGGTGGTAGTCCCTTTGGCAACCCCACATGTTACCACACATGCACGCACATGTATGTACATGCACTGTGTACATCATGCTTTCGCACTGTGATCCATTCATTGTGCACCCCTCATACTGCGTCCATCTCTTTGACATCCCCTGCACCCCTTTGACATCCGCCGCACCCCTTTGACATCCCTCGCACCCCTTTGACTCGCGCCCCTTTTTCCCTTTCCACACCTTCAATTGCAGCTGCTCGAGCTCTCGATCTGCTCAATTTCACCAATGTGGCGGGGCGTCCCATGCGCATCATGTTCTCGCACCGGGACCCCTCGATCAGACGCAGCGGCACCGGCAATATCTTTATCAAGGTGGGAAATCTTATGCCTGTTCTTGGTGGGAAATCGTATGCAATATCTTTATCAAGGTGGGAGACTCATTCCCTCTTCCAGTCGACGCAAATAGGGGGTTTCATGCGTTGCTTTGTCATTCTGGAAGGTTTTATGTGAGGTCTGATGTTGGTAGTTCGAATCTCGATTTATTTCCTGCTGGGGTTTATTTTCCTTGCTTGCAGATTTTCCTGCCATCGCAGAATCTCGACAAGAGCATTGGCAACAAGGCTCTCTATGACACAGTTGCCGCGTTCGGCTCAATCCTCTCTTTCTGTTCGATGACTTTGTGTCTTTCCCTGCCCTCAACACGTGCCACCGCAGAATCTCGACAAGAGCATTGACAACAAGGCCCTATACGACACATTTCCGGCGTTCGGCTCCATTCTTTCCTGCCGCGTCGCTACGGACAAGAGCACAAGTCAAACTGTCTTCTTCCCTTTCCCACCCCCTTATGATACCATTTTCTTTCATTTGAACCGCATCCAACCCCCTCAGAATCTCGACAAGAGCATTGACAACAAGGCCCTCGCCCTATACGACACCTTTGCAGCGTTCGGCTCGATCCTCTCCTGCCGCGTTGCCACGGACGACGGCGCAAGTCAAACTGGCTTCGTCCTTTTCCACCCCTTGGAACCCCTTTCCATCCATCCTAACCCCTCAGAATCTCGACAAGAGCATTGACAACAAGGCCCTCTACGACACCTTTGCAGCGTTCGGCTCCATTCTCTCCTGCCGCGTTGCCACAGACGGGAGCACAAGTCAAACTGTTTTCTTCCCTTTTCCCATCCCCTTATGATTCCCCTGTTTACCATCCAAACCCCGTCTAAACCCATATAAACCCCTCAGAATCTCGACAAGAGCATTGACAACAAGGCCCTATACGACACCTTTGCGGCGTTCGGCTCCATCCTCTCCTGCCGCGTCGCTACGGACGACAGCGGCGCGTCCAAGGGGTTTGCGTTTGTGCAGTTTGAGAAAGAGGAGGTGGCAAAGGCGGCTATTGAGAAAGTCAACGGCATGCTCATTGCAGGGAAGCAGGTGAGCTTATAGCGAGTACAGTGAGATTATAGTGGGTACATAGAGGGAGGGGGCCGCCCAAGGGGTTTGCGTTTTTGCAGTTTGAGAAAGGGGAGGTGGCAAAGGCAGCGATCGAGAAAGTCAATGGGACGCTTATTGCTGGGAAGCAGGTGAGCCTATAACGAGGGCTTTATAACGAGGGATAGAAGCGGGTGAGTTTCTACCGAGACTAAAGATGGTGACCTGATTGGAGAGAGGCGACTAATCAACCAGCAGCAGCCACAGCAGCTCTAAGTCTTCTGGCCTCCCACAGTTTCAAATGCTTCGGTCCCTCTTCCCCTTCCATCCGTTTCCTTCCCACGCGCACACTTATTTTTTTTCCGGCTCCCCTGTTTCAGGTGTTTGTGGGTCCGTTTGTGCGCAAGCAGGACTGCAGCTCAAACGACAGCGACGGCATGGGCGGAGGTCTCTTCACTCCTCCCCCTCCCCCCCACCACTCCCTCCCTCCCTGCTCCACCCCTTCTCCAGGTGTTTGTGGGTCCCTTTGTGCGCAAGCAGGACCGCAGTTCAAACGATAGCGATGGCATGGGCAATGGACTTCACTCCTCCCCCTCCTCCCCAACCACTCCCTTCCTTCGCCTGCCCCTCCCCCTCCAGGTGTTTGTGGGTCCCTTTGTGCGCAAGCAGGACCGCAGTTCAAACGACAGCGACGGCATGTTTGAAGGTCTCTTCACTCTCCCCCCGTCCCCCCACCACTCCCTTTCTCCAGGTGTTTGTGGGTCCCTTTGTGCGCAAGCAGGACCGCAGTGCAAACGACAGCGACGGCATGGGCGGAAAGCAAAGGTTTGTCCGCACTCCCTCCCTTTCATCCCCCCTCCCCTTCTCCGCCCCCTCCCCCAGGTGTTTGTGGGTCCGTTTGTGCGCAAGCAGGACCGCAGTGCAAACGACAGCGACAGCATGGGTGGCGGGGGAGGAGGAGGAGACAGATCAGGCAACCAGCAGCAGCAGCAGCAGTATACCAATCTCTACGTGAAGGGTTTAGGGGAGGAGACGACTGATGAGGAGCTTTTAAAGGTGTTTGCCGCGTTTGGGGCGATAAAGAGCGCTGTGGTTATGCGGGAGGCTGATGGGCGGAGCAAGGGTTTTGGGTTTGTGAATTTCGAGAAAGCGGAGGATGCTGCGAAGGCTGTGGAGGGGGTTAATGGGAAGCGGGTTGTGAAAGGGGTGGTGGTGGGGGGTGGGGAGGGGGAGGGGAAGGGAGAGGAGGGTGGGGAAGCAGGCAAGGAGAAGGCGAAGGAAGGGGAGGAAGGGGAGAAGGAGGGAGAAAAGGAGACAAAGGAGGGAGAAGCGAAAGAGGGAGAAAAGAAAGAGGGAGAAACGAAGGAGGGAGAAACCAAAGAGGGGGAACCGAAAGAGGGGGAAACGAAAGAGGGGGAAACGAAAGAGGGAGAAACGAAAGAGGGAGAAACGAAGGAGGGAGAAACAAAAGAGGGAGGAAAGAAGGAGGGGAAGAAGGGAGGGGGAGGAGCGGGGCGGGTGTGGTACGTGGCACGGGCCCAGAAGAAAGCAGAGAGAGAGGCAGAATTGAAGCGGCGATATGAGGAGGAGAGGCGGCAGCAGACTGAGCGGTATTCACAGAGGAATTTGTACTTCAAGAATCTGGAGGAGAGTGTGGATGAGGGCGAGTTGAAGAACATGTTCCAAGAGTATGGTGCTGTCACCAGCTGTAAGGTGGGTGCCGGGGCTTGGCGGTGTGCATTATTGGTTGCACAGGCAGCACACAGCATGGCAGGCAGCACACAGCATGGCAGGTATTCACAGAGGAATTTGTGTTTTAAGAATCGCAAGGAGATTGTTTATGGAGGCGAGTTGATGAATACGTTCCAAGAGTATGGCACCGTCACCAGCTGTAAGGTGTGCGGCTGGGGTTATGCAGTATTGGTGTGCAGTATTGGTTGCACAGGCAGCACAGGCAAATCACAGCATTGCAGGCATACAGAGCGGTGCTGACAGCATTCAGAGCGGTATGTGCAGCAGAAAGCGTACTCACAGGCCGAGACAGGGGGCAGCAAGGGCGCTGGCTTCTCTCTGCTGTTCGTCCAGCCCTTAGCTGCTCCTACTTCAATTCCCCCCATTCCCTCTGTTCCCACCCCGCACCCGCCCCCACACTGTCCTTCCCCATTCTATGTCCATCAGATTCTCAAGCACGAGACAGGGGGCAGCAAAGGGTGCTGGCTTTGTGCTCATTGCTGTTTTCCAAGCCTTTAACCGCTCCTACTTTTATTCCCCTCTCCACCCGCCATCCCTCCCATTCTATGTCCATCAGATTCTCAAGCACGAGACAGGGGGCAGCAAAGGCTGCTGGCTTCGTGCTCTTTGCTGTTTTCCAAGCCTTTAACCACGCCTTTTATTCCCCTCTCCACCCACCGTCTGCCAAATCCGCACACTGTCCCTATTAGATTCTCAAGCACGAGACGGGCGGCAGCAAGGGTGCTGACTTTGTGCTCTTTGCTGTTTTCCAAGCCTTAAACGCTCCTTCTTTTATTCCCCTCTCCACCTGCCATCTGCCAATCCGCACACTGCCCTCCCCATTCTGTGACTATCAGATTGTCAAGCACGAGTCGGGGAGCAGCAAGGGCGCTGGTTTCGTGCTATTTGCTGCTCGTTAGCCTTTTGCTGCTCTTCCTTTCGTTCCCCCTTCATCCATCCTCCAACCCACGCACACTGTCCCTCCCATTCTATGTCCATCAGATTCTCAAGCACGAAACGGGCGGCAGCAAGGGTGCTGGCTTCGTGCTCTTAGCAAACGAGGCCGATGCTGCAAAGGCGGTGAGTTGCTTGCTTTTGATGTGCCATGTGTATCCGTACTCGTTATAAGGTAAGGTTTGCGCACTCTGTGCCTTCGTGATAAGGTAGGCTAGCGCACTGTGCCCGCCTGTGCCCCGCCTGTGCCCCACCTGTGCCCCAAGCACGAAACGGGGGGCAGCAAGGGTGCTGGCTTCGTGCTATTTGCAAACGAGGCTGATGCTGCAAAGGCGGTGAGTGGCTTGTGCTGTACACTTTGTACTCGCTATAAGCTCCGAGTTAGGATGCACACTACACTCTGTTCTCGCTAGAAGCTGTCGGTAGGATGTACGCTACACTTTGTGCGCTACACTTTGTACGCGCTACGTACTCGTGATAAGCTATCGGTAGGCTCAACTGCAGGCTGTGTGCTTTCTCCTTTCACTTTCTGTCCTTTTCCCTCCAACTCGCAGCACTGAACAGCAAGATGGTGAAGGGAAAGCCTCTCTATGTGGCACAACCCAGGGCGGAGCGGCAGGCACTCATGCCCTCTGTCTGTGCTATCCCCCTTCTGTCCCTCCACAGTATCCCCACCGCCACCCCTCTCCCAGCTCGCAGCCCTGAACAGCAAGATGGTGAAGGCAAAGCCGCTCTACGTGGCTGTAGAACAGCCAAAGGCAGAGCGACAGACACTCATGCCCTCTGTCTGCTTTCTCCCTTACCTATCTCTCCCTTGTATCCCCACTGCCACCCCTCCTCCCAGCTCGCAGCGCTGAACAGCAAGATGGTGAAGGGAAAGCCTCTCTACATGGCTGTGGCACAGCCCAAGGCAGAGCGGCAGACACTCAGGCCGCGCGTGCTGCTTCCTTTCTCCATCTGTCTTTGCCCCTGTCCTCCCAGCTCGCAGCACTGAACAGCAAGATGGTGAAGGGCAAACCCCTCTATGTGGCCGTGGCACAGCCAAAGGCAGAGCGGCAGGCACAGCTGCAGGCCATGTTCAGCAGCAGCAGGGGGGGGACTGCTGCACGCTTTCTCACTCTCTCCTCTTCCTTGCTTGTTTCTCTTCGCCCCTCCTCCCAGCTCGCAGCACTGAACAGCAAGATGGTGAAGGGAAAGCCTCTCTACGTGGCTGTGGCACAGCCAAAGGCAGAGCGACAGGCGCAGCTGCAGGCCATGTTTCAGCAGCAGCGGGGGGGACAGCCCCACCCCCGGGGGGTTGTGGCTGGTGTGCCTGGTGCTGCAGGAGGTTACTATGCTCCCCCGGGGGTGGTGGCGCAGCAAGGAGGGTTCTACAGCCAGCCGGGAATGATGCCTGTCCAGGTACGACCTCCCTCCTGAGGTATGGCTCCTGAGGTAACTGTGAGAACAATAGTTTGAAGAGAAGTTGATGATTGAATTGAGGAGATTGGGGGTTTACATAGGGAATGGGTTGGATCCTAGCCTAGGTGAGCATTATTGGACCCCAACCAAGAAGTTGGGTTGGGGGATTATTGGTGGGGTCCAATAATGTTGGCCAAGTTGGAGTTGGGCCAACATTATTGGAGTGAACCAATAATTCTACCCAACCCAACCTTTGGGGTCCAATAATTGGACCAAGGTTGGGTTTCCAACCTACAAACTGGGTGACCCCTGTTTGTACACCCAAACTGAGTTTGGGTGCTTAACTCTAGCCTAACCTATAACATCTATGCAGGTTACACAAGAAGATAGATTCTAACACAACCCCTTAACCTGCAGAGATGCGGAAAGGCTTGAGTGAAGCAACCCCTGAATCAAGGCGCGCCTGGGGGAGCGAGGCCGATGAGGCGGAGAAGAGCAGAGTGCGCAGGGCGAAGGAGTGCTTTGGTGAAGATATCTGCCAAGTTGGCTTCAGCGGCGATCTTACGAACGGCAATGAGATTCTGTTGGACGAGTTCACGGATGAAGAAATAGCGGAGCTCAATGTGTTTGGAGCGACCGTGGAACACGGGGTCTTGGGTGAGATGGATGGTGCTGGCATTGTCACACCAGAGCGTGGGGCAGCGCTGGGGAACACCAAGCTCAGCCAGGAGGAAGCAGAGCCAGCGGGACTCCTGGGCGGCCATGGTGCCAGCATAGAGCTCAGCTTCACAGGAGGAGAGGGCGATGGCAGAGGAGCGGGTAGAGCGCCAGCTGATGAGGCCGCTGCCGAGGGTGAAGCCATAGCCTTGGGAGGAGCGGCGGTCTGGCTGGCAGTCTGCCCAGGAGGAGTCGCTGAAGCCAGAGAGAAGGGGGGGGGAAGATCCACCCAGCGTGAGAGCGTGGTCTCTGGTGCCACGGAGATAGCGGAGGACCCGCTTGGCGGCAGTCCAGTGTTCCTCAGTGTGGCGGCCGGGGCCGACGAACCGAGCAAGGACGCTGACAGGGTAGGCGAGGTCGGGACGAGTGCACATCATCGCGTACATCAGCGACCCAACAAGCTCGGCGTAGGGCCGGGAGGAGGTGGAGGGGGAGGTGGGTGGCGCAAGCTGGTGTGGGTGGAGACCGGTTTGGCTTGTGCCATCTCGAACTTCTCCAGGACCTGGCCGATGTAGTGGGACTGGGAGAGGGTGATGGTGCGGGCGGATCGATCACGGGTGATAGCCATGCCGAGGTAGTTCTGAAGCGGACCAAGGTCCTTGCACTTGAGACGTTCCTGAAGTGACCGCTTCACATGATCCATGTCAGCCCTGGTGTCGGCGAGCAGGATCATGTCGTCGACGTAGACCGAGATGAAGAAGCGACTGGGGGAGGAGCGGATGAAGAGGCTGGCATCGGAGTGGGAGGGGGAGAAGCCAAGGGACTGGAGAGTAGCAGACAGCTTCGCATGCCATTCTCGTGGTGCCTGCTTCAGGCCGTAAACCGGGCGCTTTAGTTGCCAGACGGTGTTTTCGGGGAAAGCCGCATGAAACCCAGGAGGTCGGCGGAGGAAGATGCGCTCGTGCAGTTCGCCTTGCAGGAACGCGTTGGAGACGTCCATGGAGTCAATCTCCATGTCGTCACGCGCACCGATGTCCATAAGGGTGCGTAGGGTGGCTTGCCTGAGGGTGGGGGCAAATGTGAACCAGTAGTCCTCAGCCCAGGTCTGGGTGAACCCCTTGGCAACATAGCGGGCTTTGTAGACTGGCTCCTCTCCCGGCAGCTGTTTGACTCGAAAGATCCACTTGCCCTCGACAAGGTTGGCGTCAGGGGGAAGGGGAACGTCGATAAAGGAGTCGTTGCGAATGAAAGCCTCACACTCCAGGAAGATAGCGGCTAACCACTTGTCAGCGTCAGGGCAGGTGATAGCCTCCTGGAAGGTGGTGGGGACGAAGATGGTGGGAGCGGAGATCGCGCTAAGGATCAGAGCGCCGAAGAGGTCAGGGTAAAGTGTGAAGATAGAGGGAGTGTGGCACCGGACCATGGCGAACTCCTCATAGGAATCCTCGAGCTGGTGGAGGGAGGAAGGTGGCGGTGTGCCAAGGATGGGATCAAGAGAGCGGGTGTGCATGCGAGGGAGGAGGAAGGGTGAGGAGCGGGCAGACGCCCTCCGCCGCTGCTGCTGCTGCTGCTGCTGGAACCCCTGTTGCTGCTGCGGCTGCTGCTGCTGCTGTTGTTGCTGCTGCTGCTGCTGCTGCTGCTGCTGCTGCCCCTGCGGTTGTTGCGGCGGCCACTGCTGCTGCTGGTGCGGCTGCTGCTGCGGCTGCCCCTGCTGCTGCTGCTGCTGTGGCTGCTGCTGCTGCCCCTGCGGCTGCTGCTGCGGCTGCCCCTGCTGCTGCTGCTGCGGCTGCTGCTGCGGCTGCTGCTGCTGCTGCTGTGGCTGCTGCTGCTGCCCCTGCGGCTGCTGCTGCTGCTGCTGCTGCTGCGGCTGTTGGGATGGATGAGAAGGAGAGTAGGAAGGAGAGGAGGGAGAGGGAGCCGCGGAGTGTGCAGGGGATGCTGGAGCAGTGGGATCATAGATATCGGCAGATGAGGGTGGCGGAAGCGGAGTGGGGAGGGGTGGGAGAAGGGGTGCTGGAGGGAGGAGGGGAGGGAGGACGGTGTCGGCCCAAGCGAGAGGACGGGTGGGAGGAGGGAGGGGGTCTGGTGGTGGAGAGGAATAATATGGGGTGGTCTCATCAAACACAACGTCAATGCTGCGGATGAGGCAACCGGAAAGAGGGTGAAGGAAAAGGTAACCGGGCGAGTCACGGTTGTGGCCGAGGTAGACACACTCGAGGGCACGAGAAGCGAGCTTGCCGTGGGTGCGTTCAGGTGGAGGGATGAGCACATATGCCTTGCAACCCCAGACACGAAGTCCGGCAGCGTCAGGTTTGGACCCTGACCAGAGCTCCGTGGGGGTAGTGGCGGTGTGGCAGGGATGGGAGCGAAGGTTGAGGAGGAGGGTAGCATGAAGGAGTGCATAGCCCCAAAGAGAAGGAGGGGTGGAGGCGTGAGCGAGGAGACAGCGGGCGATCTTAGTGATTTCGCGAATGCGGCTCTCTGCGACGCCGTTCTGCTGTGGGGAGTGGGGAAGAGTGTGGGTCTGTTGGATGCCATGAGTGGTGCAGTAGTGAGTGAGTGCGCGATTGAGGAATTCGCCTCCCCCATCAGAGTGGAGGCGGCCGATGGGACGTTTGAAGTGGGTGCGGCATTGTTCTGCCCAGTGAATGATCATGGTCGGCGCCTGGGCTTTCGTGTGGAGGAGGAAAACGGAGGAGTAGCGGCTGTGATCGTCAACCAGAACCAGCATGTAGCGATGGCCTTGGCGGGAGCGGGTGGGAGAGGGCCCCCAAAGGTCCATATGGACAAGGTCAATTGGTACAGGAGCAAAGGATGGGTGGCTGTGGTGAGGAGATTGTTTGAGTTTGCCGTGGATGCAGGAGGGGCATGGGGGGGCCGGGGAGGAGGGAAGGGGAGGAAGGGTGGGAGGGAGGCTGTGAAGGAGTCGTGAGGTGACAGCAGTGCGGAGAGCGGCGAAATTGGGATGGCCGAGGCGGTGATGTAGGAGAACTGCGGGGTGGGAGAGATGGTCGGAGGTGGAGGGGATTGGAACGAGGGAGGGCGGGATGAAAGAGTGGGGGGATGGTGGAGTGGGGGGGGAGGGAGGGAGATGAGGAGGGCTAGTGGAGGTACCCGCACGAGTGGTGACATGACAGGAGGGTGGCCACGGAGTGCGGAGAGTGAAGAGGCGAGTGCGGGGGCAGAGGGGTATGCGGAGGAGGAAGCGGCCGGAGGCAGTGTGGTAAAGGTCACAGTAGGTGGCATTACCAGGATAGACCGCAGTGATACCTGCACTTTGAATTTCGCGGTGGGAGAGAAGGTTGTTTCGGAGAGTGGAGATGTGGAGACCAGTTACCTTACCAGAGGGGAAGAGTGAGCAGGGGAGAGTGGAGAGGTGTGTGCATGGAATAGTGAAGCTGCTGTCAGCGCCGTGAACCTGAGTGGGAGGAGAGAGGGGTGTGAGTGTACCAGCGTCTTTGAGAGCAGTTTCAGTGGCCCCACTGTCCAGGACAAAGTCCAGAGTGGGTGAGGAGGAGGAAGGCACGGAGTACTGGAAAGTGGTTTCATTAATGGTGGACGGGTACATGGAAGGAAGAGAGGGTGAGATAGCAATGTTGCCAAGAAAGTTCTCCTGAGTGAGAGGGGTGGCAGTGCCACTGGGGCGGGGTGGAGCACCCCAAAGGGGAGCCGGTGAGGCCTGAGCGGCCATGGCTGCGGTGCCGAAGTTTAGCTGCTGCTGCTGCCAGGGAGGAGGGCTAGGTCCCCACTGGGGCTGGGGTCCTGATCCCCATGGGTGCTGCTGCGGCTGCGGCTGCTGCTGCTGCTGCGGCTGTGGATAAAACAGCTGCTGTAACTGCTGCTGCTGCTGCTGCTGTAGGAGGTGCTGCTGCTGGAGGTTGAGAAAAGGTGTGGGGGGAGCAAGGAGGCGGAGGTGGGCAGGGAGGTAAGCGGGGTTGGTTTGGATGTCGGTGGGGGAGGGACGTGGGGAGATCGTTCCCCACTTTGGAGGATTGCCAACGTTACCTCGTGCGTACCAAGCATCATCGAGGGCCTTGAAGCAGGTGGCAGGGGGATGGTTGGTCTGTCCGCAGGGTGTTCCAGCCCGGGGGCCATAGCGGCGAACATAGGTGCAGGGCGGAAGAGTACCGGGGCGAGTGCCGCTACTTGCAGGAGCTCCGCCTGTGGTGGTGGTGCCGTGCTCATCCCCAGTGGTGCCACCACGTCTGCTCGCGCTGCTGCCGCCGGGACCGCTACCTCCCTTGCCTCCACCGCCCCCCTTGCCGTTGTTCTTGCCCTGCTTGCGGGGCTGAGTAGCGTTGAGGGAGGAGGAGGAGGGTTGGGAGGAGGCGAGGTTGACGACGGGGGTGCGAAGTTTGACTTCGGTGTCTATGATCCACTGTTCAACGGAGGCGAGGTCAGCCATGGGATTGGCTTCAGTAAAGGCGTGAAGGCGGGATTCATAGTCGGGAGTGAGGTTAAACAGGAGGCGATGGATTTGGAGGGGTTCGGAGAGGCCGGCTTGGCGGGCTTCGAGGCGGTCAGCTACCTCCCGCATGCGGCCGATGTAGTCGACCGCTCCGTCACAGGTAGCAAGGGTGATTGAGAAGTATTCTTGGAACAGAATGCCGACCGAGCTGATGTCGCGGCGTTCGAACATCGCATGGAGCTCTGCCCAGATGACCGAGGCCCGGAGCTCTCGAGCCTGGAAGCGGCGCATGAGGGAGTCAGGGAGAGCCCCAAGGAGAACGGTGCAGGCACGAGTGTCAGCAGTTGTCCAGGCGATAAGTTTCGGGGTGTAGGTGGCCATGTCGGCTTGGTATTTGGCGACGACGGCGAGGTGAGCGTTGCGGCCGGTAACTGCCTGGTCATAGGCTTCGACTGCTGCATCGTACTCTGCTTTCTTGATAAGGTACGCACGGCGGCGTAGGATGAAGTCTGCATCGGCCGTGGCTTGGTCGGTGGTGAGTTGGAGGTCGGGTTCAAGAGGAGGATCGCCGGGAGAGGGAGGGAGAGGGGGAGTCTCGCCTGGGTGGTCAGGTTCGGTGGGGGGGAGTGCATGGGGACGGCGGAGGAGGACATCAAGGACACGGTAGGGGGGAACCCATGCGTCGGAGAGAACTCGTCGGATGCTGCCGACGAAGGAGTGCCAATTAATGGCGGATTTGTCTGCGGCGAGCTGCAGCTTATCGATGGAGGAGGTGTCAATAGGTGGAGGGAGGGGGGCGGGGGAGGGTGTGGCGGTAGCCATGGAGGACGGCTGCGGGTGGACCCGCAGTGGTCACGGGGGGAGGTGAGGCGGCGATGAGGCCGCGGAAGAGCGGCGCAGGCGGCGGCGGCTGGCGAGGCCGCGGCGGCGCAGGCGGGAGGGCGGCGATGAGGCCGCGGGAGGGAGAGGCGCGGACGGCGGCGGCTGGTGGAGCCGCGGCGGCGTTTGCGCGGAGGCGGCGACGAGGCCGCGGAGAGGCGCGAGTGGCGGCGGCTGGTGAGGCCGCGGCGGCTGGCGCGGAAGCGGCGTCGTGGCCGCGGAGAGGCGCGAGCAGCAGCGGCCGGAGAGGCCGTGGAGGCGCCGGCGCGGAAGCGGTGTCGAGGTTGCGGAATGGCGCGGGCGGCAGCGGTGGGCGGGACCGCGACGGGGCGAGCGCGGAAGCGGCGATGGGGCCGCGGAAGGGGGGAGGGGGGGGGTGGTGCGGGCCTTGGCGGCGTGGGAGGCCGCGGGGCTGCGAGGAAGGGAGCGCTTGAGGAGAGGGGAAGGGCGGCAAGATGGCCGCGAAAAAAAAAAAAATGAGGAAGGAGGCCGGGGTTGTAGTGGCCTTTGAAAAGTTAAGAGAGTAGGCCTAGGAATTAAGAGCTCTATATCATGTGAGAACAATAGTTTGAAGAGAAGTTGATGATTGAATTGAGGAGATTGGGGGTTTACATAGGGAATGGGTTGGATCCTAGCCTAGGTGAGCATTATTGGACCCCAACCAAGAAGTTGGGTTGGGGGATTATTGGTGGGGTCCAATAATGTTGGCCAAGTTGGAGTTGGGCCAACATTATTGGAGTGAACCAATAATTCTACCCAACCCAACCTTTGGGGTCCAATAATTGGACCAAGGTTGGGTTTCCAACCTACAAACTGGGTGACCCCTGTTTGTACACCCAAACTGAGTTTGGGTGCTTAACTCTAGCCTAACCTATAACATCTATGCAGGTTACACAAGAAGATAGATTCTAACAGTAACACCTCTCCTCCGGGGAAAGTTATGGCTCAGTGTGGCCGGTGTGGCCGGTGCTGCAGGGTACTATGCACCCCCGGGGGTGGTCGCGCAGCAGGGAGGGTTCTACACACAGCCGGGGATGATGCCTGTCCAGGTAACCTGCCCCTTGAGGTAGCACCTCCCTTCTGAGGTAGCACCTCCCACCTGCTGGTGTGGCTGGTGTGGCCGGTGCTGGGGGGTACTATGCCCACCCGGGAGTGGTGGCGCAGCAGGGAGGGTTCTACTCACAGCCGGGGATGATGCCTGTCCAGGTACGACCTTCCTAGTAAAGTAACACCTCTCCTCCGGGGAAAGTTATGGCCGAGTGATGCTGGTGTGCCTGGTGCTGCGGGGGGGTACTATGGCCCCCCTGGGATGGTGGCGCAGCCGAGAGGGTTCTACAGCCAGTCAGGAATGATGCCTGTCCAGGTACGACCTCTCTAACGAGGTAACAGCTCCTCTTTGGAAAGCAATGGCTCAGACCTCAGTGGTGCTTTGAGTGGCAGGCGCAGCGCAGCCGCCGTACCCCTCCTCCCAGCAGCCCACGCGGCCAGGCATGGAATTATCCTGCAGGCATGGGGGACGCAGGATTTAGGGACGTCATCTGATCTTTACCCTTCCATTCCACCCCTCTCCAACACTCCCCACCTGTTTCCACCCTATCCTACCACCAGCCCCCATACCCCTGCTCCCAGCAGCCCATGCGGCCAGGCATGGTTCTACCAGCAGGCATTGGGGGAACAGGATCCCAGGAAGTCAACTGATTGCACCCTTTCATTCCCACCCCTCTCCACCACTTCGCACCCCTTTCCACCCCGTCCCACCAGCCCCCGTACCCCTACTCCCAGCAGCCCATGCAGCCAGGCATGGTGCTACCAGCAGGCATGGGGGGAGCACCGGGGATGGGGTATGTGTGAGCATTTGCTGATTAGCGCCATTCCCCTTCCATCCTTCCGACCCCGTCCCATCGCACCATATCCCACCCCCACCCCCAACCAGCCTCCATACCCCTACTCCCAGCAGCCCATGCGGCCAGGCATGGTGCTACCAGCAGGCATGGGGGGAGCGCCAGGGATGGGGGCACCGGGAATGGGGGCACCAGGAATGGTGCCGGGGGGAGCGCAAGGCATGGTGGGGGGTCCAAACCCGAACGTGTACATGCGGCAGCAGCAGCAGTACGGGGCAGCGCAAGGGGCACCTGTGCAGGTGGGTATAGGGCATTAAGAATGGGAGTACCCAGGAGTCGAGGCAGGAGGGATGGGAGCACCAGGGAGTGGGGCATCAGGAGTGGGGGCACCTGGGATGGGAGCACAAGGCATGGTGGGGGGACCAAACCCGAACGTGTACATGCGGCAGCAGCAGCAGTACGGGGCAGCGCAAGGGGCTCCTGTGCAGGTGAGGGCAGAGCTATGAGTGTTGAGGCAGCTTTCTCGTGGTTGCCTGGGGGAGCGCCAGGCATGGTGGGGGGACCAAACCCCAACGTGTACATGCGGCAGCAGCAGTACGGGGCAGCTCAAGGGGCGCCTGTGCAGGTGGGTTGGGGGCGCTGGGAACTGGGAGCACCAGGGAGCGGGGCATCAGGAGTGGGGGCACCTGGGATGGGAGCGCAAGGCATGGTGGGGGGACCGAATCCGAATGTGTACATGCGACAGCAGCAGCAGTACGGGGCAGCGCAAGGGGCTCCTGTGCAGGTGAGGGGGTGCGGGCTGTGGGGGTTAGAGCAGCAGGGATGGTGAGAGCACCGGGCATGGCAGGAGGGATGGGGGTATTAGGGATGGGACCACAAGGCATGGTGGGGGAACCGAACCCCAATGTGTACATGCGACAGCAGCAGCAGTACGGGGCAGCTCAAGGGGCTCCTGTGCAGGTGTGTGAAGGCACTGGGTATGGGGGCACCAGGGAATGGGAGGAGCACTTAGGAGTGGAGGCAGGAGGGATGGGGGCACCAGGGATGGGAGCGCCAGGCATGCTGGGCGGACCGAACCCCAACGTGTACATGCGGCAGCAGCAGCAGTACGGGGCAGCTCAAGGGGCTCCTGTGCAGGTGTGTGAAGGCACTGGGTATGGGGGCACCAGGGAATGGGAGGAGCACTTAGGAGTGGAGGCAGGAGGGATGGGGGCACCAGGGATGGGAGCGCCAGGCATGCTGGGCGGACCGAACCCCAATGTGTACATGCGACAGCAGCAGCAGTACGGGGCAGCTCAAGGGGCTCCTGTGCAGGTGTGTGAAGGCACTGGGTATGGGGGCACCAGGGAATGGGAGGAGCACTTAGGAGTGGAGGCAGGAGGGATGGGGGCACCAGGGATGGGAGCGCCAGGCATGCTGGGCGGACCGAACCCCAACGTGTACATGCGGCAGCAGCAGCAGTACGGGGCAGCTCAAGGGGCTCCTGTGCAGGTGTGTGAAGGCACTGGGTATGGGGGCACCAGGGAATGGGAGGAGCACTTAGGAGTGGAGGCAGGAGGGATGGGGGCACCAGGGATGGGAGCGCCAGGCATGCTGGGCGGACCGAACCCCAACGTGTACATGCGGCAGCAGCAGCAGTACGGGGCAGCTCAAGGGGCTCCTGTGCAGGTGTGTGAAGGCACTGGGTATGGGGGCACCAGGGAATGGGAGGAGCACTTAGGAGTGGAGGCAGGAGGGATGGGGGCACCAGGGATGGGAGCGCCAGGCATGCTGGGCGGACTGAACCCCAACGTGTACATGCGGCAGCAGCAGCAGTACGGGGCAGCGCAAGGGGCTCCTGTGCAGGTGAGGGGGGTGAGGGCAGAGCAGTAGTGGTTGAGGCAACAGCAGGCAGAATGGGGGAGGGCAAGGCATGTTGGGTGGGGCGAACCCAACGCGTACATGCGACAGCAGCAGCAGTACGGGGCAGCGCAAGGGGCTCCTGTGCAGGTGAGGGGGCGGGCTGTGAGGGTTAGAGCAGCAGGGATGGTGGCGACACCGGGCATGGCAGGAGGGATGGGAGCACAAGGCATGGTGGGGGGAGGGTAAAGCATGGTGGGGGTACCGAACCCCAACGTGTACATGCGACAGGTGAGAGCGGTGAAGGCAGAGCAGTGAGTGTTGAGGCAGCATTGGGACCAATGTGTACATGCGGCAGCAGCAGCAGTACGGGGCAGCTCAAGGGGCGCCCATGCAGGTGAGGAGGCGGGCTGTGGGCATTGGGGCACCAGGAGAGGGAGCACCAGGGATGGGGGCATGGCAGGAGGGATTGCAGGAGGGATGGGAGTGCCGGGGGAGTGGGAGCGGGCATGGTGGGGGGACCAATCTCCAGCCTGCACTGCAGGTCTTGCATTTGAGTTCACTCAAAAGTCACAGTGTGCACTGCACGTCTTACATTTGAGTTGACTTAAAAGTCACAGTGTGCACTGCACGTCTTACATTTGAGTTGACTTAAAAGTCACAGTGTGCACTGCACGTCTTACATTTGAGTTCACTCAAAAGTCACAGTGTGCACTGCAGGTCTTACATTTGAGTTGACTTAAAAGTCACAGTGTGCACTGCACGTCTTACATTTGAGTTCACTCAAAAGTCACAGTGTGCACTGCAGGTCTTACATTTGAGTTGACTTAAAAGTCACAGTGTGCACTGCACGTCTTACATTTGAGTTGACTTAAAAGTCACAGTGTGCACTGCACGTCTTACATTGCAATTGTTGCGTTCCGTTTGTTGCGTATCTGTTGTTACCGCACTGTCCCTCCTGTTCTGGTCTCTCCCCCCACCATACCCACCTATATTTGTATGACTTTTGAGAATTCTCAAAAGTCACATCAACAAATATCTCTCTTCCACCTCCCCCCTCACCCATTGCCCCTTGCCCCTAATCCTTTGCCCCTTGCCCTTTGCCCCTCGCCCCTTGCCCTAATCCTTTGCCCATTGCCCCTTCTCCATTCCTTCCCCCTTGCCCTTTCCCTGTCCCTCTTGCCCATTGTCGTTTCCCCCCCTTCACCTTCCCCCCACTGCAGCAGCAGCGGCAGCAGCGTGTGCAGGGAGGACCAAGGGGCGGGGGAGGGGGGGGTGTGCCGGGAGGGCTGGGAGGGCCGGTGCCGATTCAAGTGCTGGCAGTGGCAGTGGTTTGAGTCGACTCAACTCACCCCTTGCCCCTTGCCCCTTCCCGTTTCCCCCAACCCCATCACCCTTCCCTCCCACAGCAGCAGAGGCAGCAGCGGGTGCAGGGAGGGCGTGGGGCAGGGGGCGTGCCAGGAGGCCTGGGAGGGCCAGTGCCGATTCAGGTGCTGGCAGCAGCAGTGGCATCAGCACAGCCAGAGCAGCAGCGAGCGGTGAGTTTGTCTAGAGCAAGTGGTAGTATTGGGGTGAGAATGCGAGGGGAGGGGGTGTGCCTGAGGGCTGGGAGGGTCGGTGCCAATGCAAGTGCTGGCAGCGGCAGTCGCATCGGCTCAGCCAGAGCAGCAGCGAGCGGTGAGTGGGAAAGGGAGTGTGAGTGAGAAGGTGTGGGAGTGATTGTGCATGTGAGTGTGATCTGCGTGTCAATTCAAGTCCTGGCAGCAGCAGTGGCATCAGCTCAGCCAGAGCAGCAGCGAGCGGTGAGTTTGACTAGATCAAATGAGACTATTGGGGTGGGAATAGGTGTGATTATAATTGCAGAAAAAAAGGGGTGTGTGTTCTTCTGCTCGGTTCTAGTGCTGGCAGCAGCAGTGGCATCGGCGCAGCCAGAGCAGAAGCAGGCGGTGAGTCTGTATAGATCTAATGACACTAGGGGCGATAGAAGGTCGCGGAATGCTGCTGGAGATGGACAAGGGGGAGCTGCTCATGCTGCTGCAATCCCTGTTGAACCCCTCCCCTACCCTCTCTCTGGCTCCCCTCTCCTCCCTCCCTCCCTGCCCCTCCCTCCCCTCCCTGCCCTCCATGCCCCTCCTTCCCCTCCCTACCGTCCCTTCTCTCCCTGCCTCCTTATCAGATCCTGGGTGAGCAGCTGTACCCCTTAGTCGCACGACAGGAGCCGGAGCATGCGGGCAAGATCACGGGAATGCTGCTGGAGATGGACAAGGGGGAGCTGCTCATGCTGCTGCAGTCCCCAGACGCACTCCGAGCCAAGGTTTCCGAAGCTCTCGATGTGCTTCGGATCGCTGCTGCCATGGCGGCTGCGTCTACTGCGGACCAAAGCTCCGGATGATAGGTTCGGGATGAGAGGCTCGGGAGCGATGATAGGTTTGGGATGATTAGTTGAGGAATTGGGATCCATCTCCAGCATGTTGCTCTCGTGGCATGCTGGGTGAATTGAAGTGGCTGACTTCTGAGCGAAATTCAGGGCCTCTTTCTTTTTGTATTTTCTGCCCCGCTTGTCGTGGCCTGAACATTTTAACAACAGTCCAAGTTTTATTGCAAAAACTACATATTCCGTGCATTTTGATTCTGCAATGTTGGTGATCGCCACTAGAGCGTGTTCACTCATCTGTGTAGCCCTATCGTTGTCGCTATTAGATTCATTCCTCGATACTGTTGCTACTAACGAGATTTATCATGGTTGGGGCTCCACGCAACAAGGAACGGCTGACGTGGCTCCTCAACAATCGCCACGCCAAATCTTCGAAACGAATTGGCGCTCGTGATTCGAGCTGACGCGTCACCCCTGTGGATTTCTTGCGGCTCGGCGGAATTCTTTTCCGCATCCAAATCGGCACACGCAAATCGGGGATTCGGGGGAGACCTTGCCCACCATGCAACAGCTGTCAGGGAGGGTCCGCCGCGCGGAGCAGGAAGTCACTCTTGAAAGTTCCGCAATCTGGAACTCCGCCAGTCCAATCCCGCCACCGCGTTATCCCTTGAGATTGCCACGATTGGTTGCTTGGCTGACCTGGAAGCTTGGAAGCTTGGACGATTGAAACTTGGAAGTTGGGAATATGGCTAGGAGCGTGACTGGCTGGAGCAGGAAAAGTGACTTGGGAATCTACAAGTTCCAAGAATCCCATTTTCGACAGCCATTTACGTTTGGTGTTCTCCCCTGCTTGGCAAGAGCAGTCAGGCCGAAGTCGTCAGATTTCCTCCGCATTTTGCTCGATTTTTTGCTGATTTCCGCTATCGTCAGCACAGCCTGTCTATAATAAGATTAGTGAAGGAAATTGACCAGCCATGGCCGCCATTGCCAAGTGCGCCGTGCCTTCGTTTACCGGCCTGAGGAAGAACCAGACCTCCCAGGCTTCCTCCAAAGCCTCCTCGCAGCAGAATGTGAAGGCGAAAGCCTTCGCCGTCCGCGCGGTCGCGGAGCCGGCCGCTAAGAAGCTGACGATCGAGGAGGCGGAAGCGCGCGTGGTCGCGGGAAATCCGCCGCCTGCCCCGGCCGCCAAGCCCCGCTCAGCAGCTCCTAAGGGAACGCCGATCGTCGAGCAGCTGGTCCGTCTCCTTAGCAGAGAAGCTTGCGTTCTTGCAAGTTGGCTCTTTCCTAGTCGTCGACGTCGTTTTGACGCTGTCTTATCCAATGCAGACGATAAGGCGTTCTTAGCGAAGATTGTTTGGCAGTGCGATTGTCGTTAAGTGCTGGAATGGAGGGGAATGAAGTAAGAAAATACCGCATGGGTGGAACATAGTAGTTAATGCTCGTAGTTCTAGATGTCCTGCGTTGAAATACGAGACGCGGTCTCTAAGGTGGCGATTCTGTGCTGTGCATTGCTGCCGTACCTCATGTGGGTCCTTTTCGCAATCGTTGCTGTTAGGTAGTGATGCGTTCTAATACTTGACTTGTGCTGTGTGCACAATTGGATGGCAGAACCTCATCTCGAGGCCTCGTCGCAACCGCCGCTCTCCGTTCCTGAGGGAGGCATTCCAGGAGACCTTCGTCACTCCTGCCAACTTCATCCTTCCCCTCTTCATCCACGAAGGTGAGTGCTAGATGGGTGCAGTTTTGACGCCCTCTCATAAGAAGCTAATAAAATTCTTGTAAACTTCGCATGATTTGTTTATCACACCTTCGTCGGATTGTCGTCCGACTCCCGTCAAGTTCTCATCAGCTGAATAGATTCTCGTTCTCGGATTGCAGTGCGAACGCTAAACCCTCCTCTCCTCACTCACCCCGACCCCTCTTCCAACCCCTACCCCGCTCCCATCCCCCATTTCCAAATCCCTCCCCAACCTCGCCAGGCGTGGACCCCTCCCCCATCGGCTCCATGCCGGGATGCTACCGTCTCGGCTGGAACACTGGGCTTATTGAGGAGGTGAGTAAGTGGTCCGGCACTTGCAGATCGCCTCTACATAGGTAGTTCCTTGGCTCTCATAGTCACTAATTCCCATCGGCTCCATGCCGGGATGCTACCGCCTCGGCTGGAACACCGGGCTTATCGAGGAGGTGAGTTAGTAATCCCGCGCTTGCAGATCGCCTCAACGTAGGTAGTTCCTTGGCTCGCTCGCATTCCCGTCGGCTCCATGCCCGGATGCTACCGCCTCGGCTGGAACACGGGGCTAATCGAGGAGGTGAGTTAAGGGAATTGAACTTGAGTTGAGGGATTGGGACTAGTATATCTGAATTAAAACGTAGAAGGTAGTTCCGTGGCTCTTATAGCCGCCGATTCCCATCGGCTCCTTACCAACGCGCGAGACAACCAAAGTCGTGCTCTTCTACCAAGCCCTGCTCGCGTTCGTTCCTTACGACGATTATAGCCCTGCGCGACACATGTCGTTCTCCATTACGACGATTATAGCCGTGCTCTCATCTTCCTGCTTCTCGCGCCCGAATCCGACCTCCCATCGCCCACAGGTGTACAAGGCGCGCGACGTGGGAGTCAACCAAGTCGTGCTCTTTCCTAACGTTCTTCTCTGGGTGTTCAAAGTCGCGTTCTTGCGCTCATGTGCCGCTCCCCACGCCCTTTCAACCGCTCTCCCATTGCCCACAGGTGTACAAGGCGCACGACGTGGGAGTCAACCAAGTCGTGCTCTTCCCTAAGGTCCTTCTCTGGGTGTTCAAAGTCGCGTTCTTGCGCTCATGTGCCGCTCCCCACGCCCTTTCAACCGCTGTCCCATCGCCCACAGGTGTACAAGGCGCGTGACGTGGGAGTCAACCAAGTCGTGCTCTTCCCTAACGTCCTTCTCTGGGTGTTCAATCAAAGTCGCGTTCTTGCGCTCATGTGCCGCTCCCCACGCCCTTTCAACCGCTCTCCCATTGCCCACAGGTGTACAAGGCGCGTGACGTGGGAGTCAACCAAGTCGTGCTCTTCCCTAACGTTCTTCTCTGGGTGTTCAAAGTCGCGTTCTTGGCTCATGTGCCGCTCCCCACGCCCTTTCAACCGCTGTCCCATCGCCCACAGGTGTACAGGGCGCGCGACGTGGGAGTCAACCAAGTCGTGCTCTTCCCTAACGTCCTTCTCTGGGTGTTCAATCAAAGTCGCGTTCTTGCGCTCATGTGCCGCTCCCCACGCCCTTTCAACAGATTTCCCATCGCCCACAGGTGTACAAGGCGCGTGACGTGGGAGTCAACCAAGTCGTGCTCTTCCCTAACGTCCTTCTCTGGGTGTTCAATCAAAGGCGCGTTCTTGCGCTCATGTGCCGCTCCCCACGCCCTTTCAACCGCTCTCCCATCGCCCACAGGTGTACAAGGCGCGTGACGTGGGAGTCAACCAAGTCGTGCTCTTCCCCAAAGTGCCCGATGCTCTCAAGGTGAGTCCCTCTCGCACTGCATATTGACTTTTGGGTCAACTCAAAGGTCAAGGCGCGTGACGTGGGAGTCAACCAAGTCGTGCTCTTCCCCAAAGTCCCCGATGCTCCCAAGGTGCGCCTCTCTCGCATCAAAATCGTCGTATGCCTTAAATTTCTCTTTTCCTTCTTTAGACCGTTTTTTGAGGGCTAGGTTACTGCACGCCCGTGAGATTTCGGTTGCTAGTCTGCTTCCTGTCTACATACTTCCTCTGTTTGATACGCGTCCCTGCAGACTCCCACGGCCGATGAGGCGTACAACCCGGACGGCATCGTTCCCCGCAGCACTGACGGAACAGACGGCCAGTTCAGTGTTTTGATGTGCCCGTGCTCACGTGCAGTGACTCCGTGCCCTGTATTCCAATGCTTTCCTGCAGACCCCCAAGGCCGACGAGGCGTACAACCCGGACGGCATCGTTCCCCGCAGCACTGATGGAACAGACGGCCAGTTCAGTGTTTTGATGTGCCCGTGCTCACGTGCAGTGACTCCGTGCCCTGTATTCCCGTGGTTCCCTGCAGACCCCCACGGCTGACGAGGCGTACAACCCGGACGGCATTGTTCCGCGCAGCATACGCCTGCTCAAGGACAAGTTCCCCGACCTGGTACGTGCCCATCCCTGGCTGAGATGCGTAGAAAAGCGGCCGTGTGATGCGATCTGATACCCGACCTCTTTACTCCTGTAGTCGCAGCATCCGCCTGCTCAAGGACAAGTTCCCCGACCTGGTACGTGCCCATCCCTGGCTGAGATGCGTAGAGGCGCGATCATGCGAGAGAGAGATACGTGCTCTTTTCCTCGTCGCTAGCAGTTTAAACACGGCTATAGAATTCACTCATCATCAGATGCACCGTGCTCGTCCCCACACCCTCTCCCTCCCACCACCACCTCTTTCTCCGTCTCCATTTTTCTCCCAATTCACCCCTTTCCTTTCCCCTTTCCTCTCCCCCATCCCCCTCTCCCCCCAACCCCCCACCTTCCGCTTTGGTGATCCCACCTCTGTGCTGCTGACGTGGCGTTTGTCCAGATCATCTACACTGACGTGGCACTGGACCCGTACAACTCGGACGGCCACGATGGCATCGTGAGGGAGGATGGCGTGATCATGAACGACGAGACCGTGCACCAGCTGTGCCTGCAGGCCGTCGCCCAGGTCTGTTTATGCCTGTATCGAATCAACTTATAACGAGGATGTCTGGGGTAGGGAGGATGGTGTGATCATGAACGATGAGACCGTGCACCAGCTGTGCCTGCAGGCCGTGGCTCAGGTACGCTTCTTTCGAAGCGGCTTGTAACGAGGATGGTTGGGTCGGTAGGGAGGATGGTGTGATCATGAACGACGAGACTGTGCACCAGCTGTGCCTCCAAGCGGTGGCCCAGGTATGTATATGTTGAATCTGCTTATAACGAGGTCGGTTGGGTTGGGAGGTTGCCTGTGAGGGAGGATGGTGTGATCATGAACGATGAGACCGTGCACCAGCTGTGCCTGCAGGCCGTGGCTCAGGTACGCTTCTTTCGAAGCGGCTTGTAACGAGGATGGTTGGGTCGGTAGGGAGGATGGTGTGATCATGAACGACGAGACTGTGCACCAGCTGTGCCTCCAAGCGGTGGCCCAGGTATGTATATGTTGAATCTGCTTATAACGAGGTCGGTTGGGTTGGGAGGTTGCCTGTGAGGGAGGATGGTGTGATCATGAACGATGAGACCGTGCACCAGCTGTGCCTGCAGGCCGTGGCTCAGGTATGCTTTTATCGAATCAACTTATGACGAGTATAGCCACTTTGTTAGAGAGGGAGGACGGTGTGATCATGAACGACGATACCGTTCACCAGCTGTGCCTGCAGGCCGTGGCTCAGGTATGCCTTCATCAAATCAGCTTATAACGAGGATGATTGGCTTGGTTGGTAGGGAGGATGGTGTGCATCTTGAACTTGAACACGAAACAGTGCACCAGCTGTGCCGTGGTATGCCCATACTGATTGTAATAAATATCACAAACCCCCCAAACCCCCCTCTCCCCCCTCCCCCCCTCCCCTCCTCTTTCCTCCTCTCCCTTCCCCCCAATCCCCCCCATCCCCTGTTCCAGGCGCGTGCGTGCCCGAGTGACATGATGGACGGCCGCATGGGCGCCATCACTCATGCTCGCCCCCGTTCACTTCCCCACTGCCCTTCCACCCCTGTTCTTCCTCCCCCACCCCCTCTCTCACCTGTTCCCTTGTCTGTCCAGGCGCGTGCAGGAGCAGACGTGGTGAGCCCGAGTGACATGATGGACGGCCGCGTGGGCGCCATCCGCCCGGCTCATGCTCTCCCATCCCATGTTCCTCTCCCCCCTTTCCCTCTCTCCCCCTTTCGTTCCAGGCGCGCGCAGGAGCGGACGTGGTGAGTCTGAGTGACATGATGGACGGCCGTGTGGGCGCCATCCGCGCTGCTCATGCGTACCCACACCAAACTCCAACAACTCCCGCCCTCTTCCCTCCCCTCCTCTTTCCCGCGCCCCACCACCCGCTTCCCTGCTACAGGCGCGTGCAGGGGCGGACGTGGTGAGCCCGAGTGACATGATGGACGGCCGTGTGGGCGCCACCACTCGTGCTCATTCTCCCCACTTCACCTCCCCCCCACAATCCCTCTCTCCCCTGTTCCAGGCGCGCGCAGGGGCGGACGTGGTGAGCCCGAGTGACATGATGGACGACCGTGTGGGGGCCATCCGCGCTGCTCATGCTACCCCCGTTCCCTTTTCTGCTCCCTTCTTTCCCACCCTGGCTGGCACTCCCTTTCACTCTCCTTTGTTACAGGCACGTGCAGGGGCGGACGTGGTGAGCCCGAGTGACATGATGGACGGCCGTGTGGGCACCACCACTCGTCCTCAACCTTCCCCACCCACCCCTCTGCACCCACTTCTTCCCCTCCCCTTCTCTGCCCAGGCGCGTGCGGGAGCAGACGTGGTGAGCCCGAGTGACATGATGGACGGCCGTGTGGGCGCCATTCGCGCCGCTCATGCCCTTCCCTCTTCCCTCCTCTTCCACTCCCCTTTTCCTCTGTTCCCTGTTTCCCCCCCCCCCGGCGTCTCCTGTCCCTTGCTACAGGCGCGTGCAGGGGCGGACGTGGTGAGCCCGAGTGACATGATGGACGGCCGTGTGGGCGCCATTCGCGCTGCTCTAGACGAGGAGGGTTTTAACGAGGTCTCCATCATGTCCTACACCGCCAAGTGAGTGATTCAAAGGGCAGGGGGGTGAAGGGGGGGAGAGGGGGGCTACACTGCAGTGTTAGTCACTCTGCTACTAGAGCTGATTGGCGTGTTTCAAGCATGCTACACGCTCTTGACGAGAAGGGCTTTAACGAGGTCCTTCCATCATCATGTCCTACACTGCCAAGTGCGTTTATTGCATTCCTCTCCACCCCTTTGCACACCTTTCCTCTCCCTTTACAACCCCCTCGCTGACTCTTCTCCATCTCCCCTGCAGGTATGCCAGTGCTTTCCACATTCCCTTCATTAAGGCCATTGACTCCTAACCCCTGCTCTTCTGTAACCATCACAACCCTCAACCGCTCTGCATCTCTTTCCATCCCTTCTCTGTCTCCGCCATCTCCCCCACATCACAGGTATGCGAGTGCCTTCTACGGCCCCTTCAGGGAAGCACTCGACTCCAACCCCCGCTTTGGCGACAAGAAGACGTGAGTCCAGAATACAGCTATGCATCGTCTGCCCCACTGCTCCCCCTTGTCTGTCCCGCTGTGCCCCCTTGTCATTTCCTCCCCATCCTACATCCCACCCTCTACCCCACGTACGTGCCTTTTGTGTGCGTTCTTGCACGTTTGATAGTACTCCTGCTTGTGCAGTGCAATTCATTTTACCATGCCTGGCTGCTATACTTGAATGTAATTGTGCACTCCTGTCACCCCATGCCCCCATCCCGATGCCCTATGATCGCAACCTTTCCTCTGCACCAACAGCTACCAGATGAACCCTGGGAACTACAGGGAGGCGCTTATTGAGACCCACGCAGACGAGAGCGAGGGGGCCGATATCCTCATGGTGAGTGCTGATTATCAGGTTGATAGGAGGGTGGTATTGGTAGGTGGGAACTACAGGGAGGGAGGCGCTCATTGAGACCCATGCTGACGAGAGCGAAGTGGCTGATATCCTCATGGTGAGTGCTGCTTCTTTTGACCATGGAAATGGTCTATGTCTCATGAGGAGGCCCAATGAAACCCATCCTGACGAGAGCGAGGGGGCCGATATCCTCACGGTGAGTGTTCCCTGATTCAGCAGCAGGGGGAGGGGGGTTGGGGTGGGAAGGGAAACCCACGCTGATGAGAGCGAGGGGGCTGATAATTTCATGGTGACTGGATGTTCAGAGGGGGAAGGAAGAAAGAGTTTATTCTTTGGAAGGGTGGGGGGGTGGGGGAGAGGAGGTGGGAAAAGCATTCAATATGGCTGCAACCACTCGCTTTTGAGAGCATTCAACCCATGCTGCCTGCTGCCTGTGCCCCTACAAATTCAATCCCACCAGGTCAAGCCCGCCATGCCTTACCTGGACGTGATTCGTCTGCTCCGCGACAACACAGCGCTGCCCATCTCAGCCTACCAGGTGTCGGGCGAGTATGCCATGATCAAGGCCGCAGCAGCCAATGGGTGGCTCGACGAGAAGAAGGCGGTGCTGGAGTCGCTCCTGTGCATCAAGCGAGCTGGCGCAGACATTATTCTGACTTACTTTGCCATCCAGGCTGCGCAGTACCTGGCTGGGGAGAGAAAATAGAGGGGCAAGCTGCATGATTAATGCTGTTTTTGAAACGGGGGTCTGAAGAACATCTTGCCAGAAGCAACGAAACAAAGACAATGCTGGGTAGAGGTGGCAGTAGAGGGGTTATTGGAATTTGGAGTTTGTGTGATACTGAAATTAGTATACATGGGTAAATTCTTCAAGTTTACCGCCTTTCCTCCTACGGTATCTCTCTTTCATTCAAGGGAAAATATGTCAATGGTAACAAACATGGGGCACTGTAACGCGTACGGTAACGATTTCAACGCGTTTGGTAACTCGCTTAACGCGTTTGGTAACTCACTTAACACGTTTGGTCACTCGCGTAACACATTTGGTAACTCTACACTAGCAGCCCATCACGCGAATGGTAACTACATGAAATTCACGCGAATGGTAACTACATGAAATTCCCGCCGAAATGAGCCTGAAAAAGAGGAATTTATCGAGTTGGAAAGCTTTTACGCACAGTATTATCCATTTGAACAAAGTCCCGCCGCGAATTTGAAGGACCCCGTTTGTTCTAATACCACAGACCACAAAGATTTAGGGCCACTATATATATATTTATGAGCTCGTACAAACCCCATTCGTAAATCTCGTCTCAGCGATAACGGCCAATAAGTAACACTCTAGCAGAAACAATGGATTGGCGAAACACGTGTTCCCCATACAGCCCGAGGCTGTCCATCTTTCCCTCCCACCAAACTTGTGAGCACCCAAATCACAGAACGTCACCTCACCGGACCTCCTTGAATCAAACAGAAACGTGACAAACACTTTCTTTACCGTTTCGTACCGATGTTTCCCGTTGCAGAGTTCCGGGGTTTTGCGGGCGATATTTTTCCTGCTCGGCAGTAACATCTGCACTATCCGCTCTATCTCAACCGTGAGTGGGTGTCTCGCAGATCTGTCGAGGTAGACTATTTTACAGTATTAGGTTCACGAGCACTGCTGCTCGACAAACCCCACCCCACCTCTCCCTCTCATTGCAAGCCATTTCACCTTAGAAACGGCGCGTCAACCCCAATCCAATGTATTTCTGATGATCGCTCGTCGTTGAAGCTGTTTCTTGGGAGACGCCTCGCTATTAGAGCTTGACCTGGCCCATTTCTGTTGTTCACGCGCTGCTGGAATAGGCAAGTCTTTCTGTCTTCGTAGAAAAAGCACTACCAGCATCAGCACAACCGAGCGATTTAAATATTCTTAGCTCCTCCGTCCACTTTTTTTTAGGCTCCACCGCCTCACACATCGATCTATCTGCCACGCGGCATTTTCCTGAGAATTCTCCTCAAGTAAAGCTTCAAGCTTCGCAGCCATGTCTGCTCCAACCGACGCTCACGACATCAGCGAAAACGTTTCCGGCGACGCGTTCTCTGGTAACCGCCACCCGATCTCGCAACCAATTCCCTCTCACCCTCCGCAGTCCATTCCTCTTGGCACGCTTGGCTTCTCCGAAGCGGCCGCACCTTCTTGTACCGCGGAGCGCTATACCGGGTATCCGGAAAACGGGTTGGAACAAGCAGGTGCGGGAACCCGGCACCGCGCCAGTACCGCCGAATCTGCGCGCTTTGTTTTCGCCGACATGCCGCAATTGGGCGGCGAATCGAATCTAGCTTCGTCCAATCAGGTCGCGTCATTTTGGCAGCATTACTCTCCGCGGGTCGCGCTTCCACTCTCCGCGTTCCGACACCGTCAGCTTGGCGACGCGCATTCGAACGGCACAATCGGCTTTGCCTCGCAGATCCCGGCCGGGTTTCCCCGCATAGTCCCGCATCCCACGGTCGAGAATCAAACGCCGCAAATCCCGGCCGTCCTGTCCTGTTCTTCGCGCCCCGAGAGCCACTCGCTGCTGCCGCCGGATCAGCTCTCCTCGAAACGGCGCCGCGTCAATCCGGCAGGCGCAATCATTGCGTTGCCAATAACCGATTCTATGTTGATTCGAACGCCGAACGCCGATCATGCTGATTCTATGTTTCGGTATTCCGGCGAGGCGGGACGCGCCGCCGCCGCCCCTGTCGTTTCTGCTACTAATACGGCTGCTGCTTCTGCTGCTGCTGCTGCTGCTGCTGCCACTGTTGGTGGTGCTGCTGCTGTTACTGCTGTCGCTGCTCCTACCGCTCATAATTCTGCTCCTGCTGCTTCTTCCTGCCGTTACATGCAATCTTTAGGCTCGTCAGCGCATATTCAGTTCGACCTTAACTTGCCAGCGGCGGAGGCGGAGGCGGAGGCGAAGCAAGAGGCGGAGGCGGAGCAAGAGGCGGAGGCGGAGCAAGAGGCGCAAGTCGCGCAAACGGTGGCGCAACAGGCGCAACAGGCGCAACAGGCGCAACAGGCGCAATTGGCACAGGAGACGCGAGAGGCACAAAGGACAGAAGTGGCGCAAGAGGCACACGGGGCACTAGGGGCAGAGATGGAGCGAGACGCGGAGGTTACTGCTGGGGTTCCAGGGAGGGAGGGTTTGATCGGCGGTGCCTGGGTGGGTAGAGATGCTAGTGCTGCTGCTGCTGCTGCCGCTGCTGCTGCTGTTGCTGCTGCTGCCGCTGCTGCTGCCGCTGCTGCTGGTACCAGTCACGGCGATGCTGCTGGTAACAGTAACGTTGGCAATCATGATGCAAGTAACAGTAATGCTGCTGGTCACGGCGGGGCGGGTACCAGTGGTGCTGCTAACAGCAATGCTGTTATTCATGATGACACTGCTGATGGCAATCCTGCCGATGGTATTCCCGAGAGCGATGCGAGCACAGTCAGTAATGGGACTGATAGCTGTGGTGACAGCAGTGACAGCGACTGCAGCAGTTACAGCACCGGGGAGAGTAATGATGAAGGTAATGATGACAATGATGATTGTGAATCGGAGAGTAGCTGCCAGCTGAGCTGGCAGCAGGTGATTGGTGAGAGCGACGGGGAGAGTGAGCGGGAGGGGGGAAATGGAATGGAAGGGGAAAGGGCCTGGCAGGAGGATGAGGGGTGGACGGTGAAGGAGGGGGGAGGGGTGGGTGAGAGGGGTGAGGAAGGGGGGATGGAAATGCAAGCAGTAGAGGATGGGAGAGGGAAGATGGTTGGTTGGAGACCGGGAACAGTGGCAGCAGCAGCAGAAGGAGCAGCAGCAGGAGCAGCAGCAGGAGCAGAAGCTGAGGTAGGAGCAGCTTTTGAAGCAACAGCAGCAGCAGCAGGACGAGCATTGGCAATTGGAGCAGAGGTGAGAGGTGGAGCAGAAGTCATGGGTGAGAATGAAGTGGGCCAAGAGGAGTATAGGTATGTGCGAGGTGGTCTCGGGTGCATTCAACGGTTGTGATTGAATCGAGTGGTGGGTGGGACATGGTAATGAGGGTTGGGAAGAGTGTTTGGATTGGGCGAAGAAGGCAGATACCGTAGCTGGAGTGAGAGCAATTTGGATGTCAGTGGGGGCTTCTCTTGTAGCAGCAGGAAGAGTGCCTGCTAGTGAGGGATCCCCAGTATAGCTGGACATTCAGGTGTGCCATCAGCATCGAATATAATATAATCTGTGTTATGGTGGTTGTGTTGTGAACTAAGGCTAGCAAATGATGAGAGTACATAGTGTAATGAGCTGTCCCCTGGTTCTTTACATTCTTAGAGCCTATTGAAACTCTGATATTATGGCGGATCTGTCTGTCGGTGGAGCACTTTCGTCATCCAAAAAATATCGTTGTTTCGCCCGCTGACCGGCTGCTGTGATTGGAGAAACCGTGCACCCACCTGTTACCACCGGCAGGGAATGTGGAATGGTTAGATTGTCGCCTGCTAACGATCGGACGGTGAATGGGCAAGGAGAGGTGCGAGTGCCCGCCGCCACCAGATTGGCGGTCCGCTTACCAGTCTTGCACTGCTGGTCGGTCGGGGGGTTTGTTCCCACATGCTTGGTGTGAGAATGCACTGCTGGTTTTCGTTTTCATTGCATTGAAATCTGTACCTGATCCTTCCAAAGTGTTTTCGGGCATAATTCTTGATGGCAGCTAGGAAGAAATATTTCTACTGTGCGGTCATTGTGCTGTGCTCCGTCCATCTTGATGCTGTCCATATAATCCGCAATTTTTTTACGGGTAGGAGAAAACGTGGCGGATACGAAATTGTGCCCAGAAGGGTGTGTTGTTGGGTCAAGTTGTCTGACATGGTCGTCCTGAAAGTAGAACATATCGGCGTCAGTGGAAAATACGGTGACGGTGGTTGCGGTGAGTTTCAGTGCGTTAACAAGGAGTTTTGGTGTATTTGGTTGTAGGCGCTTGACTTTCTTCCCTCGGTGGCGTTTTGGCGTTTCCCGCCACAACAGGGATTGACTGTCTCCGATTGCACGTTTGATGTTCTTCGTTCCCAAGCATGTGAAGCCCCTCCCAAACTGCGCAGAAGTACTGTAATCCACAGGCAATGGCTTCCCATGACCATGAGTCTTTCCGCTGTGTCACGCCTTGGGAACAACCATTGAGTGGTCCCGAACATGATTCGTTGCCATTTTCTTACGCAGCTTCTCCGTTTAGTGCTTCAGAACTGGACGTGGTCTGGTAGATTGGTCCGTTTCGTTACAGTTAGCAAAGATGCGGAAACAACGGGTTGCGACCTCCGTCCTTCTCCGTCCAAGTCCACTCCCCGACGACCTCGTATTCCTGCGAATCATCGGACAGGGTCGCCATGCGACAGTCTGGCTGTGCGAGGACGGTCGCACAGGCGAGCAGATCACCTGCAAGAAGATCCTTAAATCGACGCTAAGAGGCTCTGGCGGAATCGTCGAAGCTGGCGACAGCTCGTCTGCGACAATCTTAGCTCGACTACGGCCGTCGCACGACGACGTCCGTCGCGAAGTCGCTGTCACAGAGGGTCTTTCGGGGAAGCACCCCAACATTCTCGCGTTCAAAGGAGCCTTCGAGGAAGCCGACGCGGTGTATTTAACCTCGGAATTCTGCGACTCGAGTAACCTACTAACGTACATTGTCGAATCCGCGAAACGAGACGGCGCACGCGCCCCCGACGTGTACAATCTCGCCGGCGACGGCGACAGCACTGCTATCTGGGATGATGCAGCTATTTTCTGTGTTCCCGCCCGCACCGACCGAGGAATTTCTCGCAGCATTTCGCGAACGCTTAGCCTCCAACGAAGCATTTCGCGAACCCTGAGCTTCCAGCGCGGCAAATCTGGTCGCAAGCCGCCCGCGACACCTCGCAAAGGCGACGCCGTCTCCCGCGACGTTTTCGGCGGAAGCGGCGCCGGCGCCGGCGGCGACGGCGGGTGGGAGGGAGACTGCGCCTGGGCCCTTCCCGAGGCCGACGCGCGCGCGATTTTCCGTCAGGTGGCGGCGGCAGTGCAATTCTGCCACCAGAGCGGCGTTGCGCACGGCGATATCCGCCTCGAGAATGTGCTTTTAAGCTCGCGCCGATTCGTCCCGGGGGCGGCGGCGGGGGGACCGCGCGGACTGCGCCGGCGGCGATCGCGTTCCCTTCCGGACGCTTTATCCACGTTCTCACACGCGTACGCGTCTGACGCAAGTACTGGTTTCGGTGGGGACGGATTAGAGTCGCCGCGCGCCGCGCCCACCCAAGGCGGTTTCCCTGCTGTGTTCGCGAAGCTCGCGGATTTCGGAAGAGCGGAGAGTGTGGGTGGGACCTCTGCTGTGGGGGATGCGGCTGCGGGTGACGTGGCAGCAGCGGAGAGCAGTGGAGCGGTGGCTTCAGTAGCATCGCGGATACGCGACGCCGTGAAAAAGGGGAGTTTCGGGGGGAAGTCATGCTTTGGGGGAGAAGAAGGCGTATGCTGGATGCAATACGCAGCGCCGGAGCTGATTTTATCGGAAATGGAGTGTATCAAGTTCGGAGCATGGGCGGCTCGACAGGAATGTCCGATGAAAGCTGACGTGTGGTCGCTGGGAGTGGTGCTTTTCGCGCTTCTGTCGTCGTCCGTCCCCTTTTCGGGTCCCCACGAACGGAGGATTTTCCGCCAGATCGCGGGAGCGCGAGATCATTTAGAGCAGCTCATGTTTCCTTCTGGAGATGGAGAGACTCGTAACGACAAGGTGTGGCTGCGCGTTTCGGCGGAAGCCAAAGATTTGATTTGCAGCATGCTGGAGATTGAGCCTGCCGCCCGTTTGTCGATTAACGACGTCGTTAACCACCCGTGGCTGAACGCGAAGGATATTACGGCGCGACGGGGAATTCGGGGGTCCATGAAGTGCGGTGGTGGGTTGGGTAGCGTTAGCAAAATCGGTGGTGGGTTGGGTAGCGTTAGCGTTAGCGCTAGCGGCGACAAATTCGCGGAGCTGAACGATATCGGCGAGAAAACAGGCAGCTGTAACGCCCAACCTTGCGATTTTCCGCCACCGCTGCGAAGGAGGAACACTTTTGCCTCGCCTTCGGACCGGCATAGCACGCCGAGTAGCGTTTGCGATGTGGACGCTGGCTGCGATGAATTCGTGGCGCTGAACGATATTGGCGAGGAAAAAGACGGCTGTAACGCCTGGAAGGGCAGTAGTCACAATAGGGCAGGCGAATCTTCCGATTTTCCGCCACCGCTGCGAAGGAGGAACACTTTTGCCTCGTCTTCAGGTCGGCATAGCAGCACGCCGATGGGCTCGCGTATGGAAGATTCGGCTGAACGAAAGCGCGGGGAACCCGTGAAGTGCGCTGGTTTTTTGGGTAGCGTTCGCGATGTGGACGCTGGCGGAGATGAATTCGCGTTGCTGAACGATATGGGCGAGAAAATCGGCGGCTGTGATTCTCGGGCCGAATTTTGCGATTCTCCGCCACCGCTGCGACGGAGGAGCACTTTTTCCGTGTCTTCGGACCTGCGAAGAAGCAGCACGCCGATTGGCTCGCGAGTGGTTGATTCGGCTGAACGAAAGGGCAGGCACAAAAGGGCGGGCTCAGTTGCCACAACATCCGCTACTGTCAACTCCGACTGCGTTACAAGCGCTGGTCCTAAGAGGATAAGAGGCGGAAAGCTGATGCGCGTGATCAGCCAAAGCATTGGGAGCCTCGCAGAGTTGAGTGATTTCGGCGATAAAAAGCGCAGCTGTAATGCTGGGAAGGGCAGAGGCAGCAGTAACACTCCACCTCCCCTGCGACGTGAATTTTTCGACCCTCCACCTCCCCTGCGATGGAGGAGCACCTTTTCCGCATCTTCGGATCTTCCGCCGATTGGCTCGCGAGTGGTTGATTCGGCTGAACGAAAGCGCGAGCACAGAAGGTCCAACTCGGTTTTCACCGCATCCGCTACTGTCAACTCCGACTGCGTTTCAAGCGCCGCCCCCAAGCGGGTTGGACGTGGAAAGCTGGTGCGCGCTATCAGCCAAAGCATTGGGAGCCTCGCAGAACTGAGCAAGATGGGCGAAAAGAAAGACAGCTGTAACGACGGGAAGGGCAGGGGCAGCGGTGGTCACATTCGGGCAGGCGAACCTTTTGACCCTCCCCCTCCTCTGCGACGGAGGAGCACTTTTTCCGCGTCTTCGGACCGGCCGCCAATTGCCTCGCGAGTGGTTGATTCGGTTGAACGAAAGCGCGATACAAGCGCTGGCCCCAAGAGGATGGGAGGCGGAAAGCTGGTGCGCGCGATCAGCCAAAGCATTGGGAGCCTCGCAGAGCTGAGTGGTATGGGCGAAAGTTATGACAGCTGCAACGCCGGGAAGGGCAGGGGCAGCAGTAGGCACACCCGGGCAGGCGAAACTTTCGACCCTCCCCCTCCTCTGCGACGGAGGAGCACCTTCTCCGCGTCTTCAAACCGCCCTCTCACGCCGACTGGCTCGCGCATGGTTGATTCGGCTGAACGAAAGCGCGAGCACAAAAGGTCCAACTCAGTTTTCGCAGCATCTACTAGTGTCAACTCCGCATCCGTTACAAGCACAACCTTCCAGAGCATGAGGGGTCGAAAGCTCTTGATGCGCACGATCAGCCGAAGCATTGGGAGCCTCGCGGATCTGAGGGGTCTCACAGCTGGTAACCGTAACAGTTGTACACCTGGTGCTGTCAGCTACAGTGAATGCGACATCAATTTTGTCAGCTACAGTGAAAGCAACACAGACGACAGAATCGGCAGCAGCAGCAGCACGACTGAGGGTGAAGCTGCAGAGGCAAGCGCGAATGAGGCTGAAGCAGGAGCAGCAGAGTACACATTTTCCTTTCAACCACCTGAGGGGCTGGGAGCAGAAGAGGAAGTGATTGCGCTCGGTCCAACCAGAGGTCTCCGACACAGAAGCAGCAAAACCAAGGGAGGGGAAGTACCTAATAGGGGTCACACAGCTGCTGCGGATGCTGCTGCAGGTGCTGCTGCTGGTGCTGCTGCTTCATCGCATACTCCCGTTGTGGGTGTTTCAAGTCATTGTGTGGACTGTACTGCTGCCCACCCGTGCAGGGCCTTGGAGGGGAGTTGCTGTGACGCTTCCCACGGATCCTCACACCCTGCTGCCTCAACCGCCTTTTCCGTTTCCTCCACCCCCTCACGAGAAGATGATGCTTCTGCTTATGCTGCTGCTGCTGCTTTCAGTGCAGCCAAACCTGTCAGAGCATGGGGAAGGAGTTACACAGACACAAGACAAAGATCCCCACACGCTCTCCAGTCAGCCTACCCCTTCCTCTCCCCTCAGCCTTCCTTCCACCCTCCTGCTTCTCCTGGTGGTGCTGCTGGTGGTAACCCTACTCCTGGTCACAGCAGCAGTGGTGGTGCAAGCACAACTCCCAAGAGCGCGAGAGGTCGAAAGCTCCTGATGCGCACGATCAGCAGGAGCATTGGCAACATCGCAGATCTGATGAGTCTCGGACATGGTGACCGTTACAGCAGTACACCCCCCCCTGATGCTGTCACCTACAGTGAATGGGACTTCAACTCTGTCAGCTTCAGTGAAGACACTACAGGTGGCAATACCGGCGGCAGCAGCAGCAGCGCGACTGACGCGGAAGCAGCAGATGGTTTTCATTCAGGAAGCTTCCCATCACCTTCCTCTCCACCACTTCAAGTTGAGGCGCTTGCAGAGGCAAGCGCGACTGAGTCTGAAGCTGAAGCAGCATGGTACAGATTTCCCTTTCAAAGACACGAGGGGCCAGGAGCAGAAGACCAAGCGTTCTCGCTCGGTCCAATAAGAGGCCTCCGTCACAGAAGCATCCAAACCAATGGTGGGGACTTACCTGGTAGGACCTGCACCACTGCTGGTGGTGCTGCCAGTGCTGCCGGTGCTGCTGCTTCAGTGCATACTGCTAGTGCAACCAAAACTGGCAGAGCATGGGGGAGGAGTTACACAGATACAAGGCAGAAATCCCCACACAACCTCCAGTCAACTTACCCCTCCCTCTCGCCCCAGCCTTCCTTCTGCTCTCCTGGTTCTCCTGCTTGCAACCCTAGTCCTGGTCACTGCAGCAGTGGCGGCGAAAGCGATGGGGACTTCAGCATTGGTAGCAGAACGGATGGGTTTCATTTGCCTGTCACTGCTTCCTCCAGTGATCGTAGTGACAGGAGCGGCAGCAGCAGTGGCAACAGTAGTTTGGGCAGCAAAGGTTTCTCATTACTACCACATGGGGTCAAGCAGAAACAGAGTGAGGGGTGGTCTCTCTTGTTCAGTAAGTTCACTCGGTCCAAAACATCTCTTCGCTTCTACAGGTGAGTGGAAGCAGCACAATGAGCAGCAGCAGCACCATAAACAGCAGCAAAAGCTCAGCCTTTGCCCTTCCCATGGCACTCTGGCAAACGAAGCATCCCTTGTTCAGTGAAATGACATGATTCTCTAGGTTCAGTAGCTTCTAGAGTGTATTTTGGACCCCCTTGATATGTATGTTTCGTGTAAAATGTTCTTGTACGGAATTGATGTGTCCCTTGTGTGGGAAGCAGATGAAGCTCCCTTCCCTCCGCCCCTCCCCCCTCTCCCCAACCTCGCAAGCTTTGAAAAGGGAAGACCCGATACCGCTAAAGGTTGTTACACATGATGCCCAACCTATGCGTAATAGAATGAGCTAGTACATAGATTGCGCTATAGGGCCAAAGAATATGCAAATGGGCGCTTATACCCGAGGTATGACGTGATGATACCATAATTCCCTGGGCGCTTATTTCCGAGGTATGGATCATTAGGGTGTGTCTTATTAAAAGAAGTGTGGAGCAGCTGGGTGTTCTGTTATGCCAGTTTGTATAATTAGTGCAAAATTTCTTCGAATTGCGGGTTTCACTATAAGGTGTATTTCCTTTGCTGCGTGTTGTCTTCGGCAATCCACAAGGTTTCGTTGTTTCGCCGACTGTGTGCACGAATTACGTATGGCTGCTCTGATTGGAGAACTCAACGCCTTCCGGTTACCACCTGTCAGGGAATATAGGGGGCTGCGATTGGCTCCTCGCGGCGATCTGACGGTGGATAGGCAAAGAGGGGAGGTGGCGTCCACCATACACCACCCGTGTTGGCGGTCCGCTAGCTCCTGCTCTGTCGGTAAGGGGAGGGTGTTCTCAAATGTACTGCAATCCGTCGAATGTGTTGTCAGGCGTGGTACGGGCAGCATTGAGAAAATTCTTAGCCCCTGATAATAGTGAGACAGGTCTTTCCACAGCCTCCTCCGTCAAATTTTTACACTTCGGGAAACATATTCTCCAAACAGAGATACGGGCAGGAGAATAACAGTGCAGGACACCGAGTTGTCGTGGGAAGGATGTTGGGAAGGATGTTGTGGCTTCCCGCCACGATGGGTGCTGACAACGCAACCTAGATTGGAGTTGACCTGAATACGTACAGCTTCGAGTTCGGAAAAATAACCAAACCCGACGGTTTTCGGATTTGTGTCAAATCGGTCGACCACTCGTGCTCCACGTCAGCACTATTTCGAATTCCAAAACTCCGATCGACCGACCCAATTTCTACACTTTCAGGCACGAATTGGTCACTCTGACGCAAGTATTACTTCTGTGTTAGCGTTCACCGAATTTCGTAGGTATGTGGGTGGTAGAGTCTGTCGCGATTTGGGTAATATATTGCACTGCAATCGAGTCAGCAAGCTGACCGCGGGCAAGAAAAAAAACTAAAACCCACTCGGATGGCATGCCATCCGAGGGAGCCTCAACCCTAAAATTTTAGGGTTGAGGCTCCCGAATGGCATGCCGTAAGCCATGGGTTTATTTTTTTTTGCCTGCGGTCAGAATGCTGACTCAGTCTTTTTTTTTTTTGACATAATACATTATACAATGCATTACATCCACAGTCGTAACTGAGAGAAAGGGAAGGCACAGGCCAACCTGGTACGATTTGCACTGTCCTCCCTATAGGCCTTTTACGGGGGCTTAAAAAAGGTGCTGGGCCTCTCCCATATCGAGCTGAAAGCTTTGTTCCACATCAGTTGCCCATCCTGTTCACAAATACGGCTCAGCGCTGCTGCCTCTCGAGCTGTCAGGAATTGTCCTCCTCCAACTCCTCCACCCGCATGCCCCTTCTTTCTGCCACTCCCTTCACTGTAGATCCGCACATGCCTCCTGAAACTGGCCCCAATTTTCCTAGCCACACGCCTGGGTTCAAAGGTTTTCTGGCGAAACACCGCATCACATCTTTCCAGCCAGACGTGTCTGAACGTGATCGCGATAAGTGTAGACTCCGGAAAACCGGACGATGTGCTGTCCTCCGCGAATAGCAGCTCTCCCAGTGTTCCCACCGCTCTTGGTGGGTTTATCAGCTGAAGCGAGTCCTGAAGCGCGCCACAGATTCCCATAACCACTGGGCAGCTCATCAGGCAGTGAGTTGGCGATTCCTCCTATTTGCAGTGTGGGCAGCATGCACGGGACCCGAAAAAAGCCAGCCTGCTGCCCACTTGCAAGTTGTAACTGTGCAGCCTCAGCAGTACCTCCCTTGCCTTTGCTGGGATTGCCAGCGAGTCTCTTTTCGCGATGGCCTTCCCCCAGTCTATCTTCCCCCCCCAGTTCACCTCCCACTTCTTCTGTTGTTTGGGCTGCTGCACCGGTTTCCTGAGCAGATGTCTTAGCTTCCTCTGTGCCTTAGGCTTTCCCTCCTCACACAGAAACAAGGCCCTCAGTCGCGTCAGCGGATCTCCCGCTTGACCCAGCACATAACCTCCTCTAGCTACCATCGGGGTCAGAATACTCAGCCTCGCCGGCGGCTGCGTCTCAACACCTAACTGCTTGATTTTCCCTTTACTGTCCACCGCCACTCTCTCACACTTCAGCTCCTTGCCCCCCGACAGCGCCACCTGCAGGTAGCTTTGACTCCCCCCTGCGCCCCTTCCGAATTTGACCAGGGTGGTTGTTTCAGTGATTTCTTCCGCCGACACCTTCGCGAGTAGCTTCTGTTTCCAGCTTTCCGGGACTGCCTTCCAAGCCAGAAGCGCCCACCTCGCCGTGGACGACCTCCCCGTCTGTTTAGTTAGCGTCCAGAGGTCTTTCACTACCCAGCAGCCATTTTGCTCCTCCTGAAGTAAGTCTCCCACCGTCATCCCCTTCAGACACTCCGAGCCTTTCTGCTTCCCGAACGGGCTGTTGCCTTGGTAGTGTATCCACTTGCTGAGCCACAACTGTTCCTTCCCCATCTCCCACCTATCCGCAGGTTCCGGCAGTTACGGCAGTTGTTTCTCCCACATGAGAGGCACCAGCGACTGCCACCGCTCCCCACCCCCTCTCCATTCGGCGAGAATGGCCTTATGCGCCAACAGCGTTGCCCAGCCCAAGGGCATGTTCGCCGCCTTCTCCATCAACCACTGCTTCATCGGATTTTCTTCCAGCAGGGCTGCTCCCAAATTCCAGAGCGCTTTACTGTTGACTCTGTTCGTCGGATTAATCACTCCCAGTCCCCCCTCTTTCCTTTCGAGGTGTGCCAGGAACTCACTCCACAGGATAAAGTGTTTCTCCTCATCCGCACATCCTTTCGAGATGAAGTTGTGACACAGCTTCAGAATTCTCTTCCAAATCTGCTTTGGCTGTTGATAGACTTGCGCCTGGAAGAGTACCACCGGCATCACATACGCATTCAAGACCGTTACCCTCAGTTGCGCAGAATCGTATTGACCCGCACCAGTGCTTTTTCCCATGTCGGCTCCGCCTTCCCATCCGCCGTAATCCAGATCCCTAACAGCCTCTCTGGTTTGTCCCTTTCTGCCCAGCTGAAACACGTGTTCGCCTGCGAGGGGAGTAGCCTGTTCTTCCCCAGCGGCATCACAGTTGACTTCCCCTGGTTAACTTGCAACCCTGATCTGACACCGAAGTCCTCCAGTAGCTCCTGCGCCTTCAGAAGCTGCTCCTTGCCCTGGAGTACAAGCGTCGTATCGTCAGCATACCCCAGGTACGACAAGTCCCCTTTTCCTCTCTTCCTCAGTCCCAGCTTCCTTTTCCTAACCTCCTGACTTAAGGGCTCTGCTGCGCAGATGAAAAGATATGGTGCCAGCGGGCATCCTTGCCGCACTCCCGACTCCACCTCTACCTTCTCACCCAGCCAGCCATTTATCAGAAGCTGTGTCGCTGCCTGGTCGTGAAGCCCTTTTGACCATCTGATGAAAGCCTCCGGAAAGCCCATGCGTTCAAGCGTGCGGAAGAGGAAAGTGCACGACACTGAGTCATAAGCCTTCTGAAAATCGACCAGGAGTAAGTACCAGTCTTCCCTCCCTTGCACCGCAGCGTCAATCGTGTCTGCTACCACCTTGACCGCGTCCGCCAACCTCCTACCTGGGACAAAGCCAAATTGGTTCTCCGAGATAACTTGTGGCAGTTCTTTTTTCATCCTGTTCGCCAGCAGCTTTGCGACTATCTTGTACACCGCACTTAGAAGCGTGATCAGCCGAAAATTCCCCAAATCTGTTTTCTCCCCTTTTTTGTGCAGAAGTATCGTTACCGCAGTTGAGAAACTCTCCGGCAATTTCGCAGTGGCCTCAAACTCTCTCATGAAGTCCATCACCGTGTCCCCCAGTAGGTCCCAATTGTCCTCCAGCAGCTCCTTCGGCAGACCATCCACACCTGGTGCCTTGCCTCTCGGGAGCTCCTTCATCGCCTTCTTCACTTCCGCTTCCGACCATGGCGCGGCTAAACGACACCTCCCTTCACCATCCAGCACCTTCTGAGGGTCAATCGGCCACTCCTCTACCTCAGCATCCTGCGCCTTCCCCTGAAAGAGCTTGGTGAAGAAATCCGATGCTGCCAGCAGCACTTCCCTCTCCCCAACATAGCTCCTCCCATCATGAATCACCGTCTTAATCGTCGTCTTCGTTTTCTTGGATGCTATTCTCCTGGTTAAGAACTTCGTCGCAATTTCTCCTGCCATTTCTTCACCCACACCCGCCATCGTTTGCTTCCGCTTTCTTTGGCTTTCCCTGTATGCTTTCAGCTGCGCTTCAAACTTAACCAACTCGTCATACTTGCCACGCAAGCTCGCGTCCGCCATGAACTCTTGTCTCAGCGCTGCAACCCTATCCTCTAGGTGAGCTATGGTTTTCCCAATCCTCTTCCTTTCCTCCCTTGCGTGAGCTTTGAGGCTGGCCTGCAGCACAGTGAAGGTGTCTTGCAGCCTCTTCCCCCCTCGCCCTGACTGACCCTATAGAACCTTTTGAATCGTGTTCCGGACTCCTGAACTGCCTGCTTGCGCAGCGTGCATCCTCCACAACCCAGGTCCGCACTCCGCTCCCGTCTTTGCTGCCAGCACTGTGGTGACTCCAAACCAATGGTCCGTGACTCCCACCGGAGCCGCCATATGCCGCGCGTCCGCCACCATTGGTAACAACGAGGCCGACACCAGCGCACGGTCAATACGCGAGCTCGTCATCGTCGATCTCGCCAGGAAGGTAAACTCCAGCTTCGATGGGTAAAGCGTTCTGAAAGCGTCTTTCAGATCCCACCGCGAACAAATATCCAGCACCCTTTGATTTTCCGCATCTGATCCTCCCATCGATGTCTTATCCATGATAGGGTCTGCCACCATATTCAGATTGCCCGTTAACAGCAGATGACCCGAGGCCGGAAGCATGTCCATAAAAACTGACAGACTTTCTCTGTAGAAAGCCCCGCGCGTTGTTGCTTGTGCAGGAAAATACGCCGCAACCAGCGTCCACATCAACTCCCTCCAGCGAACAGACACCGCTACCAGTCTCCCTGACTCATGCGCGCGAACATCGCTGAAAACTACCTCCTTGTTAAAGCTCAGCACTGCCACCCCTCCTGCTGTGTCAGCCGGCGAGACCACTGCCCTCGCCTCCGACCCTGTCTGAGTCCAGAAATTATGGTCCTCCTGCAACCTTGTGTCTGTAAGTACTACGATCCCCCTTGCCTTGTTTATCCACTCCTGTAAAGCTTCCCGTTTCTCCGCGCTACCCAATCCATTGACATTGAGTGCGCCGACAATAAGCTCATGATTCTTATCCATTTAACCAGTGTCTGAGACCCCACTTCATGCACGGGTCAGAGAGCTGGGTTGTGTCACACTTCACTGCTGTCAACAACATCCACCGGTTAATGATACGTGTTGTAAAGATGACACCACAGAGTACTGCCGATGCTAGAGAGATGCAAACTACCGCTCCACCTACTACTACTGCACGAAGCTCCTGAATCACCTTCTCACTCTTAATCTCCCATGCTTCCACTGCCGCTAGCTCTCCATGGCAGGTTATTGGCGGACTACACTCCTGAGTGGTACAGCGTAAACCTCGACCATGCTGCTGCGCATCGAAACACCCCACACTGCTGTTGCTCCTTACTTCGCCGGCTTTACGATGTATTCCTTCTTGAAAGCGACCATCTTCTGAGAGGACACACTGACACGCGTTGCTGAACCTTCTTTCTTGAGCCCCCCTTTGTGTCGAGCAGATGCGATGTGCGCAGATGCTTGTTCGAAACGATTTCCCTGTGCCTTCTCGCATGCAGCCTGAACTCAGATCCACTCTTCCCGCGTGCCCTCGGTGGAGGAAAGAATGACAGCCGGGTCCCTCAAGATGCGTTTCAGGAGGTCTGAGGCTATCAAAGAAGCAGCTGCGAGGAGGGAGAGACAGGAGATCGTCAGTATCAGTTGAGAGAGAAAGCACAAGAGGCAAGGGGTAGACCACCAGCGGGTAAGGCTCGCCACTGCTTATACCGTTCATCTCATGGACCTTCTTAACCGTCAGGTTCCAGTTGCTGAAGTTCTCCTGCCTCGGCGTAACATATCGATCATGATAACGCGACAGATGATGGCCGCCGCAGAGATCGCAGGTCAGCGACGGGAAGTGCAGCAGGTAACGCTTCCCTGTGGAAGGGTCTTCCACAAAGTATCTCCACCGATATTCGTCATCAGCATGCGGGATGAACAGACCGCGGATGCGATCAGTGTCCAGCCCAGTCACTGGGTCAACCGTCCGATGAAAGCCAAAGCCGCTGGCGAAAGCACTCCTGCCTCTCTTGACCAGCTTCGACACCACCAGCAGCCGACGAATCAGCTCCGCCGTTAACTCCGCCGGTACGCCTTTAACCACAATCTCCTTGGCCGTGGGGTGCAGCACACGCTCACGAAGAAAGCGCGCGTCTTCCGTGTACTGCCAGGTGAGGTCGATGAAGTCACCATTCACACATTTATGGCGGATGACTTGACTCCAGACGAAGTTCGCGTCCCGGACATTGCTGAAGGTGACTTGCAGCCGTCCATAGCGCACACCAGAGAAATACGTTGCTGTTAAATCCTGGTACGTCGTAGTCTGCAGTACATCAGGCGAAAGCAGCTCCTTCCATTCATCCAGCATCGCGGCCACCGTCACAGCAGCCCTCTTAACTTCCACCTTCCTGGGAAACGGCACCAGCAAGGTTAGTGAAAATCGCTTAAGAGCAATGACACTGTTAAGCGAATCCGGCTCCAGATGCTCATCCGAGTCATCAGTCAGGTAACCATCATCTTCATCATCAGGGGATTCAGACGGCTGCACGTCATCCCCATTGTTGTCAGCGTCAGCAGCATCATCCGCATCATGCGAAGCACCATCCGCCTCAGGGTCTTGCTGGTGGTCAGCAGCTTCTTCCTGTTCAGCCGATCCATCATGAGTTACCCCGTCAGCTTGCTCCTCATTGCTCGGCAGGTCCAGGAGAGCTTCAAAGGGACCTGAAACCGTGTTCGACGCCGAGTTTGCGGATACCTTATCGCTGCCGGCAGGATCCTTCAGAGGTAAATCAGGTACATCCGTCGCTTCCTTAGACAGCGCAGTGTCAGCATTTTTCTTGCCGCTCTTGCCGTTGCGTCCCTTCACCATGGTGCGATGATGAAACGTGCTTAACAGCCAGGAACTGGCTGAAACACAAGCTGTTCTGAGCACAAACTGCCTGACGACCAGACATTTATACTTCTTGTGTTTGAAAGCAAAGCGTTGCAGATCCAGGCCCGATGTTGCACGAAGCACCTTAGGGAATGGTTCCAAGCCTTGGTGGTTGTCTTCCAGATAGAGTTGGTGACCTTGGTGATCAGAAACACTGATGTTGACGCACAATGAAGCTTGAGCTGGTTGTGCGTCACGATAGGATCCATGAAGCTGAGAGAAACTCAATTGATAAAGCCTTGTAATGTCTTGAGTTAAAGGAGGGTGTAGCTCAGACGATAGCCTGCAACTCAAGAAACAGGTGTTTAGGTTCCCGTAATGAACACTAAAAGGACACCGTTGTAAAGAGCTTAAAGTCGCGCATCGCCTGGTTGCTTCGAAACCTTGAACAGGCTGACTCAGTCGGTAGCGCCGGCCTTTTTTCCCGCGCTCGGTGGCATTGAATGCTGGAAGGACCAAATCGGACCAAATCGCAATCTCTAAACCCAACCTGCTCGACACCGTCGTATGTACTGTGCAGACCTGCTCCACGACAAAAACAAAATCATGCGGGACGTTAAAGACGAATAACCTAAACCAACTACGACAAAGTTACGTACCTGTGGTGACACACTCAACACCAAACGACAAAAACTATTCTATACCGCGTAAGCTAATTTAGGGTCGATCGGAGTTTTGGAATTCGAAATAGTGCTGACGTGGAGCACGAGTGGTCGACCGATTTGACACAAATCCGAAAACCGTCGGGTTTGGTGATTTTTCCGAAGGAAAAATCTCAGCGGAAACGGGTCGTCAAGCCTGACGACCCTCTGACGACTTGACGACATGCTGCCCCGGGCAGAAAAAAACTAAAACCCCATCGGATGGCATGCCATCCGAGGGAGCCTCAACCCTAAACACCATGCCTCCCCGCGTTTAGGGTTGAGGCTCCCTGACCGGATGCATGCCCGTCTGGGGTTTATTTTTTTTGCCCGCGGGCAGCGAGCTCCCCTGGGCGGGCTCGCTTGTCCGCTGAGATATATTCGGCGAGTTCACTCGCAATGTGTGAATCTCCGTTCACATTCGCTGCCCGCGGGCTTAAAAAAATAAACCCCAGACGGGCATGCATCCGGTCAGGGAGCCTCAACCCTAAACGCGGGGAGGCATGGTGTTTAGGGTTGAGGCTCCCTCGGATGGCATGCCATCCGATGGGGTTTTAGTTTTTTTCTGCCCGGGGCAGCATGTCGTCAAGTCGTCAGAGGGTCGTCAGGCTTGACGACCCGTTTCCGCTGAGATTTTTCCTTCGAGTTCACTCGCAATGTGTGAATCTCCGCATTCACAGTAGACATAATGCACAGGCCATAGCTTCCCGTAGCCATGAAAAGTCTTTCGGCTGTATCACGCCTTGGAAACAGCCAATCCAAGGTAAAGCAGATGAATCGCCGCTTCTTTACTACCTACATTGTTTCTCCGATAAATAATTTAGAACTGGACGTGGTCTGGTAGATTGGTCCGTTTTGCTTTAGTTGGCTAAGATGCGGAGACAGCGGGTTTCTACCTCGGTCCTTCTACATCCAAGTAGAATTCCTGACGACCTCTTATTCCTGAGAATCATCGGTCAGGGTCGCCATGCGACAGTCTGGTTGTGCGAAGACGGTCGCACAGGCGAGCAGATCGCCTGCAAGAAGATCCTCAAATCCACGCTCAGAAGCTCCAGCGAAATAATTGCCGAGGCTGGCGACAGCTCGCCCGCGACCAACGCGGTTCGGCTACAACCGTCGCTTGACGACGTCCGCCGCGAGGTGGCTGTAGCAGAGGGTCTTTCCGGGAAGCACCTTAACATTCTCACGTTCAAAGGAGCTTTCGAGGATGCCGACGCGGTGTATCTAACCTCGGAGTTCTGCGACTCGGGTGACCTACTAACCTACATTGTCGAATCCGCGAAACGAGCAGGCGCTCGCTCTCCAGACGCGTATAATCTCGTCGGAGGTGGCGGCTGCACTAGGAACTGTGATGATGAAGATGCTGTGGGAGCAACCGCCCGCACCAACCGCGGAATTTCTCGCAGCATTTCGCGAACGCTGAGCCTCCAACGCGTCAAATCCTGCCGCAAGCTGCATGGCGACGCCGTCTATCGCGACGTTTCCGGCGGAAACCGCGTCTGGGCCCTTCCCGAGGCCGAGGCTCGCGCGATTTTCCGCCAGGTGGCGGCAGCAGTGCAATTCTGCCACCAGAGCGGCGTCGCGCACGGCGATATCCGCCTCGAGAACGTGCTCCTGAGTTCGCGCCGATTCGCGGCCCTCCAGGCCGCGACGGGATCGCGCAGATCGCGCGCGCGCTCCCTTCCGACCATTTTCTCCGCGTACTCGCACGCGTGCGCTTCCGAAGCTAGCAGCAGCGGTTTCGTCGGGGACGGAGTAGAATCGCCGTGCGCCTCGCCCCATGGCGGTTGCGTTGCCGTGTTCGCGAAGCTCGCGGATTTCGGGAGTGCGGAGAGGGTGGCTGTGCTCCCGGCTGTGGTCGAAGCGGCTGCTGATGACGTGGCATCGGCGGACGACAGTGGAAATATGACCTCAGTAGAATCGCGGATTCGCGACGCTGTGAAAAAGGGGAGCTTCGGCGGGAAGTCGCAGTCGGGGGGGGAAGAGTGCTTACGCTGGATGCAATACGCAGCGCCGGAGCTGATTGTATCGGAGATGGAGTCTACCAAGTCCGGAGTAGTAGCGACGACGCGAAAGGAATCCCCGATGAAAGCTGACGTGTGGTCGCTCGGAGTGTTGCTCTTCGTCCTTCTGTCGTCGTCCGTCCCCTTTTCGGGTCCTAACGAGCGGAAAATTATCCGCCAGATAGCCCACGCGCGCGATCATTTAGAACGGCTCATGTTTCCGTGTGGAAAGACGCTTAGCGAGGAGGCTGATATCGGGGACACGAACCTGAGCTCCGTTGACGAGATTCAGCGGGGATCCAACGTGTGGCTGCAAATTTCTGCAGATGCCAAAGATTTGATTCGCGGCATGCTGGAGATCGAGCCTGCCGCCCGCTTGTCCATTAACGACGTCGTTAGTCACCCGTGGCTGAGCGCGAAGGATATTACGGCGCGACGGGGACCCTTGAAGTGCGCTGATGGGTTGGGTAGCGTTAGCGAAATCGACGCTGGCGACGACGAACTCGCGGAGATGAGCGAGATCGGCGAAAATAAAGGCTGCTCTAACGGCGGGAGGGTCAGAGGCAGCAGTAGTCGCAGTCCAGCAGGCGAGTCTTCCGATGTTCTGCCTCGGCTGCAGCGGAGGAACACTATTTCCGCGACTTCGGACCGATCTAGGAGCAATCTGAGTGGCTCGCGTGTGGCACGGTCGGCTGAACGAAAAAATGGCGAGCACAAAAGGGCGAGCTCGATTTCCACACAATCCGCTACTGTCAACTCCCCCTTCGTTACAAGCGCCGGACTCATGAGAGCGGGAAAGCTCTTGATGCGCACGATCAGCAGAGGCATTGGGAACCTCGCGGAGTTGAGGAGTCTCTCAACTGGTAACCGTTACAGAAGTACCCCTGGTGCTGTCAGGTACAGTGAATGGGACAGCGATTCTGTCAGCTACAGTGAAAACAACATGGATAATAATATTGGCAGCAGCAGCAGCAGCAGCAGCAGCAGCAGCACGACTGAGGGGGAAGCAGCAGATGTTCGTGATCTGGGAAGCTTCCCATCACCTTCATCTCCACCCCTTCAATATGGGGCTACGGGTGAGACTGAGGCAGAAGCAGGAGCAGCACAGTACAGATTTTCCCTTCAAACACCGGAGCGGCTAGGAGCAGGAGAGGGAGTGATTGCGCTCGGTCCAATTAGAGGTCTCCGACACAGAAGCAGCAAAACCAAGGATGGGACAGTACTTGGTAAGGCCTGCACCGCAGCTGCGGATGCTGCTGCTTCAATGCATACTCCTGTTGTGGGTGATTCAGGCCTCCGTGCGGAATGTACTGCTACCCATCCCTCCAGGGCATGGGGGAGAAATTTCTGTGATGCTTCGAACGGATCCGCACACCCTGCTGCGGCATCTGCTGCGTCTCATTCTGTCACTCCTACAACCTCTGCCGTTTCTTCTACCCATTCATGTGAGATTGCTGCCACCGCTGCAGCTGCTGCTGCTTCCACGGGCCTGACCAATTCCATCAGAGCTTGGGGAAGAAATTACACACACACAGGGCATGAATTCCCACTCACCCTCCAATCAGCCTACCCCTTCCGCTCACCCCAGCATGATTCTCCTGCTGGCGGTGCTGGTGGTAACCCTAGTCCTGGTCACAGCAGCAGTGGTGGTGAAGGTGATGGGGAAAACAGCAGTGAGAGTAAAACGGATGCGTTTCATTTGCCAGTCACTGCGTCTTCTAGTGGCAGCAGTGACAGGAGCGGCTTCAGCAGTGGCAGCGGCGGCGGCAGCAGCTCGGGCAGCAAAGGCTGGCTTATCTGTGCACATAGGGACCAGGTGCATGTGTGTGCCAGTAAGGAGAAGGGCCCAAAGAATTGTTCCGGGTCAGCACATGTGATTGATGAGGAAGTGCAGTCTCAAGAAGATGACATGAAGGGATGGCTTGAGCAGCAGCGCAAAAGGCAGCAGCATGATTCTCAACAGCGGGAGCAGAGCGAGAAGAAGCAGGTTTTCTTCAGTAAGTTCAATCGGCCCAATACCATGCATAACTTCTCAAGCGCGCTTTCTATGCCCTGTGACATACAATGCTAACAGTGTACAATGCAATGCTTGATTGACATGGATCGTTTGTTGTATGGTTGCTCATGGTACTGGTATGTGGATTTTTGTGATTTGTTCATGAGCATGCATCGAATGATGTAGAACCTTGACTAAAAAGGTCCAACAACGGCCAACAGAGCTGTAGTTCGGGCTACACTCAACGAACTCCACATTCACATTACATTGACGTCTCTCTAACCCTCATATACTTCTTCTTGGTGTAGATATTCCTATGTCCTTTCAGGAGTGCGGTATTTTATTTTGTTGTGAGATTGTTACGATTCGGCTATTGTCTTGATCGGATTTCAAAGCGACAAGCTTCTCAAAGAGGACAGTGTGTGTGACAAATCTTTGCGTCGGTGTAACTCTGCTTTCGGAAAACCCTGGAGTTTCCAGAAGACCAACTTAGCCACATGGCTCGCCACCATGGGGGTGCTATTTCACGAACCGCCCAATTGGTTCCACACGAACTTAAAGTGTTAGGGCGTGTCTCCATTTTGCTCCTTACGGTTCGAACCGTGGACGGTCCGATGTGCGAAACAATTACCAGTTTCGTTTGAATTCGAGAAGGTTTTCGTGAAAGCACTTGCGACGTCGTCAACGGTTCGAACCGTCGCGTCACTTTTCCCGCTTTACAACGGCTCACATTTCGAACCGTCCGCAGCTCGAAAAACAAACGGACGCTACAACAGTTCTGGCTCAGGACTGGCGGACGAAAACCAAGAAAAAAAAATGTCGCAGGGGGGATGTGCGCGTTTGGCGACCAGGTGTGACTTCGGTTACGGGAGTATAGTATGATTAACGAGACTACAAAACTTCGTTATTTTGTGAATGTGAGAAAAGTGACGCATTTGGTTTCGGACGGTCTGAAGTTTCGAAATTACAAAGTGGACTGTCCGGTACGCGCTATGAGGACCGTCCAGAACAAAAAATCGTGGACCGTCCACGAAAATCGTAAAAATCAAAATGTAGACACGCCCTCAGTATAATGACTTTCTGGGCTTATTCGGCCTCACCCGACACAAATCTGCATGGAACAAGCCCTCCAACTTTTCCAGCAAACCCGATATCGACTATTTGGCCAGCCACGTGGCTGGCCGCGGGCAACATGAAAAAACGATACACAAAAACAGATCCCCTGTTTTATGCCAAGTGTCAACCTGCCTTTCCATTCGTTAGGGCCACCCTTCGGTTTCAGGTTTCGGGCTGCGTGCCGCCCGGCCCAGAAGGGGTAAGGTTACCAAGTTCCCAATCTTGGCCGAGCGTGCTAGCCGTCCTGCACTGCAGCGTTGACTTTTTGCTAACACCAACGAATTCATCGTTGGCCTAATTCTGGTTGTGTTTGTAATATGTTGACACAATTTGCTCAAATCGAAGGTGAAAAAGCAGTTCTCCAGCCAGTTTTGTTCCAGCCAGTTTTGTTTCAGCCAGTTTTGTTTTTCCATCGTTCTCCGAATTTGTAGTCTGCGGCCAAACACCCTGCGAAGTTTTGGCCTGGCATCAACGGGGTCAGCCTGTCGTTCTCGAATGGTGCCAACGCACCCAGGTCAACAGAACTATGTAACAGTTGCGCCCATACGCATTACAAGGCGTGTGGGTACATTAGACATTTTGTTGGCCCTTTCTTGTCGGCCGTTAGCGAGGAATGGCAAATAGACGGTTAACTGGCAAAGATGCCGTCCTAGCGAATTAATTGATTCCTTTTGCGGGCACAGCTTTTGGACCCAACAAATATTATTCTGGCAGCAGTTGGGCAGACCCCCCAAGGCAACACTGATTTCTGACGGTCTCCCGAAATATATCGGCTAAATAGCCGGCTAGGTAAATCAGTCCGTCTTATGGCCGTTTAGACGTCGGCAATAACGCCGGCTGTAATGATTATTATTCCGTCTAGTCGTTCATTAGTTTGTCGTCTTTTGTTGAACCTGACGTCGTCGCTTGCTGTACGTGCTGCTATTGGCCACAACTCCAACCAACAGGTGTCCAGCTGTGAGCCTTGCGTTGGGACCCGAAGCGAGAAGGAAATCGAAGGGATCGGCCAGAGATGACGGACGTGATCGCCAGAGATGCCGCGTGACCTGCCCGAAAAATCGTGACAGCCGTTAACTTACTGTGCACTGCCCGTGAATGTTCCTGGACGTGGATCCCTGCCAGCGGCGACAGTGGCAGAACCACAATATCGTCGCCCACATACAGACAGGACTGATCACACGTTTCAGCCAAAACAAAATTTCCCTGAAGTGGACCGCCTTCGCCCTCAGTGGGCACATGAGCGATCCATGCTCAAATAGTGCGTCGCTTGGCTTCTTGCATCACTTCTCACTATCTTCTTCCATTTTTCTTCAGCTATAGCCAACATTCACCGCAACTCCAGCACAGAAGCGTTTGTTTCTCCGAATAGAGCAAACGAATAGCAGACGGCACACTCTAATGTGACAGCACAGAATCTCAGCCTGACATCGACAGTTTCGCTGCTAAGAAACTCCCAGAAAATGAATCCCAATACCAGCGATCAAGACGACCCACCGCCGGCAGCAGCAGACGGAATGGCGGACTCGACGGCGATCAGGGAATGGCGCGATCGGCAGAAATTGGTGGAAATCGTCGCGAAGGACGGCCACCACTGGCTCAAATACGGCGAGAAGCCTCTCATGAGAACCGGAATTATCAGGTAAGTAAGTCAATCAGAAAGTGTCCGAGATGACTTTTGAGTCGCCTCAAAAATCGTCGCGAAGGACGGCCATCACTGGCTTAAGTACGGCGAGAAGCCTCTCATGAGAACCGGAATCATCAGGTAAGCAAGCAAATTAGAAAATGTCGGAGATTTCTTGAAAAAATGTGAGTACAGTCTTGTTTCCAGTCTGTGGTAGACACACCCCCGGTTTCTTTGGCTTGAACAGCGTTTGCGGAAAGCGAGCCGGAAACTTGGCTCTTGTTTTTGCTTGTTTGTTGTTATTTTTTCTTTATTTCCGTTCCCTTTTTTTTTCACTTTTTTTTTTTTTTTTTTTAAATTCTGGTCTCAGGAATGAAACCAAGTGGCTCTCATTAATGCCGCGTTTCTTTGTTGAATTTTTTCCCCCCTTTATTGTATCGCCTTTTTTTACTTTTCACAGGGCATACTATCGATGTGGCTACACTAGTAAGGGAGCGGGCTGCCCGGCAAAAAAGACAATCGACCGTAACCCAGAGGCAGTGGTAACCGACGAGAACGTACAGGTCTCTTACACCAACAAGCACAACCACCAAGGCCAGCAGCAGGCAACCGCCGGGGGATCGACTCAGACAGCTGGACAAGGGCTAGGGCAAAGGAAAGCATCTCCTAGTACTACTAGGGAGGTAGATGCAGCAGCAACAGGAGCAGCAGCCGCAGCAGCCGCAGCAGCAGCAGCAGGGGCAGCAGCAGCAGCTGTTAAAGTCCCTGCTTCACCCTCTGCTGCTCCCGCTCGCACCGCCGCTTCTGCCGCTGCTACTGGGTCTGCAGCAGATGCTGGAAACATAGGAATGCCAGATTTGGATCAGCGGGTTTCTGCGCACGAAGGTAGGGGCAGTGTTCACGGGGGGAGGGGCGGGATTTTTGAGCCGTTGATTGCAAGATCTGATCCTGGTGCCGATGCAGCTACTACCACAATGCGCCAGTCTCCGGCTTTTGCTTCTGGCCCTGTCGGCGCTTTCGCGTCGCATAACATGCAAACGCAGCAGTTTGTAACGAGGATGCCGGTGCAGGAAAACCCGGCGAGTGCCCTCGAAACAGAAGGGATGCTTTTGGAGCAGCAGCAGCAGCGGTTAGTGAGCGATCAGCCGATGAGTGAGAGACAGGCCGCCTTATCAGGTGATGTGCAGCTTCAACACTTGCAGCTTGCTATGCTGCTGCAGCATTACCATCAACAGCAGCAGCAGCAGCAGCAGGAGAAGCAACAACAGCAGCGGCAACAGCAGCAGCAGCAACAGTTGCAGTCCCAGCTACAGAACCAGCTAGAGCAGCAGCAGCGTTTACAACAGCAAGCAATTCAGCGCACTCAACAGCTAACGAATCCCTCCTATAGCATACCCATGTCTCCACCCCCTCTACCTTCCATTCCTCCCCGAGCCGCCCTGTCGAGTCGCCTCCTTGCCTCTGCTCCCCTCTCCCCATCCTCTGCCACCTCCGCACCCGCATCATCCCTGCCTGCCGATGCTCTCGCAGCATTGGGAGATCATTCTAGAAGCCGGACCAACCCTTTCGGATCGCACGTAGTTGTTCACGGTTCTAGCAACGTGCGCAAGCGGCCCTTTGAAAGCTCACAAATCGGTGCTGCTTCTGTTTCTGCTGTTTCTGCGGCTGCCGCCGCCGCTGCTGGCGGCAGCAGCGGTGGCATTGGCGGCAACAGCGGCTTTTTTTCTGCTTCTGCTGCTGCCAACGCTGCTGCTGCTGCCATTGCTGTTGTCGAAGCCACAAACACCCACTCTTCAGCCCCATTTCGAAACCCTAACCCCGCCCAACCTGTCACCTCATCCTTCTCGTTTCCTGTATACGGTTCCCTCTCTCCTTTCCCAGCAGCAGCACCAGCTGCAAAAGGTAGCGATTCTAGCAGCAGCAGCAGCAGCAGCAGGGGGAGGGGCAGTGGGGACGGTTTACGGCAGGAGGGTTATCCTCCTGCCGTCCCGAGCAGCAAGAGTTTCTCTGGTGCTTTTCAAATCCCGGCTACATCCGCACCTGCTGCAGCGCCTGTCATAGCACCTGTCACAGCCCCTGTCACAGCCCCTGCTACAGTCCTCGCAACGACTCCTGCTACATCCTTTGCTACAGCCCCTGCTACCTCCTTCGCCACAGCTGCTGCCACATCTTTCGCATCAGCCCCTGCTACGTCCTTTGCTACAGCTGCTGCTACAACCCCCGGGACTTCCCCTGCTACAGCCTCTCCCGGTGTCACCGCGTGGAAAGCCTCTACCCTTGCTAGTCCTGGCAATCTTTTCGCCTCTCCTGGTGGTAACCGTGCTGGCGGTAACTCTGCTGGTGGTAACCGCACTGGCGGTAACCGCCGTGCTTCGTTCCTGGCGAGCAAGTCTGCTAGTCTGGGAGACATGGTTGGTTTCACTGGATTCGCTCCGTCTGGTAACCAGGTAACACCAGCGATGGCTAGTAACAACAGCAGCAGCTCCGTGTCGCTATCCTCAGCCTCTCCCACAGCCACGAGCGCAGGCTCGGACGACGCCATGGCTGCGCCGAACCTGCCCGGGCAGGCTCGGCAGCAACAGCCGGAGCAGCAGCAGTGGCAGCAGGAGGAGGAGGAACGGAAGGGCTCGGCTTGGCAGGGTGACGCCTGGGGAAGGTCGGGACTGAGGAGGGCTGCATCTGATGATGGTTCCTGGCAGGTGCTGCAGCAGAGGGGGCAGGCAGCAGCAGGTGGGACAATTAATGAGGAAGGGCAAACGGCAGGGGAGGGAGGGAGACGACAGGTGAATGCGAGCCTGCAGGGGGTAGGAAGGATTGGGAGCGAGAGCGGGAGGAGGAGTGCGAGGAGGAGGGTGAGTCCTGGAGGGTGGAGTGGGAGAGTGCGGAGTGGAGAGGTGTTGGAGAGGTTTCAGAGGAGTGTGGCTGGGTTACTGGTGGAAGAGGAGGTGATTGGTGTGGCAGCAGCAGGTATAGTGGCCGATGCGGCTGCGATCGCAGGCGTAGAAGCAGCGGCAGCAGCAGGGGCAGCAGGAGGAGCAGCAGGAGGAGCAGGGGCACACGCTATGGAGTTGAGTAATCCTAGCGGGGAATTCTGGGGTGCTGGGTATGGGATGGCTGATTCAGATGAGCAGCGGCGGGGGAAGAGGAGCCGTATGCACACTCCTGAGCCTCAGGGGGCGGGTGAGGGGAGTTATGATATGCTTGAAAGGAGATACTCGCAAGGGGCGGGTGCGGGGAGCTTTGGAACGTCTGAAAGGCGGTATTTGCAAGGGGCAGGAGAGGGGAAGGATGATTCTGGAGGGGAGGATGGTAGCGGGGCGGAGGGTGGAAGGGAGAATGTAGATGAGGATGTTAATCTCTCTGCTGCTTTTATGCACAACCTGAATCTGCAACAGAGGCAGCAGGAGGGGCCGCAAGAGGGACAGCAAGAGGGGGAACAGCAGCATATGCAGCAGCAGGAGCAGTCGGAACAGCAGCAGCAGCAGCAGCAGCAACAGCAGCAGCAGAGGCAGCAGCAGAGGAGGCAGGGAGCTCTCTTTGAGAGGTGGGGTAGCGCAGTGCTTCCAAGCGTGGGAATTGACGCCAGCAGTGCGTGGCTGACCAGTGAGGAGCCGCCACGTGTCCCAACAGAGGCCAGGATTCATCTGGAGGAGGTATGGGCATCATGGGAACAGCAGCAGCAGCAGCAGCAGCGGCAGGAGGAGGAGGAGCAGCAGAAGCAGCAGCAGCAGCAGCAGCAGCATCAGGAGGGATGGCCGCTACAGGGAGTGAGAGAGGGGGTGAGAGAGGGCGAGTCGGAGGGAGAGAGGGAGCGAGAGAGCGAGGGAGAGAGGAGGGGAGAGAATGAGGGAGAGGGGCTAGGAGAGGTGGTGCAAGTGCTAAGTGATTCACGCATGCAAGAAGCCCTAAATTCCCAGGAACCCCGGGAACCCCAGTCAGCCCAGGAAGAGCAAAGAGAGAGGGAGGAGCGGGAGGAGAGAGAAATGGAGGAGCTAGAGGGATGGGAGGATGAGGAGAAGCAGCAGCAGCAGCAGCAGCACTACCAGTGAAACAGGTGAAGCAGGAGCAACAGGAGGAGCAGGAGGAGCAGAGGGGTCATGGAATGCAGGATGGAACAAGATTTCCCAGCGTGCACATCCCACAAGCAGCAGACCCGATCGCCACTCAGCTAGGGAGCCTTCTCAATGACTTCATCCCTCTCCCAGAGGCCCCTTACGCTCCCTCTGCCCCGACCTGCTCTCCCCTGCCCCCGTCGCTTGCTGCTTCTGCCTTCCAGCCTTCCCACTGGCTTGAGAATCCGATTCCCGGCGCTGCTTCCCCACTGAACCTAACAACTCCAGGCCCTTTTTCAGCTGCCGCTGCTGCTGGTAATGCTGCTGCTGCTGCTGATGCTGCAGCAGCAGCTGCTGCTGCTCCTGGTGGTGGTACTGCTGTGGGGGGAATTGCAAGTGTACACCCTGGGGCGGAGGGTTCTTCGCATGGGTACCCTACAGATATGGCTGGAGCCCTCGCCCTTGCTCGTATCCATTCTGCTGCTCTCTCCGCTGCTGGTGGTGTTGCTGCTGCTGGGGGAGTTGCAACTCTACCCCACGGAACGGAGGGATCCCCCACCAAATACCCTCTAAACGCGAGCGGATTGCTCTCCCTCGCTCGCGCCCATTCTGCGGCCTTATCAACTGCGTTCTCCTCCGCTGCCTCTGCAGCCACACCTATCGCCCCCTTCCACGCTCCAAGGGCCCTCCCCGCCTCTTCAGCAGCAGGAGTGGGGGCCGTGGCTGCGGGAACCCCCTCCGTTGGTTTCTCTAGAGCACGTGCTTATAACGAGCGTGAACTTGAGGAGTTTGCTGCTGGAGGCGGCATGCAGGAAGCGGAAAGCAGGCGGCTGGCTTCTGGGCAGTCGATGGAAGACCTGGTTACCATGTTACCGATGTTACCGGCTGTCCCAGGCGGTTTTGCAAGCCTGCTCCCGGATGTGGGATCTGCTGCTGAGGACCCAGAGGTGGTTGATCTGGCCCGTGTGATTCTAAGGCAGATAGAGCAGCATCAGAGAAGCACAGGAGGAGGAAGAGGAGGAGGAAGAGGAGCGGCAGGAGCAGGAGGCAGAGCAGGAGGAGGAAGGGGAAATCTTGGGCACGGTATGGGGAGAGGAGCAGGTAGTGAGTCAGATGTACCAGGGAGAGAGCAGCAGCTGGGACACCCATCAGGGCAGGACCAGGGAGTGCATGGGCATGGGAATGCAGGGAGCGGCAGTCCCCCTAGGGACCTTTCCTCACGGATTGCAGTGGCTGCGGCTCTGGCTATTGCTGTGGCTTCTTCTCGAGCGAATAGAGAGGCGGGTGGAAGAGGAGAGGAAGGAGAGGGGGAAGGAGTTCATAACACATTTGCCGCCGGTGCTGTTAGGACTACAGAAGGTGCTGCAGGTGGTGCTGCTGCTGCCAGTGCTGGTGTTGGTGCTGGTGCTGCTGGTGTTGCTTCTGCCTTTCCTCTCCTTGCTGCTGCTACCGAGTCTCGTATGGAATCAGATATGATGGGAGCAGTGGGAGGGGAGTGCGGCAACGCACAGCACCATGACGTGTTTGCACTGCTGGGAGGAGGGAATACTGTGAGCATAAGTGATTTTATGGAGGATGGGGATGGCAAGTGAACACTTCGGAGGCGCCTAAAGAGTCAGTCTTTTGTTTCAAGCGCCTCAGGAGTGGCAACGCACAGCACCATGACGTGTTTGCGTTGCTGGGAGGAGCGAATACTATGAGGATTAGTGATCTGATGGAGGATGGGTGAGTCAAATACATTAGCAAGTATTAGACGCTCTCAGCTTTTTGTTGTGATGTTATATGTATAATATAAGTTATTAATAGTGCTGTTGTTATAATTAATGTTTTGTTAATTGAAAAATTGTTATAAGACCAAATCTGTTCATTAATCATACTCAATGGGTGAATAGTTGACCAAGTATGCTAAGAATGATAAAAAACATGGCTTTATAACGTACAAATAATTCTGTACAGTGCAATGCATGTATGAGGAACACTAAAAAAACACCAGGAGGGGCCTTACAGGAGGTAGTTGCAGCGAATGCACCAGCCGGCACACCATTGCAGTGAAGGAAGTAGCAGCGTTGGTATCGTGCAAATCTGCAGCAGAAATGTTAGGGGCTTATACTGTCTGTCAAACATATATGCATGTTATATTTGTGTAGGCTGTAGTGGGGTAGCCAATATGGGGTACAACCCCATTAGGGTTTCATATTTGTACCCAACCTTCTGCTAGTTCATTCATTCCTGCCTGTAGTTTCTGGCGGTGGCCAGCTGCAGCTGCAGCGGCGCCCGCGCGAGACCCTTACGCCCCTGTAGCTGCATGAGTGGTAAGCTCAGAGTTGGGGGTGTAGGACTACTGCTTCCTGCCTGTACGTCATTGGCACATGTGATCAAGCTGGTCAGACCTGCGGGACAGTTAGTCATACAGAGTCCCGCTGCTTCTCCCGTCTGAGCGACGCTTGGCGAGCACGGTTTGGCGACGAGACTGAGCTACCCCTTTGGCAAGATCTGCTTCGAGACGGAGTAGATATATTTGCTCTAGACTATGACACTATCCTTACTGCCATGTATGCTCTGACTGGTACTACTGAGGGTGACTGTTACCTGTGTGTGCCCCCTGACCCTGGTATAGCAGCTGCTGCTCTAGGTGCTAGTGAGTCTGCTCTCTCTGGTACTACGCCTGCTGAGGCCTTGCACACGTTTATGCTTGACTCTGGTGCTTCTCGCTGTTTCTTTCGCGACAGCACCACAGTCACTCCCCTCCCTGCACCTGTCCCTGTCTCACTGGCTGACCCCTCTGGGGGCCCAGTGCTTGCACGAGCCACGACTGTGCTTCCGTGCCCGGCGTTCCTGTCTGGTGAGCTGTCAGGTCTCCACATCCCCTCGTTCTCTACGAACCTAGTGAGCAACGCCGTCCTTCAGGATAATTGGGTTGACACCTGGACTCCTGGAGGACAGCGTGTGGCGATCCTCACGTGCTCCAAGACTGGCCGCCACCTGGCCACGTTCACTCGTGAGCCTGGGTCCAGTCTGTACACCCTCACTACTGTTTCACGCTACATCCCTTTGTCTCCACAGCTGTACGCGTCTGCTCAGGTAGCTACCCAGTGTGAGTGTCGCCGCCTGTCGCACGACACTCTCCTGTGGCACCACCGCCTTGGTCACCCCTCCCTGCCTCGCCTTCGTGGCATGCACTCTCGCTCCCTGGTCTCTGGTCTTCCCAGGTCTCTGCCTGCCCTCCCTCCCTCGCCTGCGCCGCCCTGCATTCCTTGCGTCGAGGGGCGGCAGCGCGCCGCTCCTCACTCCTCCTCGTTCCCTCCCATAGAGGCTCCCCTGCAGACTCTCCACCTGGACGTGTGGGGCCCGGCCCGCGTCCAGGGGCAGGGCCGCGAGCGGTACTTCCTGCTGGTTGTCGACGACTACACGCGTTACACCACGGTCTTCCTCTTGCGCAGCGCAGGGCGGATGTCCCTGCTGTCATGATCCCTTGGATCCGCGCTGTTCGTCTCCAGCTCCGCGAGCGGTTCGAGCGGTCGGAACTTTCTTCTCCTGCGTCTGCACTCTGACAGAGGTGGTGAGTTCACCTCCGACCTCTTGCAGGCCTTCTGTGAGGAGCACGGAATCCGCCAGTCGTTCACGCTTCCGGCCTCTCCGCAGTAGAATGGGGTTGCTGAGCGCCGCATTGGCTTAGTCATGGAGGTCGCTCGTACCTCCATGATCCATGCGGCGGCTCCCCATTTTCTGTGGCCGTTTGCGGTCCGGTATGCCGCGCATCAGCTCAACCTCTAGCCCCGTGTCTCCTTGCCGGAGACCTCGCCCACGCTGCTGTGGACGGGGGAGGTTGGCGATGCGTCGCGTTTCCGGGTCTGGGGTGCTCGTGCCTTTGTCCGCGATCTCACCGCGGACAAGCTCTCTGCTCGCGCCATTCCCTGCGTCTTCCTTGGTTTTCCTCCTGACGCGCCTGGCTGGCAGTTTTACGACCCCACCTCGCGCCGTGTCTTTGCGTCTCAGGACGTCACTTTTGACGAGTCTGTCCCCTTTTACCGTTTCTTTTTGTACCGCACTGCCCCTCGCCCCCCCCGCCGCCTTTTCTCGCTCCAGGTCCTTCCCAGGTAGACCCCCTCCCCGCGCCAGGTCCTGCTCCTTCAGGTGTTTCTCAGGTAGACCCTCCTGTGCCTGCGCCTGTTGAGGTCACTGGTGACTCGGGTCCTGCTGGGGGTGGTGCTGTCTCTGTGGGTGCTGAGCCTGGGGGTACGGAGCCTGAGCGAGAGGAGCCTGGAGGTGCTGAGCTTGGGGGTGCCGAGTCTGAGGGTGCTGTGCCTGGGCTTGAGGAGCCTGGAGGTGCTGAGCCTGGGGGTGCCGAGTCTGAGGGTGCTGAGCCTGCGTGTGAGGGGCCTGAGGGTGCTGAGTCTGGTGGTATTGAGCATGCGTGTGAGGAGCCTGGGGGTGCTGCGTCTGGGGGTGCTGTGCCTGAGCGTGAGGAGCCTGGAGGTGCTGAGTCAGAGGGTGCGACGCCTGAGGGTACTGCGACTGCTGGTGCAAGGTCTCCTTGGAGTTGCCACCTTCGTCCGCGTACGCCTCTCACCTCACAGCAGCTGCACGACTGGTACGGTCGCCGTCAGGGTCGCGCTGCTGGAGCTCGGGGCTCTGCCGCTGGAGGTACTTCTGCTGACGTCGCTGGAGCTAGGAGTGGTGCTGGTACTTTGTCTACTGGAGGTGCTGGAGTCGCTGGTCCCGGAGGTGCTCGTACTGGAGGTACTGGAGCTGCTGGGGCTGGAGGTGCTGCGTCTGGGGGTGCTGCTGCTGGAGACACTGAGGCTGGAGACCCTAGGACTGGAGGTGCTAGTTAAGGGGGTGCTGCTGCTGGAGACACTGAGGTTGGAGACCCTGGGACTGGAGGTGCCGGTTCTGGGGGTGCTGCTGCTGGTGGCGCTGGTCCTGGAGGTACTGGCACTGGGGGTGCTGGAGCTGCTAGAGGAGCTGGAGCTGCTGGTGCTGGTGGCACTGCACCG